TGCTCTGCAGTTTAGAAGGACTAATTGCCCGCTAAAAAGTGCCAATTTCTCGTCTTGTTTCGCTATTTTCTTTATTTGTTTTTTATTTGTTTGTTTTTGTTTTTTTTTGGGAAGGCAGAAGTGTACTTCGCACGTATAAATGGAGTGTCCGACACTTGATTTATATACTTGAGTAATGGTTGTCGCAAACATAAAGTCGACTGGACAAAAGCTTTCCTAGCTCTGGGTGACAATTTAAAATACAAAAAGGAATTTTAAATGTTTTCCACAAAGGGAAAGTCAAATACTCTTTATTAAACTGTTTCAAAGAGATTTATTTAAATGAAGTTATTGAGAGGGGTAGATGTTATTAGGAAAACTGATTTAACAATTTAAAGAAAACTATAAAAAGCAAGATTTATTGCCCATTAATTGCTTGTTTAATACAAAAATTTTCCCTTTCAAATCTCTAACATGCCCTTAAGTCGTAGTCTGCTTTCAGGCGTCTTTAAGTAATTTGCGTTCAATTTTTCACAAGCTGACAATTGGTTTTTTTCTCTTACATCTCTGCTGCTCGTTAATTTAAATTTTATTTTTTGTCGCCTAAACGCCTAGCACTTTGCATAATTCAACATTTCCCCTCAAAGATCTTAATTTTAGCTTGGTTTTCCTTGGTTTTTCTCCGTAGTTTTGTTGACATTTCTTTGATGGGACGTAGAGCAGCTTCATTATTCAGCAAACAGCTGTTGGACCAGAGGGATTTCGGGGGTTGGGGGCGTGGTGTCGACACATAAATTTGACTGACTGACGGACACGCCGCACTTATACCTCAATCCATCCTGCCGACCCAACCCGCCTCCCATCCAGACATCAGCACATATATCATTTTCATTTTGTAATTTGTCTCCCGCCCCACAGACTTGCCTGTTTTTGGCCCGGCTTTCGGCATTTCGCCCTGTCACGGGCCATTTTGTGCACAATGGCCCACAGTTAATTGGTTGGGGTGTTGCCCATTTCTTGGTCCTTCGCCCTGTGCACTGGGTCCTGGCATACTGACGTCCTGGTATCGGTGTCATGAGAAGGCGCCTCATATTAAATTACATGACAGCTTACATGAGGTGCTAACTTCTACCCCTCGGCGAGCTCATTAAATGTGGAAAATAAATGGAAAATGGTGCCGGGCTTTCTCACTCGTGAAAAATGCGGCAAATTCAGTTTTGCTTATGCAATTTTAATCATTTTCCTGCGATTCATTTCCAGCTTGTTGATTTTCAGTGAAGTGATTTCGTCAGAACAAAGTATTCATCGCACGTGACTGATTGAGATAATTAGATCAGGTACTCTGAGCCAATATTCTAATTTATTTTATTTCCTTAATCGCTTATATCTCAAAATCCATTTAAGGAATAATCATTTCAAAACTTAAATTCCTCATTATAAGATTACCTTTAAGCGAAATGCTAATCAAGGCTGTTAGCATTAATCTCCAGATTTCTAAGCCCTTCAATTGAAAACCAAAATTCAATTTCCCAAGAAAACAAAACAATAAATTACTTCGAAGCCAAAAGCCAAGAGCTAAGACAACGCACACTTTCCATATTAGCGGAAAAGCAAAAGCAAAGGAAAGGTCGCTCAGCATTAATTAATTCCGAGCGTGTTGGCTATCAGCAATGCTCCTCCCAAGAGCAGCTCGAGGCGATAGTATTAAAAACGTCTGTTTGCCTTTCAGTTACTTAATTAATGAGATGGTACAAACAAGTACAAATATGCATAACTTTTAGCATTTCATAAGCTGGAAAGGCAGCGGGAAAAACTCGGAAATACGGAGAAAAAAAAACCATTTAAAATTCAACGTTTGTTCAAAGCGGGAATTGCGGTTTCGTGTTACGCACAAACCTAATAATGCTAATTGCATTGGTCTGGCTTTCAACTTGGCTAAACGGCGATGCACTCTCTGGATTGGCAAGGGGTTAATCCCAATCAAGGGGTTTGATATGCACTTTGCTAGGGGTAAAGCAGTATTTTTCTATAAGCTTGTGTCAGTTGCTTTATGGGTAAGAAGCAGGGAATCCTTAAAATATATACAGCAAGACTGATATATATTTCAATTTTTTGAAAACAACACATTTTAACCATTAACAACCTTTTAGCAATTCATCTATCTAACAAAGTTTATTTCTCCTCTTAAAGAACTTCCCTTTAACATGCCTTGGCAATTAAATCATTTGCCATTTGCAGATACTCGCAGACATCTAAGCCATTTGCCTAATAACTTTTTCCAGGATAAGATTTGAATCAGGCCGACGACAAGACTGTCAATGTCCAGAATCCTTCGAACAAAAGCCGAAGAAAAGTGAATGGAAAGGCCAGAAGTGAGTGAGAGACAAAGGCACTTGAAAAGTTCCGCATCATTACTCGGGTGTTTTGTGGTGATTGGCTTTGCTATTGGGATGATCTCTACCCCGCCTCCCTCTCCGAAAAACAAATAAGAACTTCCATCTGAGATGTTAGATTCCATTCCTGGCAGAAATGACAGTTTTGTACCCCTTAGACTCAGACACTTGAAGTGTCAGGCAAACAAAATCATCGGACGACGTGTTTTGCTTGGCTAAAAACGAAGTTTTTCCAAACTAAAACAAAGGGAATGAGAACTATCTTACATTTCAATTTAAGTTCGCCGAGAGTTTTCTTCTACGCTTTTCTTTCTCCCTTGATTAACTGCAAACACAAATGTGTGTGCCTGTAGGTAAGATTCCAGCTTTTATTTCTACCTAATAAGTTGCAATTGTTTAACGCTTTACTTTCAGCTCCGACTGCGAAGCGAACACCCGGCGTATGCGCATTATAAAAATTTATGACTCATAGAAATTAAATGGCTGTCATTCGTATGTATTAGCCGGGCGAAATTAGTTTGTCTTATCCAACAGATCCACCACAGCGACCTCGAAGGTTGAGGGATAATAATGGGTGGGGATTTCGAACTGGGTGCGGTTTTCTGGGTTTTCCGGGAAAACCAAAAGGGAAGAACAAAAGCGGAAGATGCATATCAAATCGCTTGGCAGCATAAATCAAAGGTAACCCAAATACATAAATATCGTGTAATAAACATGTTTATAGGTTGGACTTCTGTAGGGAAATAAAGACCTTATCTAAGCGCTTTCCCTTGTTCATTTGTATATTTATCCCTTAAATGCGTTTTCCGGCGCCTGCTAAATAATGTATAAACTTGGCCTTTAATTGAACTTTTCACAGATAAGCAAGCAGCCAATAAATCGAGAATGTAAAATGTATTTACTTTCACGCTGCTTTTGGCTATTTACTTTTGGTTTCCCGTAAGTTTTGCCAACGAAAATTTGGCAATGTGCAGGTTATTGTTAAATTTTGTAGACACCTTAAATCAATCCATCGAAGAAAATAACATTCACGAAATTTCACACATATGTTCCTGTAAAATCTAATCGGGCTTCTTTTTTTTGTTTATATGCGCTCGTCGACATCGTTTTTGTTTAATGCTGTCGCGTCGGCTAATTGTAAACAAACTTACTCAATGGACTGACTGGATGGACGGATTGTGTCCAGAAGCACGCCCCATTGATTTATATTTAGATTGCCAGACAGATAGACAAGCGATTCAGCGAGTGGGCCAAAAAGGCAACGTAAATTTTCCATAATCCTGCAGTTTTCGTTTTTTCTACCTCACAAGTTTTCCCGATCGTGCCGGCTTATGTTAATGGCACTTTTAAGCCGGGCAGTTAGCTCCTCCAGCTGCCAAAAAGTAATAAATGGCACGCGCATTCGATGCACTTTTGGGTTTTCCGCCTCCATTTCCATCTCCTCCCCTGCAATTTTCACTTATTTCTGTGTGTTTTCTAGTGCCTGTCCTTCGGTTTGTGTTGTTTTAAGGTTTTCCCTGGTTTTTCATTAACTTGGGAGTTTTTCGTTTGCGGCCAAGCAGTTGCAGCATGAAAAGGGTGTTACCCAAATCCCGAATAAAACATGAGCTCAAGATTCTGGTTGCGACTGAAACCTTTATGGTTGCATATACTAAATTAAAATGGTATGCACGCAATTTTTATAGTACATGGAGAAAAACGATGAGATCTTTTTCTTCTTAACAGGGAATTCAAGTTAAAAGAAAGTCTAATTAATTTTTTAACACGATTTATTCCATTTTCATAAATTCACTTATTCCTATTTTAAGAAGGGGCTAAAAAGTGAAGTTCAAATTTAAAAAAGAAGGAAATTTAAGCAGTTTTAAATATACATTTACAATTTATATTTAAGAGACCATTCATAGGAATATTCAACTAAAACAACTGATTTTCCTTGTGTAAAATTTTATTCAAAATTAATTAAAAACAAACGCAACTTTACGGGGTCAACAAAAACCTATTCAGAATGTTAGCAAACATTACCGTTATCCAGAATTATTCATTGAAATTACGCAATCCAACAAGGAATTCAATCAACAGGAAATCTATCAGCATGCAAGGGCGAAAATTGAATTAAAATGGAAATTTCTATGGTCCGATTCAGGGGTCGGTTTTGAAAATTTCCAACCCATATTCAGGATTTATAGGGCAGCACAAGCCGTATGCAAACGGAAAACGGAAGCAAAATAAACAGCACAAAAGCGTAACGGAAACAGAAACAGAAGCCCAGGAAAGCGGGCCTGTTTTTGTCGATTTGGATGTAAATGCATATAAGCTTTTTTCCCCAACCCCCTCACACTCACAATTTACGAGTGCAACTGCAGTTTAGGAGCAGTCAAGTGTCGGAAAATCGTATTTTTTCACGGGCTTTTTACAGATTCAAATTCCGATAGGCGGACAGTAGATTTATGGAGTTCCCATCAATTTCGGGATAATAAGGCAACCATATGTACTCTCAAATGTCAGCTGCCAGAAAGTCAGGAAAATGCGATTACGCGAGATTAAGCGATCAAATTCTTAATATGCCATTTCCGACACGCCAGATAAACATATTTACATCAATCTGCAGTTATTATTTATTATGCTTACATTTGCGTTAAAGTGTTTTCCGTGTTTTCAAGCGATTCCAGGCATCACATTTAGGATGCCACTTAAACAGGATGAGCACATGCCACACACACCGCACACTTGGGCCAAATTTTGTTTACACCCGCAATGGCACAGCACAACAACACACACGGGAAGAATTTAAATGAATTTATTGAATTCTTTTTTTGCGGGCCAAAAACACTTGAAACGCTATCGCCGGATATTGGCGTCAACGCTAGCAAATCGCAGAGCACATCCGAAAAATTCTGTTTTTGAACTTGAACTGTCCGTCAGAGCAGAGGAGCAGAGAACGCATGCGACTTGTTGGCGCGCGCGAAAACGTTTGGTTTGGTTTTGCCTTTCCCTGGCTGCCTGACTGCATGTTGGTCTGGCCAAAAACACCCATACGCACACAATTGATCCGGAGATTGGTTGGGGGCGCCAAAAAGGGAACCCCGCTCTGTTTGATTCTGAAATGCCGGCTCTTTTGTACGCAAGCGCAGCAACATGTTGCTGACAGAAATGTTGAAACAGTTTTGCCAATAAACTTATCTCCAACCTGACTCTGATCACTGTTTTAAAATGCTAAATATGTTTTTATTTTGGGGAGTTATTGTTATTAATATAGTTTTAGGTTTTAAGTGTTAAGCTACGGCTCCGAACTTAACACCACAGTTTGAAACTAACCGCCATTCGGCCAACTTAATATCGATAAATTCTAGCATTCGATACATTACCGGCTTTTACCTATCGATATATGCAAACTCTCTCTTCTAGAAGTGACAGTGACTCTCTTAGAGATGGATTTACTTGTGTCACTTTGAAAGTTGTCACTGTTTTGAAGTGTTATAAAAAAAATTTCGACAAATACTAAACCTTTCTTTATAAAATCGGTGTATTTATCTAACGAATTAAAAGCCCTAAGAAGAAAAGTCTCAGGTAATACAGATATAGCAAACCAAATACTCCGCCGCGTGACTTTAGAGAACATTCATCGCCACCGAAAACACATGCAAACATCACCCATCTCTAGTCCTCTCTTTTTGATGTCTTGTGCATTCGACATCGTTTAGTTTTGCTGTAAAAATAGTAAGTTTATTGTGAAATACTAAGCGCTAAGTGGTGGTAAACAATAAAAAGACAAGACAACGAAGCGATTTCTATAAACGCTTTGAATTAAACGATCAAAAATCATGCGAAAAACACTGCCAGAATTTTTTGCAAAACGCCATGTTGGCCGCTCAAACATAACCTCAACAAAAGCAAAAACTTATGTGGCCCGAAACTAATAAATTGTGATTCCAGGCGCAGACAAACGGCCGCGTAGAAAGTCAACGAAGATGTCGCGTTTCTTTGCCAACGGGTCCGACTCGGAGTCCGAGTCCAGCGAGGAGGAGATCCAAGCGACTAACTTCAACAAAGCCAGCGCCTTCGTGAGTACCGCCCGAATTTGAGACATCCCTGGGATATTTTTTATTAATCAAGATTTGTATTCTCCCTGGTAAACAGCAATTCAGCGACGATGAGGAGGAGGTCAAGCGCGTGGTGCGTTCCACGAAGGAGAAGCGCTACGAGAACCTAACCAGCATCATAAAAACCATCCGCAACCATAAAAAGATTAAGGATATCCCCAATACCCTGACCAGCTTCGAGGATCTGACGAGAGCCTACCAGAAGGCACTACCGGTCATTTCGAAGGAGGAGAACGGAATTACCCCGCGATTCTATATCCGCTGCCTCGCCGAACTGGAGGACTTTATCAACGAAGTTTGGGAGGATCGCGAGGGCAGGAAAAACCTGTCGAAGAACAATTCCAAGTCGCTTGGCACTCTTCGCCAGAAGGTGCGCAAGTACATCAAGGATTTCGAGGACGATTTGTCGCGTTTCCGTGAGGCCCCCGACCAAGAGAGCGAGGCTGAGGACGAGGTTGTAGCTGTAGACAGCGATGGCGGCGATGCTGGCGATGACAGTGATGCCGGAGCTAAGCGTGAGCCCACAGAAGCTGCTCCCAAGACGGCAAAATCAGTGCCGGCTAAGGCTGCGCCTGCTGACGACGATGATTCCGATGACTCCATTGACTGGGATTCAGACTCTGAGTCGGAGACTGAATCCTCTGACGATGAGAACCAGTACCAGAACATGCGCGAGCGTTTCCTGAAACGCACCACTGAAAAAGAAGATAAGGATGACGATAAGCGAAAGGACAAGCGCAAGGAGCAGAAGGTCAAGATCCGCAAGCGTGCAGAGGACGATGAGGATGGCGAGTGGGAAACCGTTGTTAAGGGTCATGTGGTGGAGAAACCCAAGATGTTTGAAAAGGATGCAGAGATTGACGTTCCCTTGGTGTTGGCCAAATTGTTGGAAATCATGTCGGCGCGCGGCAAGAAGCGCACAGATCGCCGTCTTCAGATCGATCTTCTATTCGAGCTGAGGGACATTTCCGATCAGCACAACCTTGGCACCGCTGTTTCCGTGAAGATTCACTTCAACATTATCTCGGCCATCTACGATTACAACCAGAAAATTTCGGAGCCAATGAAGCTAGAGCACTGGGCCCTGCTTCTGGAGGTGATGCAGAGCATGCTGAAACTCCTGCTGGCTAATCCCGACATCATTATGAGTGAGAGTGTGGCTGAGGAGCATGAGGAGTATGTCGCTGCTCCGTTCTACGTCCGTGGATGCCCTCTGGCTGCCGTGGAGCGCCTGGATGATGAGTTCGTCAAACTGCTAAAAGAGTGCGATCCTCACTCCAACGACTACGTGTCCCGATTGAAGGACGAGGTTAACGTGGTGAAGACCATCGAGCTGGTGCTTCAATATTTCGAGCGCTCCGGCACCAACAACGAACGCTGTCGTATCTATCTGCGCAAGATCGAGCATCTGTACTATAAGTTCGACCCGGAGGTGCTGAAAAAGAAGCGCGGTGAGGTGCCAGCCACGACCTCCACCTCCGTGGACGTTATGGATAAATTGTGCAAGTTCATCTACGCCAAGGACGATACGGATCGTATCAGGACGCGTGCCATCCTGGCGCACATCTACCATCATGCCATGCACGACAATTGGTTCCAGGCCCGTGATTTGGTCCTGATGTCTCATCTGCAGGACAACATCGATGCCGCCGATCCCGCCACCCGCATCCTGTACAACCGTATGATGGCCAACCTGGGTCTGTGTGCTTTCCGTCAGGAGAACGTCAAGGATGCTCACCACTGTCTGGTGGATCTTATGGTCACCGGCAAGCCCAAGGAGCTCCTCGCTCAGGGGCTACTGCCCCAGCGCCAGCACGAGCGCTCCGCCGAACAGGAAAAAATCGAGAAGCAGCGCCAGATGCCATTCCACATGCACATCAACCTTGAGTTGCTCGAGTGTGTCTACCTGGTATCCGCAATGCTTCTGGAAATTCCCTACATCGCCGCTCATGAGTTCGATGCCCGTCGCCGCATGATCAGTAAGACATTCTACCAGCAACTGCGTTCCTCGGAGCGCCAATCCCTGGTGGGTCCACCTGAGTCGATGCGTGAGCACGTCGTGGCTGCGGCCAAGGCGATGCGCTGCGGTAACTGGCAGGCGTGTGCCAACTTCATCGTCAACAAGAAGATGAACACGAAGGTATGGGACCTGTTTTATGAATCAGATCGTGTTCGCGAGATGCTGACCAAGTTCATCAAGGAGGAGTCACTGCGCACCTATTTATTCACCTACTCGAACGTCTATACCTCGATCAGCATTCCCTCGCTGGCACAGATGTACGAGCTTCCCGTGCCAAAGGTGCACTCAATCATTAGTAAGATGATCATCAACGAGGAGCTTATGGCCAGCCTAGACGATCCTTCCGAAACTGTCGTCATGCATCGCTCTGAGCCTTCGCGCCTACAGGCCCTTGCCATGCAGTTCGTGGACAAGGTTACCAACCTGGTTGACGTCAACGAAAAGGTATTTGACATGAAGCAGGGCAACTTCTTCCAGCGCGGCAATATGGGCAATCGTGGAGATCGTGGCTACAACCGCAACCAGAACAACCAGGGTGGAAACTGGGGAGGCCAGAGGCGAGATAATCGCAACAACCGCAACCGTAACCAGCGCGGACACCACAAGAACAACCAAGATAGGCAACAGCAGCAACAGCAACAAGTCCAGACCATTGACGAGGAGTAGACGTCACTACATCCTCAGTTCAATCCTCTCCAGGGAGCGTTAGCTTAAACACCAGCAAAGCATAAACAGAACAAATTTGTATCACTTCGACTATTAAAAATGGAATGGCCATGGACAACTCGTTGGGTTAAGTGCTGTCAGGCCTCCGATTCGGTTTCCAACTGGATCGGAGGTCTGGTTCCATCATCCATCGACATTGCATGTTGTTGTAGCCAAGTCCCATATAAATTTGTTTTAGCGCTCATTACGTTAAATGCTAATATTGATAACTACATTTTGTATGAACTCAAAACTAAAAAGAAAAAACCTTAAAAACAAGAGAAAGAAAACCAGTGGTTTATATAGGGTGGTGTCTAAGAAATAATAAACTGTGTACAATCTGCCCTTAGGTAGAAAGGGGTACATAATTGCCCTCTTTTGATTCTATGGAACTGAAGAATTGAAAGATTTAAATTTCGATGACGAAACGAAGAATTTCTTGCTAAACTTCCGATATCGATATGATTATTCTCACATCTCTGAAACCTTTTTCTCAGTAATACCGTTCCACAGACCTTTGTCACATTTTTTCGGATCTCTTATTTAACAAATTATAAATTGAAATAAAACAGTCAAACTTAACATACAAATGAGCAGCGTTGGCGAGGATTGCAACGAGCTGAAACAGCAATACGACGCCTGTTTCAACAGCTGGTTTTCGGAGCGGTTCCTAAAAGGTCAAACGGATGACTCAGCGTGCACGCCGATTTTCCGGGTTTATCAGGAGTGCGTTAAGGTAAGGCATTAGCTAGTATACCATTAAAATGATTTGACCAACCTGAAATTCTTAGCGCGCTATTAAGGAAAAGAAGATCGACTTGCGAGAGATAGACCCGATCTACGAAACTGATTCCGACGATAACATTAATAGTTCAGGTGGAAAGCAGCAGCATAAGGACAAAAGTTGACCAAAAAATAAGCTTCGCAAAAAACAAAGTAGCCAGCTCAAGGAGTATTGCATCTATAAGGAGTATTGCACCGTACCCCAATCCTCGCCAGCATGCTTTATTATAAAACCCTGCCAAACCGTAATCCTATTAAGGTCGTAGCACTCTTATTGTTATTTGAATGAAACTTGGGAAACTTATTATTTAATTACGAAACAGCCTAATTATTTTAGTTAAATAAATTAGGTGTTTTTAAAGTATGTGCAAGATTCAAATTTCGATTAAAAGTTTCATGTCAACGAAATTTATATCGATTGTCTGTTTCCCTCAACTCTGAAAGCCTTATCTTTAGTATGACCTTTGCACAAACTATCCGCACATTTTTTCGGCGTATTATTCAATAGACAAATTATAACTTAAAACCAAAAAACACGGCTTACAAATGAACAGCATTGGCGAGGATTGCAACGAGCTGAAGAAGCAGTATGACGCCTGCTTCAATAGCTGGTTCTCGGAAGGATTCCTCAAGGGTCAGACAGATGACTCGGGCTGCGCGCCGATTTTCCGGGTTTATCAGGAGTGCGTCAAGGTAAGGCCAAGTTTCATCATCGAAATGGTTTACCCAACCTTTGACCTTTAGCGTGCCATGCGAGACCAGAAAATTGAACTCCGAGAGGTTGGATCAGAGTACTCGACAGGCTCCGAGTACGACAACGCCAACAATTCTGGCACCAAGGCGCAGCCAAAAACCAAGAGTTGACCCTTAACGCCTCTGCAGCACTCTGGCTACGGCCTTGATTCCACTTTCGGCCAGGAACAGGTTTCCAGTAGTCTCATCGGTTGTCAGCGCCGACACCAGAGAGGCGGAACGGCGTAGGAGTCGGCTGATTGGTTTACTACTACATACCAAAAGCAGATTCGGTTAAGCAACATGGCTTCTATATCCATAAAGCTAGATCTTATATAAATTATGTAGTGAATGTTGTAAAATTAAGTTCAATTAGCGAACTCAAAAAGTGTTATATTCAGTCAGTCTCCGGTTTTAATTTGCTCAATGGTATTTAAATACACGGACAGAATAAGTTAAGACCGGAGTCCTCCTTATTGTGCATAATAGAAATAAAGTGTTATATCATAATTTGTCCTGTTTTTAAGTATAATTAAAAATTTACCTCTGTTCATTAGCAAATAGAAAGTGTTATATACTTGTTATCTCTTAAAGGTGAATCCCAACGCAGTTCAAACATATAAAAAAGTACTTCCCAAGTGGGAAATCACTTTGTGAAGATGATAAGTCAGACCCTATAAAACGAGCATTCAAAGCTTCCACAAAACAATCAAAAGATTAAATTCGAAGAAACAAGATGCAACTGCTGCCAATCCTTGTGATCTTTGCTTTAGTCATCTGTGCCGTCTGCAAGAACCATGAGGAGTGGGGAGGACACCGACCAAGTGATTATGACCCTAGGCCATATTCAAGGCGGTTTTGAATCAATTGAAAGCTACCGAGTTAATAATAATCAATGAAAAATCAATAAAATCAAAAACTAGGACATAGGCGTTGCGGATTTGAAAGTGTTCTATGGGTTATATTCAGTTGGTTATTATACCTTTTTAAAAACTTTCCTTGAATAGATTTTTTAATTTAAAACTTAGTTGCCTTTGGAAACAAAATAAACAAAAACACATCTGATTAATTAACGCTGTATTTAATTAAATCCAGACTGAAGCTAGTGCCGAGATGAGTAAAAATTGGCACCCGCTTCCAAAACTGTTTCTGAAACATTTATAAATGTTTGCTGGCTTAAAAACTATCTGCCACAATCAAACCAAAAACACAACTAATTAAAAATGTTTCAGTTAGAAAATAAACTGCGGCAGCAGACGATAGTAACTTAAAAATCTACACAACTTTTTGCACAAAAATAGGTGGAACAAACATTCACTTGCCACCGGAAGTGAACTTAGATAGCTTTTCCAGCAGACCAATGTAGGAAGTGTGCTCGTGGGCAGTAGCCAGATCGGACAATTTCTCGGCAAACTCCTGACTGATGCCCTTCTCCTCCAACAAGTTGATCAGCAAGTCGTACAAGTAGCCATCAAGCACGTCGCCGGCCACGGCATAGACTTTATCGTTCCACTCGCCTTCATAGATGGCCAATTCATCAATGGAGAACACGTCGTCTGAAAGAAAATCCGGGTGTCATTTACGTAATTTATAAAACTTTATTCATTATACTCACTGTACTCGCCCTCCTGTGCTTCTCCTTGGAGGTAGGTGCAGGTAAAGGACAGCGTGGAGTTACCCTTAATGATGTCTACCTCGAACTGGGGCTTGCTCCTCATCTCGCCCAGCTCTGGTTTGTCGGCATTTGGGTTGATCTCCGGCTCCTCCTCGCTATCTACAGAATGGTTCACATTGAAGCTGACCACCACCTTCTCCTTATCTGTCTGCTTTGTGAGCTCGACATCGGCGCCGCTCAGTTTGACGGTGAATCCGTCCAGAGTGCTTGGAACAGACTTGCCTTTCTGCACCTTGCGCTCGGCCACGATTTCTTCGGTAAGGAACTCCACTAATTCTCGCTCACCTGGGCATAAACAAAAGGTTATACATATGTATGTTTAAGTGTTTTGGGCTACATTTCATCATCCCACGTTTGAGGTTATGTAACTGGCGGCATGGATCGTCCATATAAGACTTCAATAAGATAAAAACTTACATTTCGTGTGTACGTTGCACCCGCACGTGCAATTGATGCTGGGCTTGTGGAGATTCAGAACGGTTACATGATCGGATCCTCCAACGGACACCGGCTTTTTGGTCATGTGCCACAGGCTACGGGTGAAGTCCCGCTTGCCCACAGATCCCGCACTGGAGCTAGCCAGGCTGGCAAATCGCATGGTGGCTGTTCTCAGGCTGTTCATTTTGTTATATAACCCTTTTATTGGTTTTTACTTTAATTAAACCGAGGAATGTGCAACACGCCGAGTGTATAATGCCTTGAGTGACCGTTAAATCGAATTATGAAAATCCCGCAAGCGTATACCTCTGGGAAACGTGACTGAATTTATCGATAAATGTTGGCGCGAAGAACTACAAAAAAAAGTATTTAAAAATTCTTTTATTTAGAGAACGCTTTTTTAAGTCGCCTTTCCGTAGGACAATCAAAAATTTATTTAAGAAAATAAGGTTAAATAGTTTTGTTGAATTTAACCACAATATATAAGCATTTCACCATCTTTCCTTCTTAAAACCAACTTAAAATGCACTCGCACATATGAAAAAATTACGACTTTATTAGATTTTCGAATTGCTTATCGGATGTATACAACAATATACACAGTACAAGACATACACAGTAATAAAAACTAAACACCACAATGGGTTCTCTGGTTTATGATCCTCCAAGCGGAAGACCCTTTCCTACACAATATTATTATGTATGCAATCAGACTCTCTCGTCATATATATCATTGTTTTTCAACCAAAAGGCATATCATTTCATCTTTATAAAATTTCAATAAAATCTATCACAATATGAGAATTTTATCTGTATGTTACTTTTTTTGTAAGATTTAAAAATATTTTATGTGTAGCTTTTTTTCGGGGTTTTTCTGTTTTCGAGGATTTCTTATACTTATGTTTAGACATTAGGCGTAGACATGCGTATAAAAATATATTAATTACGATGAAAATTGCATTTTACACGTTTTAAAATAAGATTGCCATTGTACATTGTATCATGCAAATTCTTCAGTGGGACGGACAACAGCTTAAATGTAAACATAAAAATATTAAAATGCTGAATTATTTTCATTGCTAAGCTCATTATTTTTCATGCAAAGCTTACAAATATATATTAAGGCCTAGATTCGACACGAATTTTGTTTACTGTTTATAAGGCTTGCTGTTGATGCAGATTTAAATTTAGTTCCGTTTTGTTGTGCGTGTTTTCATCTTGATGATGTGGGAGCTGCGGTGTCAGTTCATATCAAACAGCCTCATAGAAGTTTTTTTCGTTCCTTAGCCTAGTTCGTACTCTTAATTACATTCTATGTTCAATTCCTTATTGAGCTTATGTTAGATACAATTTTACGCTTTTGTTAGCCACTAAGCATAGAGCTTTAAAGTCTATGTCGTATTCTGTTAGTTCTCCACAAACAAACTCATATAGAAAAATGATTAATTCAGTCTAACAAAATACTTGTTGGATATTCGATTGAATTTCGAGAAAATAATTGGGGCTGTGGGGTTGGGATTTCGGCCTCGAACTGCTCGGGTTTTGATCAGGTTCGATTTCGGTATGTATGATATGTGAATACATTTGTACAGCACTAATATTTGCACTTAAAAATTATACATTTAGAGTACTCATAAGGGGCGACAAATACGGGCTGCTTGGCCAAGAGCTGACACTCCTATTTTGGACAGCAAAGGTCGACGTCAAGGGAATGCGGAATGCTTCATTTAGCCGAAGGCTAAGGCAACCCGTACACTATGTTGTCAATAAATTTAACTAAATTTTGCCAAACAAACTAAACTTAACTTATTTTAGTTATACATCAAATTAAATTACATTAAATACATGCTAAGTAAAAAAAGATGCAACAGATTCTGCGTCCTAATCTTCAGACGCGTTTCAAACGCATCCGACACCGTCGTCTACTATAATCGCGGGATGGGTGGGGGGTTACTATAACTATCAGCAACATAAACAACGAAAATATGTTTTAGAGTATAGAAATTCGACTAATTTTGCAATTGGCTGCCGTTGCAAGCTCACTAGATGTAAGTTCGTTTAACTTTCGTCAGCGTTGACGTCTTACAAGGCAACTCTTTTTCCAAATGTTCCGTGGAGTTTTTGCACTCATGACTGCGATCTTTTTCTAGATCCAGGTTCGGTGTTTTCTGTGTGGTTGTGTATGCATTAGAGCCCATCAACAGATTAATATCCTTTCCAGTGTTTTGATGTTTAAATTGTCTAATGAGATCATTTTATTAGCTTAGTTTTATTTATATAAATAGTGTAAAAGATCAACTTACATTGGCTTCCCGAAGTGATTGCGGTGACTGTCATCCATTTGGGCCTCCATCAGGCGACTCTTTGCCTTAACACAGAACACTCCAGCAATACCACCCACCAGGAAGGTACCAAAAGCAAGAATTGTAATTACCATGTAGCTGGGAGCTGAAGCATGCATGATTTCATCCACGCTAGCTGTGGATTTCTGGGGATCTGGTAGACGAAAGTGTTAATTAAAACAACGATATTTATTAAATGATAAGTAAAACTACTAACCGTTTAAATTAGGCATAATATCGTCTGGATCCATAGATGTAAGTGTAATCTTGTTAAGCCCAAAGTCATCGCCACCAGTTGGCTGTTGTTCCAAGCTAGGCTGATTGGCCTGTGAGGCACCCACATTGGAGTACAGAAGTTTCTGTTCCTCTGTCGGCGGTGGAGCCATGGTAACAAAGTTCACTGTTTCAACACCTGGTCCATCACGCGGGATGTGCGGACACAGCAGCGCAGCAGCTTTCCTGACTGTGTTCAGGCTCTGTAGATAGGTCTTTGTTCCGAACTTATGTTGGCTAGTAGCTAGGTTTTTGCACTCGTGAGTTTGCAAATCCCAAGCGCAAATGGGATCCTGGAGGCTTAAGCAGCCCACGCAGTCAACAATATGGGTGCAATGGTGCAAAGGTACGCTAACTAAGCTGCCGTCACTAACAACCACCAAAGAGTTCTTTGAAGTGGAGATGACCAACTCCTTAACTGGTGTTCCAAGTGGCAAGACCTGCATCTCCGAAATAACCACCGTCTTCAAATGCTCCACTGTTGAGTTTGGATGCGTGGTCAGTATATTGATGAACTTAGTCACCTTGCCGTCATCGGTGCCACTATAGATAACATCATAGTAGGCGCCGCTGAGCGACTTAACCTGCGGATGTACTGCAATGGCAGTAAGCCGATGGTGCAGATTAACCTTTGTAAGCAGTGGGCGTCCGTGCACAGCAGGCACAGCACCCTCCATCAACGGATGATGCTTTATGAAATTGACCGCAATGCTAGTCAGTGTTCTTGAGTCATCTACGCACTGACCCGGTCGTGGCTTTGGCACCTGTTCACGCTCCACTGGTAGCCAATGGGACTGTGAATCCTTCTGGGATTTGAATTCTCCATCAAAGGCGGCCAGTATATCGTCCACATCAAAGGCACAAACTGCGGATCCGGAAATGGCATTCGCAGAGGTGGTAAAAACTGCATAGACAAGTGACTTTGATCCACTCTCCACAACCGGACTAATGGCCTCTGTAAAGAGAAAGTAAGAATTTAGGTTTATTAGGTTTATATTTTTAATATACTTAAGGTTCATTCTTAAATCAACTTACGAATTTCGTCGAAGTAGAAGGGAAATTCGCCGGGCACCGAGCAGTTCAGGCGGGTCTTAAGAAAGGAGGTCCAGCTCTTGCCGTGGTTATAGGGTCCGCCACGGTCGTTTTTACAAACCCTAGCAACGCGCGAATAGACGGCCTTGCCGAAGTTCATAAACTCCATGGAAAGCTCACGGAAGAAAAACAGAACGTAGCCCTTCCTCTCGATGGCGCCGACAAAGTCTGGCTGATTTAGTTGCTTGAGATCATACTGTTCTGTGCGCAGATTCTCCCTATAGATGAGAGGATCCCCGCCCGAAAAGTCCGCCACGGTGGCGCTGTACAACTGCCCATCGGCAAAGGCATAAGTGCTGTTATGGGCGGGACTGTAGGGGCACAAGCCCTGTGCCTCCACATCTCGGCTGACTTCATATCGCATAGCGTGGGCGTGTCCAGCTGAGTTGGCCTCCTCAGATGACACTTCCACCGGCGTATAATGACGACAGCGGGGCTTATACGAATTGGTGCCACAGAGTAGAACTTCGCCATTGGATCGCAGTGCGAACACACGAAGGTAGTTATGACAATCCCACTCGAGCTTTCCCTTCAGGGCGCACAGCTCCCGGTCCGCATCCGTGCTGCGCCACTCCAGACGCGAAATCTCCTTCAGGCCATTTAGGCTCACATTGTAGATGACGTCCCTGCAAATCGAGATAGAGAACAATTGAATTAACAAATGCGAGAATTAATTTGCCGATGGCGTGTGCCTGCCCAGAATGTCGAATGGAAGCCAGCCAAGTACGGTGACCAAAAATAAACGACAAAAAAGAAGACGTGAGTCGAGAGCTTTGTGCCAGGAACACACAAATGTTTGCCTGAATCTACAGTATCGGTTCAAAATATAGTTTTATATATCAACGAATGAACTTTTAAAACGTGTACAAACTGGTTGTAAATGTAGGCAAATATATACTTAGAGCCAAGGTGGCGAGAAACACTTAAAGTAAACATTACGAGTTATAAACAAGTTTTACAATTAATAAACAAGATGTTTTTCATAACCGTAAAATGTGTGTTTTATTTTATCTTTACTCTTTTTGTTGATTAGAGCTTTTTCAAGACCTTATTGCTATTATTGTGACCGCAGCTGTTTGTACGACCCGCCGACAATCATATCCCAAGGTTGCCTTTGTGCAAATAATTAGAACTTGTATACAATTGTATAATTTTGTGTTTTAAGTGGCTAATTATTGTTGCTGCTAATTTGTTGCTATGATGTTTATGGCACCAGCAAGTCTGGGGCGCAGGAAAAATATGATAGATTGAAAGCTGGTTTCCATTTGTCGGTCCATTTCAGATCGCCGATAACTGACCATTAGTCAGTCAAATGGTAATTTGCTAGGTTCTCACATTGTATGTGAATAAAATCATTGGATATTTATTAAAATAAAATTATATACAAGACGTCTTATCGAAACAATGATGCATTTTATAGGAAAATATCAGAAAGTATTGAAAACAACGTGATATAAATGCTGTTCCTGACTTATTGACGTTACTCATGGAGCATATAATTATACGATTGAACCCTAACAACTGGCACTCTCAGTCCAGACCTCTGTATCTGGTCAATGCCAAATCACTCCGACTTCCCGGAAATGGAATGAGAAATGCTACATTTGCACTTGCCACTAATGAAAATCGAATATCTAGCCAAACAACAACCAATAAGGCAGGAGAGTAATACAAATGGCGCGTTAATTATTCCGCGAATCGAACGCTGGGTTATTGTGTTTTTATAAATATTTAAAGGTGTTCGTGCCAAGTTTATTTGCGCACAGGTAGCCGTAGCGGGAACTTTTTTTTTATTGTTTGCCAGAAATCAAAGATCAAAGATCGTAAATATAAAAGAAATTCACTTACTTGGCACCCACTAGAACATATTCATCGTTGTGGTCCAAAATCTTAAAATAGTCCGTTGAGTTGCCAATAAAATGGGCCAAGACTTTATCTTGTTCTGCAAATAAAAGAATAAAAACCAAATGTTATTGACTGTTTTTGGTTATATAACTTGTGTTTTTTTAAGATTTCATGGTATTTTGTTTAAAGCATATTTTCTGTTTAACTTGCTGCAGAGGAAATGCTTATTTGTTGCTGGCATTGCGAAAATTCCGCCTGATAAGCAGCTTGGAAAATCAGAGCTTCCACAGAGCTTAGCTTGTCATTGATAAACCAGCAACAATACGAGCATAAAGCAGCAAAACAGAGGCAAAAACCAAACAAATGACACAAATAAACAAATAGTTAGATAGAGGAGAGGCTTGAAAGAGGGATTGGTACATACTCGTTTGCAAATCGGGTCGCACGTCGGGCATCCAACCTGCCACGATCGTCAGACCGGCATAGGTGATCAACAGGCTTATAGATATCGCATTCACGCTGCCTCTATAAGACCCACTTATTAGCATCGCCGCCGATGAAGGTCTGCTCTTCGAGCTCATTTTGCTGTCTCGTAGCTGGGGAAACTAAGTACTCCACTCCTCCGAGTTCTGATGATTCAGCAGCGTGCGGGGTGCTTGGGATCTTGGACTGATTTGTTTTTTTTGCTGGTGGTGCCAATGGGGCTGGTTGACTGGCTGGCTGGCCTCTCCGACTGGTTTTAATCACTGACGCCTCGCATTCTGATGTCCAATGTCTGCCATTGTCGCCGATAGTTGTGCTGATTACTGGGTGTTATTGTCGCTGTTGCTGCTTCAGCATCTGGCTATAAGTATTCAAGTGTCAGAGACAACGACACAATAATTGAGACACCTAGTGAATACACTTGTTGGTTTTATTTTAATGCAATTAGCTGGTGGCAAAAAGGAAAACGCTAAACCTGCAATGGAAGACGGTCAAAAAAGTGTGTTGTTAGAAAATTATTAGAATTTTTTAGTGGACCGCGGCGACTGGTAATATCTTTTTTCGAGCGCATAATCAGTTAACTTTTGCACTAATCAAACTCAGCAATATGTAAGTTAGCCAAAAGGCACGTAGACGACAGAAGTCATGTTTTATTTGAAACGCATCAAAATTTGTTATAACTGTTATAAATTTGTTTGTTTATCACTTGGTTTCCCCTTTGTCTTTCATTTGCTTTTATTACCGAATCAGATAATTAAATCCACTTATATAATGGCTACTTGTGAATTCTGCACACTTTCTTTTCGCCAGTTGCTTTCCGGCTCCGGTTGTGTGTGTTTTTTGTTTTGAATTTCGTTTGAGTTTAAGCAGCGGACCGCGAACCGAACATGGGCTAGACTCAATGAGCACTGAACATCGAAATGAGCATGAAATGCGAAAAGCAAACAACGTAAAACAACCGCCCACGCTTTGAGAGCAACTGCTCTCGGCGGTTTGAGCAGCACTTACTACTACTACTACTACTACTACTACTATCCTCCCTCTCTCTCTTTCTTCCTCTCCCGTTCTGTCGCGCTGTTACAGCAAAACCTCCCTAAATAGAATGTTCTGTAGATCTGGGGTAAAAGTGTTTATCATCTAATCTTTACGGATACTTAACTTCTCCATCGCGAACATTGAACTCCCTTGAATTTTTAAATTAACTAACTTTAGTTTTAAAACAATTTCTTCCTTTAGCCTAACATACCTTTTCAGATGAATAGCATGGGTTATTTTCTAAATTCCCTCATCTTAAGCAAACGAAGTCGGTGAGTAATTTATTTATCAAATTTTTAATATATTTCCTTTGGTTTGAAATATTTGTATGACCCATGGGCAAAATCATGAAATGGTAAGTCCAAAGGAAATTAAACTCAATATTATTTTAAGTTATGAGAATACTGGAAATTACCATAAATCGGCAAAAACAAAAAAATCATTAAGAATTCACTGAGAAAGAATTTTAAGCATTGAAAAAAGATTTTTTAGTTGCATTTTTTTTCATTTAAGTTAATTTTGATAAGCAAAAGAAGAACAATTTTGACATTTTTCTGCAAACGAGGCCTGACTGTATAGACCCAATCCAATCAAATATTCCGAGTCCTGTCTGACATGTCATGTTTTTCCGAGCATGAGTCATGCCGACAGCCTGGTTTTCCTGCTTTTGTTGGGAATCACGTGCGGTATTTTCCGCCAATTTCCCTCCTAATCAGCGTTGAGCTACGATTTTCAGGACGTGCCGCTGAAGGTCTATAACTGACTTCTTTCTTTTTTTGATTTTCCCCGCGGCGAACACCGGACCTACGAACATAGGTGTGTTTTCCTCATTCACACACACACGTAATTTCCATGCGGGTTTTCAGGTTTTCAGTTGGTTTTTTTTCTCAAGACGACCACTCGAATGTTATAGTTTCTCACGCACCCAAAAAGTCGGTGGGTTACACATGGACAACTTTTACCTACTGACGGATCGGTTTGGCTGGGATCTCCGATAAATTGCTTTATTGGCCAATTGAAGGTCGGTGGCAACTACTTGTTGTGTTTCGCTCAATGAATTCAGATGATTCGTGGTGGTGGGTATCCCATCATATCGTATCGCATCGCTTTTCGTCTTTCATTTTCCTAAGCGAAGGTTTTTTCACGGCTCAGCCACCAGAGTTTTTTTAAGTCACAGGTCAAGTGACCTGTGGCCCATCTCTTGGCCGCTTTAATGCCCTCAAATTATGGGGGTTGGCCTTAAGAACACGTATGAGAAATGCCATAAAAGTGCATAATAAATATTATAAATTACATTTGAATACCCTCTTGAACGGCACAATTTATCACTCTGTTTTGCGGCTTAGTAAGCGGGGAAATCAGCGAATGGTACTGACCGCAACATTGGGTACTACATTTATGTTGTGGCTAGTGGAACCTCTTACAGAAATAATCAGTCATCTAGGTATAAAGACAGGTAATTAACACCTTTTTCTGCTGCCCTAGATCTAAGGAACTTTGTGCTCGTTTCGGATCGCTTAGAAAGGTCTTAGACATCGAGAAATTTACTTTAAAGTCAGAAAATTAAAAAAATAAATACAATAATTTAAACCTAAGCCACCTCTTGTCTTCACTACCAAGTAGATATAGAAAAGAATATATATATATATATTGAAAAATATAATTTTCTGTACTTCGCAACATTTAAACATAATAGCATGGAACTTTGAGGGTATTTTCTTATCGAGGTTAGCAATACTTGGAACCAGTGTTTTCATAAGTTTTCATTTTTTTAGTGGCATTCTCATATTTCACAAGCCACACACTCGGGTTCAATGCCAGGAAGTCCGTTCCGCTTCTGGCAGCCCATAAAAATACAGATACAATTATTTCAGCCCGAAAAAACTGACCGTCTGGCGTTAAATTAATGAGCTAAACTTTGAGATCAAGTTACGAATGTGTGCCACTATTTTTTAAATAGCGTTGGGTGGTACACCCATCTATCTCCCGGCGGCTGTTGATAAGCATGGGTTTTTAGAGTTGCGAGATAACAGCCTCATCAAGATAAAGGTGAAAAGTATGTCACGTTTGACACTTGTTGTCGTACCCTTTTTACCTCATCTCTGTTTTGGGCCTGCGTGTGGGAAGCCCGACAAGAACGTGTTAAATCGAGATACGTTTCTTTTTTTGGTTTCGAGTGAAAGAACAAACAACTAAAAACTGGCAGTGTTCCTTACAACAGACGTGATCAATACAAAATTGATTTTAGCGTCTAGTTATTAGTTATACACCGTTTACAAACAACTGCCCACGGTAGAAATCCCATGAAAAACAGTGGAACCTTGTTGAGATGATTTCGAGTATTTATCAATAAATGAAGTTACCATTAAAAAAGGAGCAACAATTGAAAGTGATTTAAGTAATTTTATAGTTCATATTGGTCTTATATCCGGGCCATATAAAAGTAATTTTTCTGGACATTGATCATTTGCCAAATGACAATCATAAAAACGAAATTTCCCTGCTCAAATTAACTTGCTACAAATTGATGATATACCAATTATTTTAGTTTACACCATATAGTAAACGCTTTATGATTAAGGTGTATTATAAGGACATGGGAAAACAACTTTGGAATACTTTCCAAGGGAAGGTGAACCTTAGTTTACAGTATAACCCACGTTATTTAGGGTAAAAATTTTAGAATTTTTAGGATGCAATAAGAAGTAGGAATAGTTAAGTGGACATCATATCGTTTCAATCTATAGATTTCTGTGTCCTGCTAGTTCTTTATAAAATCCAATAGAGATGTCATAAGGTTTTGTGTTAGACTTACAGAAGCAACACTGTATAACTCGTTTGTGTCCGTGGGCGTTTTCATTAAGCAGCACCAAGTGGCAACAGGTGGATTCGAGTGGCGTGTAGTGGCTGTTGCCTTTTGGAGCCTGACTGGCTGCCAGATTAAATCGAGATTGCACTTTGCTCAGAAATAATTGACATTATGCATAATTTTTATTTTATGAATTACAATCAGTTCCAAAGAGGCTGTTTTCTTTTTTGTACCGCCTATCAGCTGCAGTTCAACGATCTGTTCTGTTTTTCATAATTTCCACTTTTCGAAGAACAATAAAAAATAATCAGAAAAGGCATGGTCCGTAGGACGGAATTATCACCGGACTTCCGATGTTTGGTGAATCATGTGTAGATGAACCAGTTTACTATATTTAGATGATTCAGCTGAATCTCTTTTGGATAGGCGTTATTATGGCGCGACAAGTTTTTCAGTTTTTTTTTGTAAGTTTTTCATTCACAAAACACATAGAGCACTCACAAATGTGGGAGTTGTTTACTAGGGTTAATTTGGACAGCTTGCACCGCAGTGGGGTTAAGTGGGACGCGTTCCAGTTTGGCCACTTGAATGGGAAAACGCACTTTTGAAAATTGGGAACACGCGCTGGAATACGAACATATATTTGTACATACATAGGTATGTAAATGCAACTTCCATTTGGTGTTAACCGTTACAGCTCAGTGGTAAATTGATTAGACTGCTAATCGATTGGATTCTTTTTCTTTTGGGCATCAAACCCGTTTTACTGTTGCCTCGAACATCAGACCACCGCCTAGCGCATGAAAAACAAGTCCGATATATTCACCTGTAGCTACGCGTCACTTCTAAGCTGGCTAACTCTTTTTTAGCTTCAGCTTCTTTTCCACTTATTATCCGCTTCTCTTTCGACTCGTTTACTTTACCACTTTGGCTGCTGTTTACAGCCAACATACACACGCACACACACTAGCACACGATGATTTATTTTCTTGTATTACTTGTTTCTTATGTTGGTTTGTTAATGTTGTTGTAGTTGTTGCTGCTGCATGCGCATAAATTAAAGAGGGCGAGAGCGAGAGGGAAGTAACACACGTCTGTACACAATGAAAACCTGTTTGTTGCTTTTTATGCTTCCAGTGCGTCTCTTTGGGTGTGTTGTTGTTGCCTGGAGGCCAGAGACGCTATGCGGGGGTTGTCTTTGTAAAACATTGTTTTAGTCACTTGAACTTAACACGAATCCTTTTCAAACTATATATTCGTTCACAGCTAAGTTTGTATCAACTTTAAAACTCACCAAAATTCATAAAAACATTTAAATAAACGATCAAATTAAGCGAAAAACACGGAACACGAAAAAAGTGTATACAACTTCACTGATCGACGGCCATTTTTAAAGTGACCATGCCGCGCCTCTTGAAAGATGCCACAAAAATATACCACATCGGGAGCTAGTATTAAAGAATACCTTTAATAAGCCGCACTAATAATGTGTGGTGTTTTTTAGTGCCATTACGGTATGGCAGAACCGTTCGTTTCTCTTGAAAGAAAAACAGAAAATAAAATCTAATATGAATAAAATGAAACAGAAATAGAGTGCAGCATTCATCTGACAAAGAGAGGTTTAAAGTGCAATACATCATGGCGACAAAGTAAGTGCAATTGATAACGTTTTAAAAGTCAGTGCAAAAAACATCAATGCGGGTGTATGTGAATGTGTGTATGTGGGCGGCGCGCTGTGTATGTGGTGGTATTTTTGTGTTTGTTTTGAGCTGCAGCCTCCGCCCCCGCAGCCACCCACCTCCCCCTTGTTCATCTCAATTTGCATTCACATACATAGAAAGTGGGAAGAGGAAGCAGCACGAGATAAGTATCGATTTCGAACGGTGAAATTGATAAAATGTCAAAGTTCAAAGAATTTTAAAACCGGTAAAATGAAATTTTAATTATAAGCTTTTGCGAGAGTGATTCCCAAAATTTTAAAGTAAGATGATGCGAAATTCTTTGGGAATCCCCTAAAAACGGTATTCTATAATTTAATCTATAAAGCCGTCTTCTTATTAAGCAATTATAGAATTTTTATATTTTGGTGATAGATTAGTGCTTTAAAAAAATATAAATTAAAAATAAAAATTATTTTGTCAAAAGGAAAATTATTTTTAAAAATTTTTTAAGAGCATTTTATCAACGAAAAAAGTTTAAAAAGATAAGTTAAAGGTTTACATGACTTTAACTTTAAGAACAATACAAATTTTAGTATTAGATGAATTATTTTTAGATGTAAAGAACTGAATTAACAACAAAAAACAATTATCAATTTAAAATAAACATTAAGTTATAGGAGTTCTAAAGGTCAAGAACCTATTAGTCAGACATTAAATTAGTCATTTTTGCCGGTCAAACCTCACGTAGCAACGGTTAAAAATTTTCTTGGGAACTCCCCATAGAAATGTTGAAGGGCCAGGTGTTTAATTTTAATTAAATCGCAAAACCATCATGACTATTTGTTTTTTTGGCTGTAATGCAGTGAGCATGATGTAAATCATTTGAACCAAGTTAATTGTCACTGCGAAGGCTACTAACTGGTTTTCTCGAAATGTGTCGATTTTATTGTCTTCCACACTCAATTGCCCATATAGGATGGGAATTTTGCTAGCATTTGTAAAATTCAAGTTGAAGTAGTAGGTGGATCGAAGTGTTTCCCGTGAAGCAGAAGTGTGATTTTTTTGTATCTTCATCGTCAAAATCAAAACTTGTTTGCTACTTAATTATACCAGCCTTCGTTTTGGGTTCAAAAATGGCCAAGCGGTCGGAGGCTCAGATAGTATTTATTCAACCATAGACAGGTCATCATGTTTCACATTTTGTGCACGGTGAGTTGCGGATATTTGCAAAATCTAATCAAACAATAATTAAGGTGTTAATAATTTAGCTCTTGGCGATTCTCATCGTAACATTGGCCCATGCGGCCCCTCAAACTTCTCCAACTATCGTTCCACAAATCCGAACTAATGGCTTCCAATTGGAACCCCTCAACCAAGAATACTTTCTCAGGTAGTTGGTATTCTTTTAAAAATCAATAAGTTAGTTACATTTTGCTCCTGTAGAATTGAACATCCGGCTGGCACTATTCGCCAGGAATCCGTGAAACAGGATGAAGCCGGTCATCTGCAAGTCAATGGAGTGATCAATCAGCCTTTTGAGGATCAGGGTGCCAATCTTATCCTCACCTACGAAGCTGGTCCAAATGGTTATGTTGCCAAATACAGCTTTGGCAAGGGTCCGCCAACGCCCCCGCCTGAAACCCCGCTATTCCTTAGCCCCAGTGCCCTAAAAACCGCAGCTGGTTAAGATTGAGTCAAGAGTGCCTTAATACACTAAGATAAAACATACTAAGAGTGTCAGAATAACAAATAAGTTTTGCACAACCATAATATATTTTCTACTTATTAAATGTAATGAAATCATAAAAAGAAAAGTTAATAACTTTTATTTAAAACACACAACTAAAACTCTTTAAGCATAGCATAGTATACCTGCAACACCATCAAAGACTGACTTTTAATGATGCTAATTATCGATTCCAGTTTAAGACCTGTATCGAGTTAGTGCTTTGTTTTCTGTTTGCTAGCTGCTCCATGGTATTTAACAATTTCAGTCGCTAAACGACAACCAAAAGATCATCATGGCTATATTGTTTAGCTCAGTAAGTTCCTCTCTAGAGATTTTACACTTCAATTTAATAATATATATTGGCTATAGGTGCTATTGATTCTATCTGTGAGTCTAGTGATTTCGGCACCCCCAAATTCACTTACAGGGCTAGTGCCGTCTATAAACGACAATGGCGTTCTGTTAGTTCCATCCGATAATAGTTATTACCTGAGGTAAAATTCAAAGAAAAACTAATCAGTGAGCATAAAAAACTGACTTCCATATCCTAGGATCGATGTAGATGGGACTGGCAGGGAGGAGACCGTTGAGCAAATTGCTCCAGAGCAGCTTCAAGTTAAGGGTAGCTATGGACAACCGTTCCCAGGATCAAAGTACCTTCTGGTTACCTATGAGGCCGGACCCAACGGCTATGTGGCTAAGTATAGCCTATCTGAAATCCATAACCAGGTTCAACAGCTTCCACCCGCTGCCTTAAAAACTGCAGCTGGATAAAAAAGTATAAAAACTTTTAAATAAAACTGTGAAATCAAAGAATACAAAGTGAAATTATTAAATGCAAGAGACGTTGTGCCACATTCAATATTAAACAGCGTCTTGTTTGTTATTTTTGGATCAAGTTTTATACTCGTTTTGGGGTGTTATTATTTAAATTGTTCTCAGATCTAGTTGTGCACCTTGAAAGTGTCGAGCCAAAAAGCTATTAAGAATACTTTTATCGGTCAAATGGTTAAGATTTTTAATATTATATAAAGGCCATATCCATATATAACATGCCGATTCAAAAGTATTTAATTTGTAAAATTCTTAATAAATTTGGTGTATAAAACGAATTACACAGTTTTAAATTTTAGCTTAACATAGTTTTTAAGTGTTCTCACAAAGCCTCTCAAACTGTAGTACACAGCAAAAGTCATGATCAAGTTCTCTGTCGACTTCGTTACCCTCTGAAACTGGAATCGATACCTTCGGCATTGAAGTGGCCACCAGTGGCCACCAGCATTGAAGTGGCCACCAGTTCGATTCATACATTATATGAGAGAATAGCAATCGTACGCCCGCTCAACCGCAGTGATAGAAAGACCTCGAAAAGCTTTCACCTCACTTCTCACCTGCTGTTGGTTTACCTGAGCGTGAGCGGAATTCTGATCACGCTCTCGTATCACAGTTGGTCGTATCAGGCAGCTGGGCCACATCAGACTCAGACAGTTGGCATTGTGCTGCGGTATTGGCTTGTTGACTTATCAAAATCGGTGGTTGTTAAATTTTTGATAAGAGACAACGATGCAGCGTTAGACTTGGAAGCTCCCGTATATCAAAGGCAATGTTTCGGGATTGGCGTAAATCCAGACATAAGCGATGGCAGAAAGTGCAGAAGGACCAACCAGTGATCCTGACTGAAAGGTTCCTCTATTGATCTTCGTACTACGTTTTATTTCTAAACCTTACTTGATCAAAGAAATTCACTGAACTGTGAAATTAAAACTAAAAAGTTCAGAACGAATTGCGTTGTTTAAGTGCTTTCGTGCATACAGGTTTTGTTCGAGCACTAGATCTATTATTGCTTTAACAGATTTCGAAATTCCGCTCATCTGTACAAGGGAAAAGAGTAAACACAAGTATATTAGCACTCAAATTAGGAACTAATTGTTCTAAAACAGATGCTTCCTTTTGAAAGGGTTTATGGCTTTATTCTCATTTGGATTTGTTTACTAAATTCGCTTACCTAAAACTCATTTACAGGGAGACGATGATAGTGTTTGTCTACGACACAGAGTGTCTGATAGACGAGGCGGATGATCCCATATCGGCTGTACTCTACTTCCATCCAAGCTGGGTGTCCGACTCTCAGAAGGTGGCTCTGTGTGGACAACTTATGGGCACCTCGTACTTCCTCAAGGATTGCTTCTTTAATCCACGCATCCTGTCCCTGCAGAATGGAAAGTTCGTGCTTAAAGAATTTGGACGTTTTATACTGGTAAGGAAATAACATGCAGCTCACTTTATAACCTTAATAAAAAATTTTGGAATTCTGCTATTCAGGCTATTGGCACTGATCGGAATATTGGAGATCAACTGTTGGAACATCGCGCCGATTTGCTGAGTTCCCTGCTCAAATTTTTCCACCGAGATGTGCAGACCCTGTATGCTCAGTACGGTGTCCTAAATCGCCGGAATCTCAGCGAGAAGCTGTACCACATCTTTGAAACATATCTGCCGATGCTGCAGCGCAACGGAAATACATTTCAGAATGTGCCCAGATTACGAATGCCGAAGGTAAGTGACTGTATTTATAAACATGGAGACTGAATTAACCATGATTTGTATCTAGACCGCTAGTCACATCTTCTTGGAGGCCATCCAAACGCTGCAGAGCTGCCAGCAGACAAAGGGAATCCTTGGAGGAGCCATTCTGTACCACAACAAGTTAGTTGGCTCTACTTAAAGTTAACAGAATAGTTATTAACTACGTTTTTATTACAATTTGCAGAGTGGTGGCCTCTCAGTTGAGCGATATGGTGACGAAGCATTTGGTACTCACAGATCCTCTCCACATCCGCACAGCGGCCGAACCAGTGACCAATGAACAAGAGTTCCACATACCGCATGGCGTCCAGATGCTGGTGGTTTACCTGGAGCAAATGCAATACCGTCAGTTAGTTGGCGAGGCACAGCGTGCCCAAAACCTGCAGATGAGCACAGCACAGCTCTCCCAGAGCGGCGTGCCATTTCAGTATGCGAAGCGGAAGATAAAGCGGGATAAATCGTTAATCTTTACCCATATTCCCGAAGAGGAGCATGCACCGGAGCAGACAGGAGCAATGGAATTGCCACCAGCTAGGCCTAAATCTATGAGACCCACCCACCTGCCGTTGCGTATAAAGAGCATGCAGAGCAAGGAGCTCCCGGAGTCTGGCATCGCATCAATCAACTTTGATGAAACCGACTCCTATCCACAATTTATTGGACGTACCAGCGTTTGCAACACTCCCATGACCGAGAATAAGGTCCTGCCGGTGGCCAATGTAATGTCCATTTGCGCAAATCCCGAAGATGAGGGCAAAGAGGAGGATGTCCACAATTCCAATGGGAAGACACACTCGCGACGAAATTCTTTGAAATTGGATGTGGAGAAATTCTTCCAAAACTTTATTAGCAATCCAAACAAGCAACTGACAAGGCGTAAATCTTCTGCCGATCTGCAGGATGCCCTTCGTGCCATTTCCAAGAAACTAAACAATTTCACACATGGATTCAAAACAGATGTGAATCGAAATGGAAGTGGTAGTACCGATGCCTCTTCCGGTTCACCGGATTTTATAGAGGACGACGAGAAGGTTACTTCTCGAACCATCAGCGATCCCACCTATCCGGTATTTAACACCAACGGCCAGCAGATTTCGCGGAGCTTGTTTCAACAGTTTCTGGATCAGTATCGCAAACTGTGGGGTGCTGCTAGCGAGCAGGCACACCAGGATGCTGAGCTCGCCGCTCTGGTTGCCGAATTCCAGGAGTTCAACGCTGAGATCCAAAAGCTTGATGAACACATGAGACAGCAGGCGGCGGAGGCATCCTCCGCAGATCGGAATCTCAACATTTCCGCAGCTAAAACGCCGCTAGATAAGCGTTCCATGACGTTGCCATTGAAATCAGCAGGAGAACCTACGTTTGGAGAGCGTGCATCCGGTCGCAGTGGAACTGGAGGAGTACCATTGACACCACTAATGGCAAAACTATCGGTTCTGGCCCTAAGCGAAGCTACGCCCATCGAAATACAAACACCGTTAACAAGTAGTAAAGTTTTCCCACGGCGCAGTTCCCTGAAGTGCGAGGATGCAGTGGATGCTTTGGCTGTTATGCCCTCTGCTCCTGTTCAGCCTCCGGGTCCCATTCAACCAGATGGCTTGCAGAGGACTGAACTCTATATATGTGGTCAGCAAAATATGACCTTGCTGTTGCTCATGGAGCAGGGTACTTGTCAGCAGCAACAAGTGGTGCAGAAGATGGTAAGTGGTTGGTTAGAATTTCATCTATAAATTTAGCTAAAAGTTTTTTCTTTAATTCAGTTCGATATCTGCGTGGCCAAGTTCCCGCACATGGAATCTCAACTGAATCAGACTCTTAACGTAAATGTTGAGGGTGACAATCGGGATAGCAGTAACTATAGCTTCATGTGCGTCGACTCCAAGTGGGATGTCCTTCAGCGTAATGGGCCTTGGAATCCCTTAGAGCTTAATATCGTAGAGAGCATGCACTCTATACATTCCAGTGGCCATCATCTTACAGATTTAATCTTAAGGTAAGATCTTTTAATATAAGTTTTCCCTAAAGAGTTTGATTTATTTTCAACTATTTAAAGATCCCACGACTCCGTTTACTATGGCCACAAGAACGGAAGGACTGAGTTCTTCTACAAGGAGCCTACCCATCAGATCAATGGAATACCACCGCCATCGGATCCCATTGGGAATATACAAATGCGAGCCAAGTCGCGACTGGAACGTGATCATTCCTACATGCTGTTCTAGGCTGTACAGTGGATCGTATATTATAAACATATTGAATACTCGCATGCTTAGCCAAAAACAGAAAATGTTAACCGGCAAGCCAGATAGTCTGGTCCCCGGAAAATAGCCAACTTTATGCCATCCGCCGTTATTTACTTTGCGATCTCTGGCTGATTCCTCTGCGAGTCTTTGATACTGGTTAGGATAATGTTTCCATATCATATACAACACAAACCAAGGGAACTCAATTTTAAACGATCTAAATTTTACTTTGACTTTTTATACAAACAATTTACAAGAGACATTGCCGAGCTTTTTAACCACCATTACGATAGACTCGCTTAGGAAACTAAAAGATTTTAGATGCATCGCTTTCAGCCAGCGAATTATTTTGCCTTGTTTTATCTTTCACTTGATTGATGTAAAGTACAAAAAATGTTTTACGCTTTGTTTACAATGTCCAGCACTGTTGTTTAATTTATAAGCTTGTAACCTATAAAATTATTTTAATTCATTTGCATTTGCTTAGACCGAAGAGATGCGACATTTTGCACTGATTTCGAAAGCCAAAGAAAAGAGTTTTAATTGTAAATAGAATACAAAATTAGATTCGTTTAGATGGAATTATTTGTAACTAACTTAAACTCCACACAGATTCCATTCTGTCCATATGCAAGCATAAACTTATCTTAACTGTTTCTCATTATCAAATATTAAGCGCTTTGTGCCAATTTAAATGCAGGTCAAATGCTAAATAACCGTCGAATGTGAAGGAACGTGAGAACGAATGTTTTTAACCATATGAAACATATTAGCAGTGCAATAGTGTGGAAATGAACTACTATTTTGAGAGTTTTGCGTTGACTTAGCTTAAATATACATACATAAATACCTAACAACATTATTTATATATAAATATTCATATATATGATACAAAGACCGGTATTGTTTTTGTAGATTTTCAAGAATAAACCGACAAACCGTTGTCTGTGTTTGAGAAATACTTTCGAGTTGAACTCTCTTAACTTAAGCCTAAGACTAAGGCATTTTCATCACAATCCAAGGAACTCGACCGTAATACTTGTAATAGTAGTAATCATAGGCAAGCTTGCCCAGGATGAGAAGAATGAGACTGGCCAGAACTCCATTTAGCCAATCGATGGGATGGATCTGAGTGTCACCCTCCACACTTAAATTACACATCTCCTGCCGACTTAGGGTCAGCACTTTGGCCAGCAGTTGGTCATCGTCCAGACGGTATGTGCAGCTCACATTCCAGGCATCCCGCACGATATCCTTGTACTTGGTCAACAACTCTCGCATTCTGCTGCCAAATTTACAAGTGCAATGCCAGGGATTCCGGCTGAGCAGTAACAGATTGGCATTCTCATTGTCATCGAGGGCATTGTCAAAGGCGTAGACGTGCAGCTTCCGGAGATTGTTGCCACGCAGATTGAGCAGGCGAAAGTTCTGCAGCCAGTAAGTGTCCTCCAGGTTGTCCACGTTTGACACTTGATTGTTCTCCAGCTGCATGTCCACGACGTGGCGGTAGTGGGGATTGTCTCGCAGCGGATTAATGTCACTGATCTGGTATGAAATTAAATAGTATAAATTAACTAAAACTAAAATCCCATTTCAGTTAAATTTCTTACCATATTATCGTTGATGACTAGAGTAGTGGTGTTATCTGGCAAAAAGGAAGGCAGTCGATGGAACTGCAAGTGGGAACAGTTCACTGTATAGAGGGGAATGTGAGTCTTGGGCAAGATATGATGCATCAGGCAAGTGCAGTTCTTCAAATCCTCGTGGGATTGACATTGCTTCCTTAGTTCCTAAAGATGGAAAGTCAGTTAAATAAGTTTTTCCAGGGTGCTTAGGATAATACGTGCCAATTTATAGTGCATGACCATTAGCATCTGGCGCTCCTTATACTTTCTATCCATACAGATTAGCTCATCCCGATCAACCACCAATTTCCCTTTTTCCGGCTGGAGCAGCATCCACTTGAAGTTCCGTGTACAATTCCATGGATTTCCCGCCAGGTATAGTTGCTCGAAGTTACGGGGTAGCAACAAAGGTCCATCCAATTGAATCAGTTGATTCCATCGTAGATCTAGAATCTTGAGGGGATGCACTCGCTTAAAAGTTCGGGTTGAGATGTACGAGAGATTCGTCCAAGAAATGTTGATGGTATGAAGCTCCGACATCTCGGGAAAGTCGAACTTAAACTCGGTGAAGCCACTGTATTCAATGGTCAGAGATCGTAGACGGGGCAGCCTTTGAAGGTCTCTTAGATGATTAAAACCATCTTTTGGCCAGCCGCAGAGAAGCATTTCCACAGCAGGCTGAACTCTGTTTAATTTTCCTGACAGGCTGTGCGTGGAGATAAATTTAACATTGCGAAATCGAGTTCTATATTTCTTTCCCTCTCTACTTGAGAGATTTGTATAAAAACAAGAAAGAAATACCAATACTTACTTCAAAGCTGCCAGGTTGTTCATCCCACCATAGCACTTTAGAGTACCATTCCGAGTTAGCCTCGAGCAGTTTCCGGCCGCTGCCTCGGGGGCAGATGACCAATCCAGACAGCTGCGCCCAAAATCGGGCAACGGAATGATTTTCGTGGTAATGGTGGCCAGTGATGTGCTCGTCTCATGGCTGTCATCCGTGGCATGGCTCAGTCTAAGTAACAGATAATTTGTAAGTAAATAAATATCTATCTCATGATGTTATTTTTGGCCCAGACAGCCCTCAAATTGGTGATAATTTGGCCGCAGTGCGAGTCTCGTTTAGGGCCAACTTGATAAGCAAACGCCAGGTAATTCTTAATTGCTCGGGGAAAACACAGATACGGATTCAGAAACAGATACTGACTATTAAATTTAGTCTTTTTTCTCTTTTCTGGCTCCACAGAACCCGGAAATTTGGTTGCTTCAGATTACTTCTCATATTACTTGTGAAGGGTTGGGAAATAATTTTCTATTTTTTCTAACTTTAAAAATAGACAAAAAGATCGGTTTTAGGCGCTGCAAACTGCTTCTAGCCAACCGACTTAAGCAAATATATATATACCTAATCTGAACGGTAGCTCAACTGAGAATAGTATATCTGCGTAGTATGGAAATCTTGTTTGCTCTGCTTATATGGCGGTTATATTAGCAGACGGAGAACCGAAGTATATCACATGATGCTCATTTAGCACATCTCGAGGTGCTATATCGCAGGGTGACAGAATCCAGAGTCCGGAATAATTTCGAACACACGTTTTTGCAATATAAGTAACCTTTTTCCAATTGATTGTATTACCAAAAGTAGAGGTAGGTCAGTGGAAACTTTGAGTAATCTATTGGCTTATAACCGAAACAAATTTCCAGCTATACTCGTACATCAACGGGTTTATCTTTGTATAAACACGAAGATGATGCCAAAAATACGCAGGGAAAATACATACATCATCTCTTAATATACACGAGCGGGTTTTTCTAAGGGTACTAAGTGGGTCTAACTGACAATTAACAACTTGCGTTCAAGGCGTTAAATTCAACAATACACAGAGTGATATGTATATAATAACACCGAAAATATTTACTTTAAAATCCCCTAATAATGGCAGTTCGGTAGCAGCTTTGTTTGATCTGAAGTGGTAGCATTTTGGGAACGATAAATATTTAAATTTTCGGTTGGTATTCAGCTCATGATCTTTATAAAGCCAAATCCTAGCTGACAGAAACGACACTCTTTCTCTGAGGGACTTGGTCTGTCAATTAACATTGATTAACATTGGCAAATTCAGACGGTACACAAAACCAGTCGCCCAGACTTGTATTTAAATATTTTCTGAAAACCAAATTTATTATTTTCGATCCCACGAAATTTCACTTAAAATGTTTACCAAGTGGTCAACATGGCGTATACGTGTTTGCCTATGCGGACAAGTGATGTCAAATTGTAATTGAAAAGCATGCCTCAAGACGTTTTTCAGTTGACTTTTGTTCATGGGAACAATTGGCATGCTATTTCATTTAGACAATCAAATCGGTTGTGCAAGAAATTCATTTTTTTTCTACGATAGACGGAAAACTTTAAAGGATTTATTTGCCACTTTAATTTCCTAATTTTTAGAGCTTGACAGTAATTATCAACAAAATGAAATCCTCTTCATATACCGTCACTTAGTTCTTCCAGTATTTATTTGCTACTATAAACAAGTTTATCAATTTCCCCAATGACAATAAATCTAAATAAATCTACTTATGAATTCGTCACGACAGGGGCTGTCAATTGGCTTTTGATTCTCATTGAGATTGTTAGATAGCTGGCAACAAAAAAATAAATGAGATCAAAATGATGACAAGAAGGTATATGGGCAAAAAGAGTAAATAATAAATGGACAATCGACCCAGATCTAAGAGCAATTTGGTGTTATATATCATTTTGATAAACCAAACCTTTTTATAACTTTTCGTTGTGTGATAAGAATTTTTAAATAAGATTCCCTTTCGGAACTCATGGCTTTGATTTCTTATGGGTAGAGCCCACAGCTTGGGGCAATAGATAAAGACGGAATGAAAACTTTGCGTTTTTTCGTTTCGCCTCTGTTTTGAATGTTGAGGAAGTTGGTGCTACCTTAGAACTTGATTGCCCTAATTGTCTTATAGGCTTAGGGGATATTAAACTTGTTGTTCAGAGAAACTATAATAAAACTGTCATATCTTGTGTAAAAACTGCAAACAATGATAGCGAAACCAACTTTAGTTATAGAGTATTATACTATTATGTACGACAGTTTACTTTTTGGTTTGTCTAGTCTTTATATTAACCATAAAACCCAATCAGTTCGGTTTGATTTGGTCTGGTGATAAGTCACTTTGCATGGGCCTTATAAATGGTTTACCATGGACTATAACCCGCATATGGCCTGGCCCAGAATAGGATTTAGTATGTTTATTAATAAGTCAGCTAGTGCTGTAAACATCTGATAACAGGGACACATTGCTTCTATTACATTAAATTACTCATACGCCGCATGGTCAACTTGTGTTTTTACCTTATTAAGAGCATGGAAAATAGCAAAACACTCTTCGGCGCCCATTCTCGAAACACTTTTCCTGCCATGATCATATTATTGTATTTTTAAATATTTATTTTAAGAATGTTTATCCGAGTGCCGCTGTTTTCATTCAGAATATTCCATTGTCGCGATCGGCATTAGTAGGTAGGCCAATTTGGATCGAATTGTTTCAGCTTTGCCATCGATTTGCCCTATGCTAAATACATATTGAAAAATGGTTCTTCTACGCGATACGCCGTTTAATCGCCACGCATCCGCGTATCGTTCCGCACTGTGCTACTTTTCTCGCGTTTGAAGTTCAAATGCGGCGCGAACGCAAAACGCTGGCGCTTTTGCCTTTTCTTCTTCTGCCGCTTCGCGGGCATTATTTTTTTTGACGCCCGAGATCTCCAGCGGCAAAACAGCTGACAGCGAGAGCGATATTGACTTATCAATGGCTCTCTCTATATATATTATTTGGGGGCTCGTTTCGGTTAAAGCAGCTGTTGAATTCGCCAGGCATTGGGTGAAAGGGTGTGGGGGTGATTTACGATCAGTGTCAGGGTCGATTCACGTGGTATGATATTGATATACACTTTATAAATCCAATCTGTGAAGCGCAAAATGATTCATCTTCATCCACTACCTGGTTCATTGGCATACAAATTACATATAATTTGGTCAATCACTGAACAGAAACAAATTCGAACGTTTTAATGGCCTCAGTGGCAGAAAAAAAGTAATTAACAATCATGTCATATGATTCTAATATGTTTAATCGTCTGTATTTGTACACCAAAATATACATTTAGTTGAGGGCTAAACTAGGGATTATAGTTAACACAAACCGTTCACTAGGGTGTGTGCTTGTATGTGCAATGTGTATATATAAAGTTTACTAAAAATTGCGTGGTCTGGTTTGTAACAATTATTTGGTTTCGAGTTTCCAGCTAGGTGCTTGTGCATTGTACTCTTAAACGCTGCAGGCAGTTACTAGAGCTCTGAGCTTCTTTGGACCGGTGAAATGCATCGACATTGATATACTATATACACAAATATGCGTATGTTAATAAGATAATTCCTATGAAACTTTCTAAGCTTGCCGCGAGGCTTTGAAGGTACAATTTGCCTGCATTCTGTCTCTTTCACTTCTCTTAGTATTAGTTAAATTCTCAATCAATATCTCCACCTTCATTTGCTTCAGTGGCGGCATCACCCGACGCCTCATTTGCACCACCACTGATGTTGTGAATTTTCTCATTGGTCTCGGCCTGCTTTTGCCGCTCGTAGGCTCGAACATCCTCGAGGGTCATGCCATGCCATTCGTCCACCCAAGCAAAAGCCTGGCGGTGACCCAGTAAAAGAATCTCCCGAATCCCCCGCTGGATGAAGTCCTCTACTTTGGTCTGCAGACCCCAGACCTCAAAGCTGGCATGGACCACCTTATAGGAGCACATGATGGGTTTGTCCGTCTCCCGCCATCCCTCAATCAGTGGACCGCGATCTGCAAACAAAACATAATTTAATATTTATAAGTATTATAATTATTGTTCTATCACATTACTTGTCTTTTCAGATTTGTAAAACTTGGGATCTTCCTCCTTCTTATAATGCTTGGCACTGACATCATCAAAAGCTATATCCAAATGATCCACAGTTCGAACTTTTAGCTCTTCTTCAGTGAGATCCAAACACTGTCAATCATAAGCATTATTAGTCAAAATCAAATTTGTGTCATCGAGTTATTACATTTTCTGTGCTGCCATTATTGTCCTCGTACTTAGTTTTGATGAGCACGTTTAACTTGGGTATGAAGGAACACTGAAACGAAATAAGTGGTTAGCGAAGGACAACCAAAATAGATGCCATACAATTACCGTGTATTCTATTAAAAGTTTCATCCAATTAGGGTCCAATTACAGCACATGAAATTATAACAAAGAATCAAAAATAAATCAATAAGCCAGCTCAACAAATATAGCACAAGTGGGCCTAATGGGATAATTTGGGCAAAAAGTTATACCGTACCCATAGGTCTGTTATATAAAGGGAGTCATTATATTTCGTTTTTATTCGCTTTAAAGTACAGCACCCCAAGGAGTGAACCAACAAAAAAGCCATTTAGATATGTCAAAAGATTTGTAGTTATACGATATCAAAGCATTGATAAACATTGGTATTTATTTTAAATTTCAAATGTGTTGATTTAAAGGAATTGAATTAAAGCCCAATAAATATTTCTATTGATCTGATATCTAAACAATTTTGATAAACAATCAATCGTTCAGTTATAAACACTGAGTGCTATATACATAGCTGAAAATGTTCCCAGACTACCTGGTAATTTCATTAGCGGCTTTTAAAATGTATATTTTTAACATGCATACACACTTAAAGTGCAATTTCCATTTGTTTAATAAACAGAATCGTAGCTTTGAACGAAATCCCTTTAGACTCAAAGTCAACGACCCAAAGCTTGAACAATTATCATGAAGTATATGAAACTTTATCAAGTGCATTAGGCTCCATGTAATCAGTTTTTATCAGCCTATGCAATGGGAATAGTGTCAGTTGTTAACAAATTGCCGAACGCAGATTGGAGGAGCATGCCACGGAGCTCTGTATTCGATCTCCGTGAAAGCCAAATCGATGACGTACCGGCGGGGAGAACAGGTGTGCGTTTAATGGTGCCTTTATCGGCAGACGTACCCCCACTATTTTTTGATGATGGTCAGATGATAACGCGGAATTCTCGCTAGCACACAGAAACACATGATGTTCCAAATACGTTCCCATATGGCTACGGTAAGACGGAGGAGAGGATTCCCCGCCTCCAGAATACACAATTAGGTTAAAAATAGACTGGGATGCGCAGTAGGTGGTGGTGGGTTGCTGTTACTGCTCACCTGTTAGCGTGTAGGGATAATAGTTCCAGGACTTCTCTATCACATAGAAGACGCGCGGGCAAATGGCCTGTATCCAGTAGGGAAGTCGGCTAAGTATGAAATTTTCTTTAGTAGATTATTCTTGGACCGATTAGCATATTGTGGCCTACTCACTTAGACAAGTGGATGTGCTTTTCCGTGTACTGACCCTTGCCGTGGACGGGATCCTCGCACGGTTTATTCTCCACCACTTCGACACCTTCGCCTTCCTCCGACTGTTCCAGGCTATGGCGCGCTATCATGTAAAGCTGTCCAATTTTGTACTGCAAAATTATGAGAGAAAACTTTTAATTGAAACTATTTTATGACGTCGAATAAAGCCGGGCACTCACCTCCTCCACGGTGAGCGGCATGCACACGCGGTATTCCTTGGTCAGCACCATTTCTTTGGCGGATGCGGCAACCGGAGAAAATCCAAATCAAAATTTAAAACGTTACGCAAAGCGAGACACACGCGACCACCACCACACGCAACGGCAACCAACAACAAATATGTAGTGTGGCCAGCTAACGATCCTTTGAATACGTGAAATCATTTCGAATAGTACAATACTGATGGTCGAAAACTTTGATAAGCCTATAATGGTGGATAACCTTGGTAGAATTCTTATTTAGCCAATTCAACAACCGATCACTGGTAATCGATAAATCTGGGAATTTTGAAACCTTCATGTACGGTCACATCGCCACGTGCATTCTTTCACTTTAATTTTTCATTCAAAATGGCCAGTCGAGTTTTCTCTTCGCATTCTCAACTAAAATTAAACAAAATGGTAAGTTAGTGCTGGATTTAAGAAAATAAATGTGATTGCTTTACATGATGATAATATTCGTACCGCCCCAGTCTGAAAAGACGTGTTGATTGGTTCTCTAAACTGAAGTCCTAAAGCAACACGTTGCCGGCTGTTTGAGTGATTAAATTACAATATACTCATAAGTGTACTTTTAATTTACAGAATGCCACGCGGTAGCAGCAACTATCTACATTAAAATGAAGTGGAAAAACGTTTTTATATCGGTTTTTGGTAGACAAATCCCACGTGTTGAAAAAGTAAGGTTAGTTTCGACTGGAAGAGAACACCAAAATTTCACTAAACAATAGTTTTTATTACAAATGTGCTGAAATCAATCGTTTTTTTGGGCATTTTTATCATATCATAATAACAGTTAAAAAAGCATTTCAACCAGTAGTCGGTTGGATGTACTTGAACGCTGATTTTACAAAGTGCAAATTAACAGCCCGCTTTAACGTAGGAAAATGTGATTTTCAACCCATGTGGTGGCCGTACAAATAAACTTTGTAAACTATTGTTTCTTGAAATATCCCATAATTGTATGATGAAACATTTACCCAGCTCGCTTTGATATACAATGAAGAGAACTGTTCCATATCCAACGCAAAAATAAACTGCTGACTTAATTGAAAGCATAAGCAGTGCTTATTCTATTAATATTTTTACTAAAATATAAATATTTCTATTTACAGAGATACTTTTGAAGAGTTAACTTCGTAGAATGGACCTCGGCATAGGTGTGTATATTATATCTTATGTACTCAAGTAGAAATCAAATTATACCCTGATGATCAATTATTATTTGCTACTCTTGAAAGTCGCTGATGAAAACTTACACCTTTGAAACTGATGTAAAATTAAAAATGCTGAAGTTTCACCAAAAATCTATAAAAGTATCTTTTTTAAATGTTGTTTGCTTTTTCTGTTTTGCAGACCGACGGACGCGAAGGGAAAGCAAGACATATTCAGTGCTTTCTGAATTCCCGAGCAATGATAAAGATCAGGTAAATATATTACTTTATTTTATGTGATTAAGTCTATAACAGTATGATGAAACATTTACCCAGCTCGCTTTGATAATTCTATGAAGAGAACTGTTCCATATCCAACGCAAAAATTACCTGCTGACTTAGTTAATATTACACTTAATATTCTTAGTTACCTTAAAAATTAATGTTATAAATATCTGTCTTATATTTTCAGAAAAATGCGCAGAATGGTGTTGAATTGGTTACACAATAAACAAAAATCAGGTAGTTAAATTTCATAATTTCAATTAAATTGCATTTTTTACGTATGATGAAACATTTACCCAGCTCGCTTTGATTTTCTATGAAGAAAACTGTTCCATATCCAACGCAAAATATAAATTGCTGACATATTTCATACGCCAATAAATGTAGTTTTTTTTCAAAACGTTGTTTAACCAATCCTTTCTTTAATGCATTTGCAGATACCAACTAAATTGAACATGTCATCAACTACCTTTTTGGAGTTCTATATAGGTGTGTATTTAATTGGTTCAAATCAAATAAAGATACTTGAATATGATGATTTTTATTATTTGCTACTCTTGAAAACCTCTGATGACAACTTTCACCTTAGCAACTGAGGCATACCTATACATTCAAGAGTGGATAATCAAGGATGTACAAATTTAGTAATTCGTTATATGTTCTCTTATATTCATAGATGATGGACTCCAAAGGAAGGCTAAGAAATGCTGACCACAAGCTCTGAACTATAAGGTATGTAAAAAGCAAATTAATACAAATTTCTGTTATTAGTATGATGAAACATTTACCCAGCTCGCTTTGATATTCTATGAAGAAAACTGTTCCATATCCAACGCAAAAATTAACTGCTGACTTCACTCATACAAAAACTTGTTTCATTCCCAGCAATATTTTCTAAGCAATATTTTTTCTTACTTTTCCAGAAATCTGTATTAAAATGAATAGTTGTGGCTGCCGAATCTAAAAAACTTCACAGCTTGGAGATCAGCATAGGTACGTTAAATGAAAAAAATATTTATGATCTATTGAAAGAACCTTCTATGATGTTAAGTATACCGCCCCAGTCGTAAGAACCTTGACGATTGGATTTTTAAACTGATTTTTCAACTTAACTATTTGTGATAAAATCTACTTCGAAAGAATATTTTTATAAACTCAATTTTTCAATTTCAGATTCTGAATATCTCATTCTTTATTCCCTTCGTCTTCGTAGTTTAATGGTGAGTAATTCTTCTTTTCGAAATTTGAATATATTTTCTATGCTGACAAACCAATAGACAAGCATATAACCGAACAATCATGTTGATTTTCACCCGACTGAGCTAAGAAAATATATATTACTTTTTTAAATTTGAAAACCAAATTAAAAAATATTGTATATTTTATTTTTGCAGATACAACTGGAAGAATTGGGTTCATAAAATTTATTACTAATTCAGTCCCAAAAAAAATGGTAAGCATCATAAAAGAAACAAAAGACTTTCTTATATGGCATGATGAACACCTTATTTAAGCCAAACAGTTATCCCTGTCATAAAAATAATTGATGATAAAATAAGCTGATACATATATGAAAGTCGTATTATTTACTATATTTTTCTTTGTTCTTTTTGTATTAAGTAAGGTTTTTATTCTTTCAGATATCAAAATTACATATTGACCAAGCTGCAGAAGGATATGGCTGATCGATAAAGGTCAGTCTCTAGTTTTTTCCCAATCAAGATTTCGCTTTTGTGATGAACACCTTATTCAAGCCAAACACTTATCCCTGTCATAAGAATAATTGATGATACAACAAGCTGACAAATTAACTGTTAAACCATTTGTTGTTAATGTTATTTATCATTTTACTAATAATATGTTTTTATTATTTTTAGGTACTTAGACAAACCCCAGTAATCAATAGAAGACAATGACTTAAAAAGAAGCTAAGGTAAGTTTACTTTTCACCACAATTTTAGCTTAAGGTTTTTTGTGATGACTTAGTATACCGCCCCAGTCGGAGAAATGATGTCGATTGGTTAAACGCACTGATAAAACACTTTTATACAAAGTTTTCTTCTTGTATTATGTTGTCTTAAGGCCTCATGTATTAATTCAAGATATTTAACCTTGCAGATGTACTTAATGTTTGTAGCATCAAGGATTCCATATTGGAAAGTCATCAAACCGATTAAAGACTGCATCAAAATGCTGTAAGTTATGTCTACTTTTAAATAAAAATGTTAATAGTTTTATTTTTGTGATGATTTCGTATACCGCCCCAGTCGGAGAAATGATGTCGATTGGATAAATTTACTGATAAATAAATGCTTTAAAGTTTTTGAAAACTTTTCTAAGTGCATTTATTAAAGCTATGTTCTTTTCTATCTTTCAGAAACAGAACTGTGGAATTACCAGGGCATATAATTAAATGTTAACTAGGCTTATAAAAGGTGTGTACTCAATTAAATTGTTTAATTTTCAAACACTTTCTGATGACAAACCAATAGACAAGCATATACCTGAATTCACGTGTGTTGCTAACTTTTTTCGACTGACTTTGACAGATTTCTTAATAGGTAGAGATACATAATCTGAATTTATACTAAACAATATTTCCTTTCTATATTAAGGGTCTTATGGAAATGGTGTTAACATGTGATCTATCCGATCTGCGAAGAATGTAGCAAAAAAAAAAGGTAAGAAATCGTTTTTGGTTATCTCCAATAGTTGAAACGAAATCTCTGTGATGAACACTTTGTTTAAGCCAAACAGTTATCCCTGTCATAAAAATAATTGATGATAAAATAAGCTGACAAATCCGCTTATTTTATGATTATTAAGAACTCTGAATTTGTAGTAATTCCAAGTTATTAATTTCCTTTCAGATAATAAAACAACATCAACCTTGTGTATATTTGGCTTTTATGATTCAGCCGAGTTGTGGTAGGTATTTCTAAATTTCTAGGCAAGCTTATCATTTATTCCATGATGAAGACCTAGACAAGCATATAGCTGAATCTCTATGTCGATAATTCACGTGACTGATCCGTCATTTTCATTTTCATCCATATGATTAACAATCCCACACTCAAACTAACTTTCTATCTTATCATTTCTTGCAGATATGCCACAAATTGCAAAGAAGACAACCAGCAAATAATTCTAAAAATAAAACTGATAAGAGCAAATCGATGAATAAAAATACACAATATTTTGTTTAATATAACGTGATATATTTTATTTTGCATTTCAAATTATGTATAGACATTCATTCGCTTCAGTTAGCCGGGAGATACTTGCAGTGCTCTGCCTGCCTGCATATAAGAATATTCAATTTGTAAATGTTGAGTCCTATATGTGTATATACTTTGCTTTGGATGTCCATATATATATATGTATATATGTAAACATGTAAATATAAGTGTACGTTGTTTAAATACACGTTACATATGTATTTGCTTGGCCGTGGCCTTACACTCTTTATCATTGTAAATATATATATATATATGTAGATTCATATATCGTATTGTTGTTGGATTAGGAGAGGGCAGGGGTATACACGTTCAAAAAACCAATTGCTTGTTGCACAACAAAATCATTACTTAGGCCAGATTGGGCCTGTAGTCGATACTAAGTTATGATCGTCTCAACTCGATTCCCGTTTCCAACGCTATCAAATGCTTAGAAGGTTTTTCTTCGAGTGTGGGTGCATGCCGATGGCACACTGAAACATTTAATGGAAAGCACAACTAGAATGGCTGGGTTATTATGGCTAATAGATGGCTAGAGTCTAGTTTAGATTTCGATATAAAATGTTCACTTCTACTAGACAACATTTATAAAGTTTTGTAATCATTTGATTTGCGGTTTCAACCTGCTACTGCTCCTCTTCTACTCAGATCGCTTGAAACTATAGCTAATCGAAAAAGATGGGCTCCCCGTTTCTGAAGTGGGACAAATCAGGCCAAGTCATTTTTAACATCAATGACGATTTTACATATCGAACACAAACGGGATAGTGCGAAAATATATTGCAGATTTTTGGATTACATTTAGATTTCAATTCCGTGCGGGAAGTCTGAATTAATATTCGGGGATGAGTCTGAATCGAATGTCTAGCGTTTTCTTTCTCTTCTCTTTACTCCTTCTCATAATAATTTTTAATTTTCTTTTTATTACAATTACTCAATAGATGTTTTCAAAAAACAATAAGGAATCAACAATATTCATAAAATGTATCATTATAGAATATATGGTAAATGTAAGTCTAAAAACTACATATAATTTGTATAGATCTAGGTCTGTATTTGTTGGTTTTTGGGTATGAAATAAATAGTTTCGCATGCGTGGGTGAACAGATATCGAATGGAAGTTGGATATATGTATATATAGCTTAATGCCCGATGTGCTTCTTGATCAGGGCCTGGAGCAGACGCACCTTGGCCTTCTTCTCCTTGTACTGGGCATAGGTTTCCGTTTCCAGCGACCGACGATCTTGCTTGAGCATCTTGCGTCCGTTCTGCTCCTCAAACAAGGACTCGTACTCCCGGATGGTGGCCTTCAGCAGGGATTTCTCATCGCGAGCTCGATCTAGCTGCTCCCACAGCTGGTCCACACTAAGTGCGGAGATGTTCTCGCTGGCTGCTTGATTCTCCTGATTCGCAGCAGCCACACCGGCTGCCGGACCCGTCAACGTGGTCGTGGTCGTCGACTCATCTGAAGAAGCATTCTGGGTGAGAGTATTCGGGGCATTCGAGTCGCTGGGCGAGTTGGTGGTCTCGGTGCTGTTGTTCGATGAATACTGCAACGGCGTGGAAGTGGCTTCGAACACCATAGCCTCGTGCTCCAGGATGGTGGGCAGCTCGGGTATTCCAGTGCCCGCTCCAAACATCACGGTGCGGGCAACGAGACGTTTTAGCTGCCGATAGCGATCGTAGAGCGGTCGAGCAGCATCACGTTCCTCCTTGGTGATGGGATGTCCATAGAGGCTCTCGAAGTACAGCAATCCATGCTGCACAGCGCTCTTCTCCTGCACCAATTGGTCGGCATTTAGATCCTCCAACTGCTCAGAGCGATGGCCATTAACGCGCTTCTCGTTCAGATTCTGTAAGGTAAGATGTTTGCCATTAGTAAATTATCATTAAACTTTATATAAATCTAATTTGGTTTTATATGTCGACTGCTGATTCGATACATTATGATAGAAACCAAGTTATCAGTGAAACAGAAGCCCAAAGCCAGCTTATAAAGACCACCCACATTGGTAAACAAGCGAATTAATCAATGACATTAGGCATTACTCGGTTTTTGATTTGTTTATGGCAGATTGGCCATGACTAGGCGACAACAGCAGACATTCCGAAAGAAGCTGCCAGAGCGCCAAATAAAAATAGAATATATCCGAATTGTAAACAAATAATACAAATGCAGAATCTGTCATTACAGTATCGAAATAATATATACTCGTATATGGGGCTAGGCACTTGGATGGCTGCTCTTTTGGCCATTTCCCATTTCCACAACAATTCAGCTAGGGAAAATCATTTCGCGCACACTTTGTTTTCTTGGCATTAATTCAATTTCGAGCGGATTCTTTTGGGCCAAGTGTTCGTCTGCCGCGCTCTATGACAAATATATCATTAATTTGTCAATATGGCGAATGTGGAGGCTTGTCTTGGTGTCATAAATACATATGGTATAGGCTTATAAATAGATAGCCATTATGATGTTGAAAGAAACCTCCTAATTTGGAATGTGGCAATTGATTTTATTCGGTCTGTGTGAAACCATAGAAATGATATAATCAAGATGCATTAACAAGTGAAAAACTTAATTATGCAGTTTGCTATATAGATTATATATGAAAACGAAGAGCTACAACGCAAAACCCTTTTAGGTTTCACATATTATAGGCCTAGAATAGATTGCTCTTCCTTTAAAAGCCTTTCTGACAGGGCATAAAAACATCGCTCAACCGCAAAATATTTATTCTCATTTTCTAGACAAAAACAAAATGTTGTTTTTAAAATATGTTTACCAAGTGGCTTTTCGCAATGGGGCAAGATCAAAGTTATTGCCAAATTGCTAAACATGTCACCGGCAGCGGCTGTCGAGGCAATCTTTCCTATACTATATGCTATCTGCCTATTGTATACCAATATATAAACATATATATATATATATATAGATCTGAAAATGGCTCTGACGTCTGCTCCACTTGCTAATTGTCATAAAATGTATCGTGTCTCGTGATTTTGCAGACTGACGAAAAAACCCATAAGGAGATTTGTATTACCTGCTCGATTTCAGCGAGGGTGGCCTTCATGCGTTCCAGCTTTTTGGCCACCTCCTGGCCACCGATGCCGGCGCCACCACTGCTGCCCACTTTCAGACCCAGAGCTGCGATGGGATCAGTCTTGAGCTCGTGCCGTTCCTTGCGCAGTTTGCTCAACTCCGCCAGGGCGTTCTTCATGTACTTGTCATTCAGTCGCTCTGCTTGCGATGGTCGGTAGCCCAATCTCTGTTCCAAGGATTCCTCCAGCTGAACCAGTTTCTTCTTCAGCACAGTCACTCGACGATTTATGGCCTTTAGCCGTTCCTCGGGCGATTGAAAGGCCACCATCATAGCGGGAAGCACCTGTTGCATAACATCGCGCGTTCGCATATTCTCCAGCGAACTGAAGGCCCTCACTGCATCCATGGGCTCCAGGCAGCAGTCCATGTCGGTGATATCGGAGTGTAGCTGCACGGTGGCCGCCTGCTTGGGCAGCTGCTGGGGATAGGGCATGGCCTTGGCCAGTTGAGCAGCTGCATCGAGATTGCCACCAATATGTGGTCGAGAGTGGGCATATCTCCTGCTCAAAATAGGAGCAGGTTCATCTCCTCGCTCCCATGGGAGAGACTCCTGTGCGGAGGTAAGATCCAGACTTTGCTGCTGCCTCTGGGGTTTGGCTTTAATGGGCGCTGGGGCATTGGAAGTGGGCGTGCTGTCATCGCTGCCCGCCGAGGAGCTTGTGGTGGGTGTTGGAGAAATACTAGCACTTCTCTTTGTCTGCAGCTCCTTCTGCTGCTGATGGAAGTCTATCAAGTTGTTGTCGTTGTGATCGGCAGCAGATTGCATGGGCTGCGGCTGAGTCTGCTGTTTCCTGCTGCTGATGAAACCTCTGCGCTCGTACTTCAAGGCCGACAGATCGTACTTGTAGGCGCTTTGCTCATCCCGTCGGGATGGCAGATACTTGGAGCCACTGCCTCCGCTGCCCTTTTTGGCCACTCCAGATTTGCGTACCGGCGGCTGGCGGGATTTGCAGAAACGCTCGCTGCTGCGACGTCTTTCATGCTCGCACTCGGAGTCATCGCTAGCTTCTTTTGGTGGCTGGCGAGCGGGACTTGTCTCTAGGCGAGGACGCTCCCTAGCAGCTTCTCCCGTTGGCAAATTGGCCAGCGAGGCATTGTTCTCTCCCAATTCGGAGGCTTCTTCCTGCTCCCTTTCGAACTCCTGGCGATAGGTGGCGTAACTAGCAGTACGCTTGAAATCCTCTGAAGAAACCCGACGGATAACCTCACACTGGGCCTCCAGGAGACTGGCAGCTGCCTGTGCTGTCGGGGAAACGATGGCAGCCGGTTCCGTGAGCAACTCCTCGCTGTTGCTGCGCTGCAACTTGCGATCCTGGCCAAAGGCCGAGCTGCTGTCCAAGCGCTCCTTGCGCTTGCGTGATGACTTCTGCCATTCCAATGCCGGATGTATGATCTCCGGCAGGTATGTGGAGGTGAAGCCGCTATTCAGATGGCTTTTGTCCGTGCCCGCCGGCGTTGGCTTCTCCGGACTGCGAACGACCTCATGCCGATCAGCGGGATTCGAGGACGAAGAGGATGAGGACGATGATGAGGAGGCTGCGCTGCCGCAAGAAGCCGTCGACGATGACGAACCAGTGAGACGACTTAGGTCGTCTTCGTTCAGCCCAGTTGTGGGATGGCGCATGCCGCACTGGAGAAGAGACAAAGAGAGAAGGGGAGAGGCACAGTGAGAAAATGAGAAAAATGCATCAAAGTGCCGTGACAGACTTAAAGCTAAATTATAAATAATTAAACAGCCTCGGGAAATGTCGTTTCCCTGGCTCAATTAAATGGGTTAATAGGTATCCGCCGGTACAACGTGTCGAATGAGTAATATTCCGTTCAATACATTCATTTTCTGCCTTGTCATGAACCATCATCAAAGTTAGTAGCAAACGAGCATAGTTCATCGAGATGTCAAGCTTATATAAGCGGCACACGATCTGATAAATAATTTATGGCCGACTTCTGGCCAAAGTCAGGTTTTAGGGAAAAATTTTAGATTTTCAGATTTTAAAGTCTTTTCTGTTGTTGAAACTTAGTTTTTTAAGATTTTGTTTTAATTGATTGAAATGATGAAATTCTAATAAATTATATAACAAATAATTAAATAAATTTAAAAGTCAGCAATATTTAAAATTCTTTCCTTAAAACTGAAAGAACATTGAAACTTTGATTTGAATTATTTTACATAACTAAATGATGAAATTCTGACTGCAAAATTGATACCCACATAACCAATTTCATAAACTTATTAAATAATATAAAAAACCACCCCCTTATTACTATTTAATATTTACCAGAAAATATGTAATAAGCCGGGGCGTCATTTTGGTTGGCTAATCTCTACTTTAATCAGTCTAACTAGATTTACTATCACAATGAATTTAATTCAGTTCACTTTGGGGCTTTGATCACAAGTGTTTGATTTGAATGGACCTTAGTTGAGCAATAAAGGTTATAATAAAAATGTCAGCGCCTTAAATCTTGCTTAATAAATTTCAATAAACACTAATTGAAATTTCCTTTCAACGTTTTTTTTTTTTTATTTTTGCTCTGCAGTTTTCTCAAGTGGCTTAACCGTTGCTTAGGTCTGCAGTTTTTCAATATTTCACATGTTTTTTTGATTTGTTTTTGAGTTCGCGATTTTCCGCTTCCTTAGAGTTTTCTTTTTGGAATCTTTTGCTTTTGGCTCGGACGTAGCCGAGCAAAAATGTTTAACGAGGAGCGGAGAACGTTGGCGTTGCTTTCTTTGGGCGCACCGAATCACTATTAAACCCATTCCGCTCCGACCTCGCGAATTATATGCGAAAATCCCGCGAGAGCGTTGGAGATATAGCGAGAGAGCGGCGCCTGCGCAGTTATATAGTTCCCGATCGATCGAGCGAGAGAGATAAAAGGCCGCCAAAAGGTGCGAAAGCTTCGGTAAACAAAACTCGGGAATGCTAACAAGTCCAAAAAGGAGACGTTTTTTTCTGCCGTTTAGGGGCTTTTCTTCTTGCCTACCTTCATTTCTTCTTATCAGCGAGGGAAGAGAGTCTTGTGTCTATATAATCGGGGGTCTTAAAACTGCGCGAGAGGTTTAAAAATAAATCTGGCCCGCAAAAATTAGCAGCAGCTCTAGCAGCTTTATGGCCATATTAAGGGGGTGAATTAATTTATGCACTTGTTTACGCCCCCTGATCGCCACGCGATAGAACTTTTAACCCAAAAAAAATAAGATTTCCGATTGATTGAAAGTCATTTTGGGGGTAACGAAGGCCAAAGACAGGCAGCACAGGTAACGGCACTTCCCGCTGGCGGGAAATAAACATACAGAAATATGCAGGGGCACAAATGCGAGAAAATACGAAAAAGCGTAGCCGTTGAAAAGCAAATTTCAAGTGCAATGTCACGACGTGTGTAAAAATACAAATGGAAGCAGCAGAGGCAGCAGCCGCCGAGAGAGAGAGGCAGCTGGAGCTGTCTGAGTCACTTGCCTCTAGGTTAACCAAATATCGGAGCATCTTCGGTCAACTGCCCGATCGCAAACGAGACGAACTAATTAAGACCCACGCGCCCTACAGTGACGTCAATGGCGAACGTGATCGAGTACATCAACAACGAAAATGAAACAAGAGCTTATAGAAATTAACACATTTACAAAGGAACTAAAGGCGGGAGGCATATGTTGCAATATTAAATCTTATTTTACTATATCTAAATGCGTTATGAATGCAATAAGGTTATTCCACAAGTCAAGTTGAATGAGTTTCTATGATTCCTAGTCATTAGTCTATAAGACTAATCTTTGTACTAACATTTTAGTTAATATTTCTTGCTTATATATAGATAGGTACTCCATCTCTCTTCTCTGTAATTCCAATAAGCAAAGTTCCAAGCTAATAAATTATATACAATAATCTCAAAGTTAAACATGACAAACGATCAAAGAAAGAACACAGTGCGTATGCGTGATTTAACAACCCTCTCTTGGCAGCTGTCCCATTCACTTATGTTTATTTCCGTTTACCTCATAAAAATCAAAATAATATTTACGATTTACATTTGTTTATAAATAAAAAGCCAAAAAAACTACAAACATCAAAATAAAAGAAAGGCGCGTGCAAAGGCCTTTCCAATTCGCATGTTCATTGAAGAAGGGTCTTAGGTCTTTATCAAATTAATTAGACTACTTTAAGCTCCAGCAAACGGAAAATGGAATTTATTTCGGGGATCTACGAGGCAAATAGATAGGCGCAGGTGAAAGCCCGACGGCTGGCACCATATAATGGATAATGAATTGGACATCAATTGAGCTCGTGTCGGGTTTGTTGACTTAAGGATTGAGATAACTATCGCAGGGAAATCAAAACAAAAAACCATTGGAATACATTGATTGCATAATAGGAATTCAAAATCACTTTTCTCTTTGTGCGATTTACTCATCGGAATTGGTAATATTATCTCTGGCATTACGGTTTTTCTTCTCCAGAATTGTTTACGCAATAAAACTGTTCAATAATTGTTTACAGAGAGAGAGAGAGGCAGCCACACAAGTGCATGACTCAAAAAGCTTCCACAAAAGGTCGTCGAGACGGATAACAATTCAAGCTGAACCACCGAACCGCATTCACCCACTCATCCAATACCCAACAGCTGACACGAGCCCACAAATGAATTGGCATTTATTTGATTTTCGCTTTCAGTTTTGTAGTTTTTAGATAAAGAGCTGGTGGCGGTGCCAGCTTTCCACCTTCTGATCAGACATTCTCGATAAGATTCCATCGTCATGGACTATTTATGGACGGCAGACGATTAGAGTTTAAGTGCTTTCGGAACCAAGCAAGCAAAGTCATAAATTTTAAAAAGAGAAGAGGGTTTGAAGGTTAATAAGTAGCGCCATTTGACTAAAAGAGATCATAGCTAAGGACAAATCAAAGGCTAATTAACCTTATTGATCTAATATTAAACAAAAATGTAAAACCATAAACCATTATTGAAGGACTTAATCAGGTTTTCTAAGAATTTTGCATACATTTTCTAAGCCTTCCCTCTCAACTCTTAAAGGGTAAACTTTTACTTTTATTATTAATGCGAGAAAAATGTTTATTCCTTTGTATCAAAAACACATTTAAAACGTTTTTAAAGTACTTTCAAAGAGTTCCGCCAGGAAGCTCTTAAATATCCTAATCCTCCAGCCTATGCCAATGGCCCGAAGGCCGCTTAAAACACTTTTTTAAAGACTTTTTACGCCACGCGGTGGAATCAATATGTTTACCGCCCAAAAACGGCACGAAAACAAAGTCATGGGTACAATAGCATGGGGATTTATGGGGCTTTGTTGCTCTGAACGGCAGAGGCAGCGACAGTGGCAACCAATAACCACAGCAGCCTCACACTGCGATGCTAAAATTGGCCCACGCGGCGTATGCGCGATTTACGACAGCGACGAACCGTGAGATGTGAGATTTTGGAGTTTCGGGGCATTTTAACAAGCCCGTGTGAATATTTCTGGCTGACGAGAGTGGACGATTATTCGGGTACTTTAAAACGGAGTGCAAATATTGAAAAGCCATTTTCACCGACAGATATTGTCGGATTTACCTGGTAACTGGACTAGTATTATCGAAAAATCAACAGCCTGAGACTGCCTAGCGCCGGCTGAAACCGGTAGTAAACCGGTGATTGCAGGTCGGCTCCCAAAGATAATACCTACTCTCAGCCATTCAGCCATTGAGAGGTTTTTGCGGTATCGTATAGGGCTAAACAGTGTTAGCGTAATTGTTTTTTTTGATACGGACAGCAAGGCTCTCACGATAGACGCGGCATGCGGCATGTTGACATTTCATCCGTTTGAGTGGCTCGGCAATTCGGCAACCGAATCGTAAACAAAGCGCTTGTAATTGTTTACCATGTTACGCCTATTTTTATAGGTTGCCCATCAATTTAATGGTATTAAACAATTGAATGTGCAGGAAGGGGAAGTATGTTGGAGTACCTTACATTAAATCAATATTTACTCGTAAAGTTTATGAAGATTAACTTAATTTATTTACAACTCTTTTAGTAGCTAACTAATTGAAATTGTGGGTGTTGTTATGTCAGAAATCTTGTTATCTAGAAAAGATTGTCATCAAAAAGCAGCCTTAACTCCAAATTAGGGTAGATCAAGCCCAGTTAGTAATTGGTATTTCCATATTCACAGCTGTTGCTGATTTCCATTTAAAATACCTTCAATGAGCTCCCATGAGTAATACGCTGTTCACCCAATTTAATCGCTTTACTTTCGTAGTCCATCAATTGAAGACAAGGCCGGAAAAGTCCCATTGAAAGTGAGGAATGGAATTCCGAGCTGGCGAGTCTTGAAATAGATATCCATTGCACTCAGCTGACAGCACGTACCTGCTTGTCTACAATGGATATATACATTTGTGAACTTATAATTGAACGACAATTAATCACAGTGATTAGATAAGCGAAAAACCGATTCACCGAAACTGATAGCGATTTGAATTTATGTACTGCCACTGAAGAGTATTTCAAGCAGCCATCTCGAGTGGCCAGACATGATCATAATATGTGGTTTACTTCTATAAAACCGAAACTAAACGAACTTGTTTCTATTTTTTGCCAAGTTCTATTTCTGGATATCTGGCCATCGTAACTTTCCGCTAGAAGTCACATCAATCAGAGCTATCGACTAAACAAGTGACTATGCATTGTATACCCCAACCCTTCCACCTAAATATATACACCCAAAATCGGTTAATGTCAGTCACGTGCTTTTTGGATTTTAGCAGGCCTGCGTTTCCTAAGATTGCGCAACTTTCAAGGAAATATGAGAATGGTTATGGGAGTAGAGGCGAAATGGAGGAGCAACCTGAGACTCCCCAACAAGTTATGAGGGAAGGCCAATGGAATATTACCAGGCCCATAGCCGAAATGCAAATGCGAAGCTCACAAAATTTTAATGAAGTATGGCTAAAACAACAACAAGCCAGAAGAGAGCGACAAAAGGTGAGTAGCAGAAAAAAGTCTGCTAATGAGGTAAGGAAAAATCCTAAGAAAGTCGCACAAATGGCATGAAAACTAGGAAATATCTGTCACATTTTCATTGGGTCAAAGTACGTACGTAGTATCCTTCATTTTCCGCTCGTGACGTAATCACTTTATTGGCAGTCACTTGATCATTTTTGTGTTGTTGTTGTTGTTGTTATTCTCTCGCTTCGGTCCATCAATTAATTTACAAATTCCGCTTTCTGCTCTCTTTATTTGTGTCTTTATTTCTTGCCCGCTTTCGTTAGAATCAATCAATTTCAATTGCTGAGAAAGAAGGCATCTCCAGTTCATAAAAAATCAGCAAAAAACCCGCAATCAGAAATTTCTTTTTCCAGTTTCGTGAACTTTGCCAGCTCGTTTATATAAATAAAATAAAATACGCCCGCAAATTAAGAAAGGGGGATGCAAAGCTTGTTGCCATAATTTACGAGCCACGTTCAACTTGAACAGGTTTTTCCCTCTCCTCTAACTTAATTTATTCCCTCGGGTTTCATTTTTAATTTGAAACATTTAATTCTTGATGGAACCATAAGGAGGCATCTCTGATTCTGATTCTTTAGTCAACTGAATTTGAAATTCTGTGAATTATAGTTTGTGACACCATCACCCCAGACACTCCGACCACATGACCACCCGGCACAGTTGGTCACGAGACCCACAATGCATCTAATGGACGCCAGCCGTCTCTTATATAAACGCCTGGCAGTGACTCGGGCTTTTTGTGCCTAATGAATGAACTCAAGAATGGAGATCATGTGGCCCAAAGTAAACACAGAATAAACATTGAAAACTAAAATACTATAACAATGAAAACGTTAAACTGATCTGTAAAGCTCATAAATGTGTTAATATATCTTTAGAAATGTCTTTTTAACACGTAATGGGTTTTTTTTTATTTAACTTACAAATAACTAATAACATGTCTAAACTTCATTGGAAAACAAATAAACAGAGCATTTGTTTTTAGCTGTCTATTTATAAACTGAACTTGTTTGCCAAAGTTATTCGCAAAAAATGTTCATAATTTCTTGATTACATGCTGAAAAATTTCATTTTTAAAAACAACAAACGTGTTGTCTTTGGATTACGCGTTTTGTTTACTAGATCTGTAAAGTAAGGACGTTTAACTAAGTTAATAACAAATACATTGTTTTTCCAAAGATAAAAATAGTTCAAGAAAAAGTTTCTATATCTTATAGAGTTCTTTCTCATATCATTCTTTGTTCTCTGTATATATAAGTTCTCTAATTAACCCCTCTACGCCTACTGCCATGTTCATTGTGGCTTTCTGTCTGGGCAAACAGTGATCCCTGGTGATGATAATAAAAGCCGTTCAGTGGACCAGGGCGAATGCCAAATAGAAATTTAAACAATGCCAAAAATAAACCGCACGATTGATAGCTTACACATTGAACTTTTCGGAGGCAGTCTAAATATAGATAAAAACCGCGCAATTTGGCAAAATACAAAAATAAAAAGAAAAAAAAAACTGTTTGCTAATCTGTTTAGTTTGCGCGTTAATTGAATTTTGTCGGCTGGGCACAGTGGCTTCCAGAATATGGTTCATCCTAGACTAGACTACAACTTAATTGGCTTGCCTTCAATTATAGTCTGGAGATATGGGATGGGTATACAAAATGAATTCAAACGTAGACTGTCAATAAAGTTGGTAATTTTTTGGGTCAACATACTCAAAAAACCAATTTTCGTTGCACGTCACGAAAACTGACATGACAATACGAATTATCCGTCAATTCAGGGAGGCAGGGAAATCAAGGGGCCAAAAGGAAAAGCGTCAGAGTTATATTATTTACAAAGCGGCTAAAACCCCTTCATAATAACTAAGGCAAATGAGTAGAGGAAATTTTTATCTTTTTTTTGGCAAGGGAAAACTTTCCGTTGGGCTGTAGTGCTCACTGTGCGGACATGACTCAAACTCTATATCTGTAAGTAAGAAACAATAAACAAAGCGTACGCAGAAACGGAAAACAGAACACAAAATGGATCGATTGAAAGGGAATGTAATGGAAAAATCAGTAGCACCACTAACTAGATAAGATATTCGTTTGTCATAGACAAAAAGTAAGACCTACAATAAACTATATAGATTTTGATATGAGCGTTGTGAAATGGATATCAATATGTTTATCAAATGGGCTTTTCCCTGGAAATTGCCAGGCGTTTGTTCAACTTTGTGTCAGGCGTCTGAAAATATGCAATGGATCCGATTACGTTTTCTAACTTTTTCCATTGCCCTGGCCAAATGTGTTAATTTCTTTATAAGCCCCATCGGTGGCCAAAGTAAACATCGTATTATATGCCCAGCAATTAGTTGGCAATCGTTTATGTAAATACATGTCCAGCTATTATGGCCAATTGTGGCGGGCAGGTGTGAAAAAAAGGTAAATTAAGACGTCTCAGCGCGAAGTAGAATGCGATTATTTACAATATTCGATACTTTAGGGAACAATTTAGCTCGTGTTTATATACAAAAATATTGTATAACCCCTAAATAGGGTATTATTTCTTTCATAATACGGAAAGAACCATTTGGCGATCTTTGGGGGTGTTTACATGGAACTACTTGTGTCTGTCTGTTGATAATAAAATTATTTCCAAATGACTAAGGCCTAGAAAGATAGTTCGTATTGTGATTTCATAGAACTATGCTCAAAAACAAACTATGAATTACACTTTCTCCATAAATGATGAAATGAATGAAAACCCCTTAAATAACACTACTTCACTGATAATAAAATCATATTCTAATTTAATCGCAATACTTACAATGCAAGCCTTAACGGACTTCCAAAGATTTCTCCCAAAGTCTTCAATCTTGCTGGTTTTTCCCCGTACGTTCGCCAGTTGCACGACGTTTTCCGTTCGACTGGTGGTTGGAAAAGGTTGAAAAACAGACCGAATCGAGCTGAAGAGTCGAAGATCGATAGGTATACGAAATCACTTGGCCCGAAGCTTAATTTACGTTTTGGAACCGGCTAGAACCGTTTTGGATAGAGCCCGATTGCGCAGAATAGTCACATTGCCGTTTGATTCACACGCGCACTCGAAATGGAAGATTTGATGACGGATCCTTATTTATAAATTAACTATTTCTTTTTTTTTTTTACTTTTGTTGTTGCCTTTTTGCTAATATTGTTAACTTTGGTATGGTAGCTAGATCTGGTTATTGTGGTTGTTTGTGGTCCAGGATTTCGCAAACGCAAACTCAATCTTTGGGGCCCTCGGGCTCTTGCCCGCACACCTTTTTACACGCTCTTGAGCTTGATTTTTTTCTTGACCTTGTAACGACGGTTGCGCTGATCTACGACAAACTCATATCGCGATCTCTGCACATTTTCGCTATGTAGACTATAGCTCAGACCCAAAAGGCGTAGCACTCCTAGCGAATACGTTGTGACTGGATTTTAGTGCCGGATCGGATGTGAACTTCCTCTCTCTCTCTCTCTCTCTTTCGGCGAGCTTCCTTCCTTGGCTAATCCGTATTTCTGCCTCTTCCTAGAAGGAGAGAGGACCTTTCGGCGTTAACAAATTGATTGCCCGAGAACGTCTAACGGTGAATGAGCAGGCAGAGCGCACCTGTCGCGCTTTTATAGCCCAGTTATCGTCCTGCGATCGCTCTTTGTTCCTCTCCTCTCTCTCTCTCTCTCTGGCTATCTCACTTGCAATTGCAATTGCATTCGCAGATACACCCACACTCTTGTTCTCTCGCTACCTCTCTCTCCGGGTATGGCTGTCTCGCTCGCTCGCACACTACGGCTGCTTGAGGAAGTGAGTAGACACGAGACGGTATCTGAGCATGTGTCTTTGCGGTTTTCGACTGCCGCTCTTTTCGGGGGCTCTTCTTCGTCTTCTTGTTCTGCCTCTAGTGCTTCTTCTTTCAATCGAGAGTTTTCCCCCTTGCAACGCCGTTGTTTTCTTCTTCGTTGTTTTTGTTTTTGTTGTGACTGCCTCTTTTGGCACTGGGGCAATTATGTAAAGCGTTTGGCTTACTTTAAAAACTTGGACACAGCTTTGGAGTGCTTTTTTCTCTGCGTGTACTTGCAGCTTTTAGCCCACAATTGTAGTGGTATTTATAGTTGTTGTTTGTGATGTTGTGTGCGAGGTCATCGACGCGCGTTAGCCGAAAAGCTACAAAAAAATCGATATTTCACACTCGTCGCACTAGATAAAATGAGTTTATGGTTTTAGCTTATGTTATGGTTTCTGTCCAATGACAAACATTCAAAGAAACTGGAGTTTTTCAACGCACAATTGCATATACAAATACAATTACCGGGCCGCGAATAGAAAAAACTTTCCGCTGCTTTGGACGCACGTTGTGCCGCGAGACGCAATTTTTCCAAATGGGAGCTACACGATTTTGATTTTTGGAGCCAAACGAAGTGTGCACTCTCTTTTATCTTTGCTCTCACTCTTGTTAAGCTGTCGCTCTCTTTGCGCAGACTCTTTTATCGCTTGTTTTATTTTTATAACGGATTCCTTTGCATTAATTGTCCAAATAGCGGTCTGATGTGCATATTTAGTAGGTCCTTGGATGATGTTTCCTTTCGGGGGAGTTGTGAAATGGGCGTGTAAACAAAGGCGTAATGCGCTCGCGCGCTCTCTTTCATTCGGCGGTACTCTTCAGACGATGACGTTGCAAATGAAACGGCGCATCTCACTCACTCACTCGCTCGCTCTCGCTCTTTCTCTCGCTCGCACTCTCTTTTGGCTAAATGCTCTTTTGGTTCATTTTAAAAAAATGAATTACGAATTTGAATGAGCGAACTTATGACGGCAATTGCATACATTTTTGCATTCTGTTTATCCATAGCTATAGCTGAAAATAGAAAAGTCAATTAGGACTGGCGTGAAAACCTTTGATTTTTCAAATCCCGATTGTGCAATCTAAAAATGCAAAAACAGCACCAACAAGTGCGATTCCAGATTGAGCAATTAAACCCAATTGGATGCAATTTACAGTTGGTAGGTCGGGTATAACGGGAAAAAGGGGGTGAAGTGCTCAATAATTTACGGGTGCCAAGTTCTTATTCCCTTAATGAACCCTCGAGAACTTTCGAGAAATTCCCAAAGAGTGGAAGGGGGTGGATGGGTGGATGGGTGGTTGGGTGGTTGGGCGAAATAAAATAGTTTCTGCAATTGGCCAGTTGGCAGATTTGCATTTAAATTGATATGGCTGCGAGTCATAAACAAAATTTGATTATGCAAATGGAAGGCAAACAATCGGAGGAAAACAGATTCTGTTTACTCGAATATCAGTGCAAATGCAGTAAATTTTTCAATAAAGCAAAGTAAAGGAAGGTGATGAAATGGGACATGAAATTACAGATTTCAAATTATGTTATTCTTTATAGTATAACCTTTTTAAAACTGTTTACTTGGATATTCTATTTAATATTATAAAAAGTTAGCATTACTTTTCACTATTTTCTAGAAAATACGCAATAGATTAATTGAAACTTTCAACCTTGACAGACCAACACGCTTAACCTAGCCCTAATCCGCGAATTATCCTATATCGATGCCATCATCTATATAATGCCAAGCCTGTTAATATCCCCATTAAATGACTAATTGATTGATGATGTCTGGCACTTAACCCCAGATGGATATTTTGCGTGTCGCAGTCTAAAAATATAACAAATAAACATGCGAAATTTTCTGAATTTCTTTAAAAAACGATTTATATATACGACTATATATGCCCACATTAAAATGTCTTTGACGTCGCAGACAAAATTCGCCAACAAAAAAAAAATAAAAGATTTTAATGTTCTGCTTTATTTCGGAAAATGAAAATATATAAAATCAAAACAGAAACCGAACAATTGTAAACATTGAAATGAAAACACTCTGTGTGTGTGTGTGTGTGTGAGCGGAAATAATAGCGAAAGAAAAGTAAGGAAGCCATGGAAAATAGATGCCAAAAGTTTTCCTTTTTTGTAATCTTTGAAAAGTCCTTGATGCAATCGACCCAGGTGCAATAATCTCTAGATGGATGTTGTGCAGTTTAACACTGGCAAAAATAAGAATCAATTTATATGTCAATGAAAAAAAAGATTTTTATAAAGCTATAAATTTAGCAAGTCAAATAAACCTTATATATTTTTGGCAATGCGAGGGAACTGAAACTTTTCACTAAAATTACTCATTCGTACCGTGATCTCAATTTACTAATAAAATTATGATGTATTAATCAAACAATAAAGAATCTGATTACTATAGCTTCTAACACGTAAAATTTAAATATAATCTCTCATCTTAACCTACAGATGCAATACTATTTCCCACAGTGCATATTTAAAGCGCCTTACCCCTTTAACCAGTTGCAACACTTGTGACCGCCATTTACCTAATTTTCGGAAGATTTTTCAGCTCTCTCTCTCTCTTTTGCCTTTTGTTGTTGTTGTGGACTTTTCCACACTCACTCACACACAAAGCGACTCACAAAGCCATACGCACACGAATTGAAAAGTGCGAACACTACGAGAGAAAGAAAATTGTGAACCACACCGGACGAGGAACCAACATCGAATGAGCGGAAAAATAACAGGCGCACGTGCTTAAAGCAGCGTAGACTAAAAAAAAAGGGGGAGGAGAGAGAGAGAAAGAGAGGTGAATCTCCCGAGAGAAATGGTGGAGTGAGGCAGGAGGAGAGGGGGAGACGTTGTTTTCTACTGAATGAAAGCGACAGGCTTCGAGGCCGCTCTCTCCAACTATCTCTCTTTGTTTCTCTTTCTCTCTCTCTCACACCTCTCTGAAAAGTAGGCAAGGACGTGGCTTCAATTTAAGGCAAAGAACACCTACGCCCCTTTGGTCACGCCCCCGCGCGTTAATTAAATATCGCACATACGCAGCGTTAACACCTCCATCGGATTTTCAGTTGGTAGGGCTTTTTCCTTTGGCTTTGGTGTTAGCTTCGGTCACATTTCATGGCTTAATGCCTCGGATTCGCCGCGGAATCCTCGCCGTAATGTAATGTATGCACGTCCTTGAACGCACACTTAGAGCAACGCCTCTGCCCACCCACACGGCTACATCCTTTAGTGCTGCTCTTTTATTGCATCATACAGTGAGATAAAAATATCAAGAAAATTGGTTTATAAGATTTAAGTTCAGAATGAGGCAAAGATTACTCTTCTAGAGGTTAAAATATTCACAAAAGTATAATTTAAATTTTATAAAAATATATAAAAAATATATTCCAATGCGACCGCGAAATTCGTATAAAGAAATTATATTGGCAAAGCACCAAAACTTCTCATCTGGTATAATTTTTTTGATAAATTGATACGTAAGACTTTGCGTATTACTTGGTATATCTATATATTTGGTTGCTAAATATTCAGGTTTATCCTTATTTAATATTTTAACCTCATTTTAAAACACTCATCCGGATGCAGTTTTTAAGGCATTGGGACTTAGGCGTTGTATTGGAGGCTGTCCAACGATGAAGTCGAATTTAGCAACATAGCCCCTGGTGCCGGCTTCATAGATGACAACCAGATATTTACTTCCAGGAAAATACTGCTGAAATGTACCCTTTACTTGGAGTTGACCCGGAAAAAGCTCTTCAACGGTCTCCTCCCTTGTCGCTCCATCTGTAATTATTCTAAAAGATTCGGAGTCATTATCTCACATTAATAACCTATTATATTACAAATTAACATTATCAAAACTTTACTTCAAGTAGTATTTCTTAGCTGAGGGCACTTGAAGTTCCCTGTTGTAACTTGATGTGTCAGAAGTCGTAGGTACCGAAATGACAAAGTTCAGAAATAGAATTAAAAGAAACTAAAGCAAATGTTAAAAAAAATTTAACCTTTTAACTAAGAATTTAATAACAACTTACCGAGCAAACAATTTTGTCACTCATGATGATGATTTTTTGCTGGTTGGTTAGCGACTGACATTTCCAAAAAAATGCAGCAGAGAGTTAGCCAAAAACCAAAATGCTAATTTAGTACAGGTCTAAAACTGGAATCATCAATAAACACAATTTGTTTGTATTGCTGTTTTACGATGCGTTTTAATAATAATTATTAGCATAACATACCAATACGAATTAACACAGATGGTTCTTTATATTGTTTCTAAAAGCTTTAAATTTGTTCAGTCAAATAAAATAGAGATCTTATAAGATGAAATATTTCAGTAATAAATATTGTATAATCACATTTAATAGGATAATTTGTCGCCGTGTAAGTATCCGTGGCCACGACCGTATACGTGCCATTTGACAATGTTGCAGGCGAGCGGCGGATAATGAAATCCGCAATTGATGCTTGGGCACGAACGGAAAAGGGATTTGGGACTTTTATGGACTTGTAGGACAGCTCTTATTGCGCATTTTGTGGTTCCCAAGTCGAAGTAAGCGATAGGGTTAAGTTAAGTCGACCCCCCTAGAAACTTTCACTTATTCGTTTTTTGACCAGGCCAAGTGCTTGAGTTTAATCGTATACAAGTATATGCATATCTACACGGTCATTATAATCCCTCTTTTAAATCTGTATACATTTTGGAAAATTGCCAATGTCTGAACATTTTTAGCGAAATCGAAATACGTGCATAGCGTATTTTTGAACAAAAATAATGTTTATTTCTCTATCATTCGCCGCCGTTGCAGTTTTCCCTACCACCTTTTACTCCCCCTTCATTATTTCGCTTTCCGGCAAAATATTTCCATCTCGCCAATTACATTACACAATGTTTGCAATGATGTGATGAAATGGCACATTCCTTGCCCGATTGAAAGTGCAATCTAAAGCGAAATTATATGGTTTTTAGTTTTACATGAATTCGCAAATCATATTAAGCGATTCAAGATGCTTTAAAGATTTCCAAGTTGCTTTGAAAAAGTTAATTTATTCTTATATTAAAAAGAATATCCGAAGTGATTAATAATCCTTTTTAGAAAACAAATTTAAAGAAAGTGTTTTATATTTTATTTTACAAATATAATAAATAATATTTTCATCAAAGGCAACCAAATCGCATCCCGCTTAGAAGCTTTAAGGGTCACTTACATAGATTCACGAAATAATTCATCGACAAGGTCATGATGCTTGTATTTCACCACTTTTGTTGCAACATTTTAGGGGTGCGATTCTTTCAAGGCCATTTCGAGCTTTAATTTATGCAAGGGCGACTGCATATATTCCGGGCATATATAATATATCTTATTAAAATATGCGTGACAACCCAAAATAGCTGACCCACAAAGCCAGTGAGCTACTTTTTCCGGCCGGAGCTGCCACTTTACCCCATTTTCCGGCTCATTCCTCTTAATTTGGCCCGCTGTCTAGTCTCATTTTTTGGACATCAGAGGTCCGAGCAACAATTACCCGCAGACACAACAGCCATGATGAGTGGGCAGCGCGTCCACCCACCAGATTCACCCATCCATCCACCTCCTGCCCTGCCCATTGGCCGCCCCTTTTTGTGAATGGCATCCGAGGATTCGAAGACTGCGCAGAATCCTCTCTATCGATTAACTCATAAGGCAGACAGCTCTCTCTGCTTTAACTTGGGATAGGGCATGGGGATGGGTTTTCGGATGGGGATGTGATGGCTATGTGATGCGGATGTGAAATCAACTGCGTAGTAGTCAAAAGTCAAGTTGAAAGGCGCTTTTTTGGGGGTGTGGCACCTGCTGCTGCTACTGTTAGAGGGATAATGTTTGAGATGCTTAATGCGCAATTTAGTTAAGGGTATGTGGGATATGCCGAAGTGTAGGTCAGTTTGCACACTTTCTCTCTTTGTACCCATCCTTTCTCTCTCTAATGATTCTCTTTCCCACCCTATCTTTTATCCCCTTTTCATCAGTTTTGCTCTCGCGGATTTATAATCGAAAATTGCATGCGAAAGTTTTATCCTTGGCACCAAAATAGTGCATTGGCCCCACTTGTTCAATGCTGTCAAAGAACTGAAGTGACGTGAGCTATAAAGCGAGTTTAAGTCTGTGTTAGAGAAGGAGAATTTTGTAATTCAAATTCACCAGAGCTCGTAGTATTGAATTTAATCATATTTCAATATATAAGTGTTCTATGTAGTAACCGTCAATATTTAAACATCATTATATCTCAGTAGACTTTGAATATATATCCTTGACAGTGTTGTTAAGCGAAACTCAAAACGATCCCCATTAGAAAATCAGTAACTCTTTTTCCTGAAGCAAATTCATCGTTGGTCCACTGAGGCAAGGATATACCCAATTAAATTAATCAAAATCGTCGGGAATGGTGGTTGTTCAAGGAATGTACGAGATCACGGAGCTGGTGGCAGGCAGTATTGGATGCGTGGGCCTTTACATGGCCGGTTGCAATGCTCTGCCCATGGACCATATCTCGGATCTTCCGGCGGCTCTTTTCGTCCTGTCAACAGTGTTCCTTCTGCATCATGTGCGGGTAATTAATTGGCCACCATTGCAGGAACTGTGGCGCCTGCTGCTTGAACTAGTGGTCTTTTATATGTCCACCCAGCTCCTTGTGTGGGTTGTATGGCACCAATTCCACAACTTTACGGATATTTTACGGGATCTAATACTCAACACTAGACTGGCAATGAACATTCTGGAAAGTTTCCCTAAGATCTATATGTTTTTACGACAGGATGTCTTTTATTTAGGAAAGCTCATCGTATCTTTGGCATGCACCTACAAAGCGATAAAGGTTACTCATGTACTGGATTATGCTATACCACGGCACCGGGCGTATAGATATTACAAGAATCAACCTGCAGCTAGACGCCCCACAAAAAAGTCGAAGAATTTACGTCGCCCCAAATCTTAGGAGCTAACGGAAGAACTTTTTTAGAAATCTCAGCAAAATATCTAATTTTTTATGCTTCAGCTATAGAGCTAATTCACATAAACACATGTACTACCAAGGTGAACACCGGCCCGAGTGCAATGCCCAGAAATCGAAGGCCGAATTCAAGAGCAGTTCACGCTTTCCAAAGTATTTGCATGCTTGAAAGAGCAGAGCCAACACGTATACCAAAAACACAGAAATATTTTTTAAATTTTGGCGCGTCATAAAAAAATCGATATGCATTAGAATCGAGATTGTTGAATCGCATGTGTTCCATCTCTAGCAGCAGAGTAGATGAAGAAGAAGAAAGCACTAGTGTCGGATACAAACAATAAAGAAATTAAACAATTTTACATAATTTGGCCGTGTTTTTCGGTTTAAAGGGGTGTAATTAGAGGAAGGGGAAAGATATGGCATTTCTTTGTCCCGTGCGCATGCGGCGCGACAAGAAGAAAGGTAAGTTAAAGCAAAGCGGAAGAAGCAGCACTGAAAACGAAAGACTTCAATCACGAACTTGTTGCTTGGTACACTGAGAAAAAATGTATTGCTGAATAGTATAATAAACTAAGTTTAAAAGATTTAAAATTTTGATTAAATCTTTACTAATTTTTAAAAATATTAAATTTTAGCTACAAATGCCAGCATAGAGAGGGATTTGCCAGCTGTGGGAGGACTAGGAATGGGCCGCATAACTGGTTCCTCGAGCATTGAAACATTAGTGCGTGTGGGCATCGAAAAAGAACACGGTCTAAGGTATGTATATCTGTAGAATTTCATTAACATATTTTTAAAATACCCTTTCCATTCCAGTCCCGATTCCAAGATGGTAGTGCTGCACGACTTTACACCCTGCGTTGATGATGAACTGGAGGTGAAGCGTGGTCAGCTGGTTAATATCCTGTACAGAGAAAACGACTGGGTTTATGTTATTGGTCAGGACTCGCGACAAGAGGGCTTCATACCGTTCTCCTACTGCGCTCCCTGCAACACACAGCTGGCGGATTTAGCTGTAAAAAAAAACTGCCAAGGGAACAGTGTCCTGAGCAACCGATCGATGAAAATTTACCACTCCTTGGAACGGACAACAAACTGGATGTACTCTGCGATGAGACTTTAAATCCAGGATCTGCCAACAGTATGGAAAACATCCTACTATTGGAGCCAGAGTGTAGTCCCTTCGTTAAAGAACCCTCCGGGCGTTGCATTGTGTTATACACCTTTATAGCTCGGGACGAGAATGATTTATCCGTGGAACGTGGCGAATTTGTTACTGTTTTGAATCGTGACGATCCCGATTGGTTTTGGATCATGCGCAGCGATGGCCAGGAAGGCTTTGTGCCGGCCAGTTTTATCTATCCTGCGGACAGCGTTCGAGTTTTACAACAACAGAAAGCTACTCTTAATGCAATGGAAACCATTCTGCAGCAGGGCCAACAAGGCCAGCAAACCCAACAGCAACAGCAGCCACTGGGCTTGGGAACGGATGATCTGCGCTACCACGGGACGGAGCTGGTAATGCTGTACGATTACAAAGCGCAGGCTCCAGACGACTTGTACCTCTCCGTTCGCCGAGGAGATTGGATTTACGCCGATCTTAGCAATCAGACTGTTGATGGATGGCTTTGGGCCTATGCTCCGAAAACCCGCAAATACGGCTTCATTCCGAAAGCCTATGCCCGTCCACCTGCCATGACAAGTCTGTAAACCATTTTTTGACTTCCATTATCCTTATAATTATCAGATCTTTATGTGAATCATTATCGGCCCCTTTGGGATTCCATTTGGGTACTTTATGCATTAGATATATTTATCGTAAGTGTAATTTCATTTCAATGCCATTTTCGTTGAATAATAAATTGTGCCTTAGGTTTATTTTGTATGTGAGCTTGCATAACATATCGTATACACTTAATCTAATTAATTCATTCCTAACTGTAGGTTTGCCCATAAACGAATATAAAAAATATACTACTGTATTCCATTCAGTAACAGCTTGGGCAGCACTTGCTAGCATCTATGTCTAGATTAGAATACTAAAGCACTAACGGGGCGAGCCCCTAGATATGCACTTGGTTTGGATTATTGGATTGGATATGAATGTGTTCCACTATAGGTGCGAGTGCGTAGAGTTATGCTCAGCATAATGTTGTACACACACGCACGTCCAACTGGATTTGGGTTACCACCTGGGTTCGGCGGGTGTCTAATTCAGGCCCAGACTATCGTTGGCCGAGGAGCAATGCGAACAATTGAGGTCCAAATTTCTGAAAAAAGTGTTTTTTTTTTAATGTATAATGTTTTATAAAGTTTTTTTTTTGAACCCACTTCATAGCCTCTCTAAGCTGGTCCTTCTCATTCATCTCTTCGCGCAGCTTTTGTTGCAAACTGAGTATGAGATCGTTTTTGTTTTGTATCTGTAGCTTTAGATGGACAATTGTCTCTTCTTGCGCCTCGAAAATTGCCTTAAAAGGATAAGTCCTCAGTATATGAAATAATTATAAATCTAGTATGAAAAGTCTTACCCGACACTCCTCCATGGACTCGGAGTAAGAGGGTGGTTCGTCCAGGCAAAAGAATTCCCGCACTAGTTTGCATTTGCGCAGCTCCTCCTTTGCCATCACTGAGTTGACAAAGATCTGCAAGCCTTGCACGCGATTGTCCAGAAAGACGGCATTGAAGTTATCGCCAAAAAGCTTCTTTCGCGGCAGCATGAGCGTGAGATTCGGGAAAGTCTGCTTAAGCTTGCCATTTAACCGCACAAAGTCGGTGTACCGCCGCATTACAAGCCAACAGTCGTTGGTCTCTGGATTCTCGACGCGCAGCTTGTAGACAGTAAAGCGCGCCCGCTCCTCCATCACCTCGTAGCCGATGATAGGGACCCTCAGCACGGCATTGGGATCAACGGGGGGAACCACTGATCCTGAGGAGAGTGTCATCTGACTCGCGAACATAGAATTGGAGCCTGTATGCCTGGAGCTGGATTGACTGTAGCCGAGACTGCATTCACTCATGCGACGCGGCGCTCTAGTGCTGGGTTCCAAGTCCACACCATGGCCTCCTGCCTGGTGGCCATACGAGGACTGCGTCAAGTCGCGGTGTGATCGAGCACCGCCTAGCATATCGTTTCTATTTATTGCAGTTCTCGAATGTTGTTCGTAACTGTGAGAACTAATTCTCTGCAGACACACCTCTGATTTAGCGTTGGCCACTGTTAACGGAGCACCGGAATTGGCCAGGACTACACTAACATCCCCCTCCGATTTGCTGCGCAACAGGCTGTTATTTTGGTACTTCCCCACTTGTCGCAGGTCAGGATTCGAGTGACACTTTCGACCGAGTAGCTTCCGCTGCCGGAACAACTTTTTTTTGTCCGATCCCCGGCTCGAGCTCCCAGTTTTAAGCAACGATTTCTTCGGTGACGTTGTTGCTGTGCTGGCCTTCTTGAAGAGTGTTGCTTGAGAAGTTCTTACAGGTGCTAAATGGTTGTTATTATTGCCGTAGCTACTGCCTGTTTCTCTCTTTCGGAGCGCCCGCAGTGACATTGCTTTGTTTGGTTTGTTTCCGCAGTAGCTTTTTGTTTGCTACATGACTTTTAATTTGGCGAAAAGAAATAGCTTTTCTTCCTTTTCTTTTGTTATTTTTCTTTTGTGGAATACAATGTGACCGCACTTTTTCTGACCTCATTGCGGCAGTGTTGGCTAGCTCTGTTGGCAATCGATAAGGTATGGCGGCAAACAGCTGAGGATTTATCGAAAATGGAGCATGTGGTAAATATTATTGTCATATTACGGTGTTATTGTTTTTAATTACTTATTTTCATTAGAAAAACGAAAGCATTGAGCTTATACAAAAGCTTGTAAATCTAAATGTAACTGAAAATGAGGAGGAAATCACGGCATTACTCAAAAACCTACGATTATTGCTCACGAAAGGAAGAGAAAATCAAGAGGCTTTGGCAGGTAGTGCGGAGTTCTCCATCTTCCTCGATGCCTTGGCTTTTAATCCAGCGATGCGGACAGACCATCGTATTATACACAACTTATCCCTCCAAGTGTTAGCAAATAGTGTGGTTAATAATGAGACTACCCAAACCCTCACCTGGAATAAGCACGGCTCAAAGATTTCCGAACAAGCTTCCGCAGTTCCACTGGGCAGCTCGAATAATGTACTGCTCATGATCATGTACAATATTTACCTCAGTGGCCGTGGTCTCATTAGTGACCAGGTGGCGCTCCAAACATGTGTTCGGCTATGGCGAGCTCTAAACGAGGGTCAATGCACATACAACTTTGAGTATCTGCACTTTTTCCTCGAGCATTTTATCGTGCAGAATGGCCGTGCCTGTGTGGCTTGTTATCAGAAGCTGGAGACTGAGGATCGGGTTTCGTTTCTAGACTATGTAGCTCACTATCTAAGGGAAAACAGTCCCAATGGTGAGGTGACTCTCTTTCTGCTACAACACTTTGCCAAGGAATTCCGCCTTAAATCTGATTGTCTCCTGCGTGAAACTCTTAAGCTTAAACATGAGCTCCACCCTCGAGAAGTTCACACTTTGCTACGCATTATTGCCAGCGCCAGTGGCTCTGAAAAGTATGCAAATGTCTACTCTACGGACCAATCGCTATTCATAAACGTTAGCAGCCTGCTAAGGTGTGTGGTATCTGCCGGCAAGGAACCAGATGGAGGCGGACTGGATAAACCCATGACAAAGCTGGAAGAGGTGGCGCTAACTTCAGGAATTGATGCCCAATATGAAAAAAAGGTCTCATACGAACTGAAAACGCTTCTTGTGCGCTGCTGTGCCAATCTTCTATACGACAACAAAGCCAATAAAGGTTACTGCCTGGATACACAACTTCTACCCACTCTGCTGGAATGCACAACGATGGATGCTCGAAATCCTTGTATGATAGCATAAACCTTAATATAATTCGATAAACTTAATACATTTCCATCTACAGTAATGCGAGAATGGAGCATCTTGGCCATCCGGAACGCTTGCATCAACTGCCCTGAGGCACAGCAAGTGATTGCTGGCCTCACTATGCAGGGCTCGGCACCCAACGACATCCTTACCGAACTCAACCTGGATATGGGGGCGCTTCGCATATCCGACAGGCAATAATCGCTCACCTAGCCAATTAACAGCATCCATCTACCCATACGGAATCAGCAAACGAGGCACGACCACTGGCTGGCCAACAAGTGGTTAGATGTTATTCACACACACGTCATCCTCCGCCCAGTCGTTGCCCCCCTTTTTGAGGCTGTACAATGCGCTAATGGTATGCCAACAGATAGCCAACGGCATTCATAAACGCGATGTCAACGTTTAATGGCAAAGCGGAGGGAAATGTGTCGGACGGCTAGCGTGGCTAGCGAAGATATAAAAATAGCTGCCCATGTACCATGCTCTGTGTACCATTAAAAAAGAGATGCCTAAATTCATCTAAATTCTAAATTTGTGCACACACTGCCGCATCAGCGGAATCATCGGTGGAGTAGAGTTCATGTTTATGGCGCAATTAAGCAACGATGACGTCTGCTCGAGTAATTCCTTCGGCGACTTGCTGCAGGTGGCAGCTCCACCCTGCCCAATCTCCCTCTTTCAGTTCCGCTCCCAGCGGTGTATGTAGAACGATTTTATGTTTATGCTGGCTAACCCAATGCCTGCCTTTGTTTTAGCTCGGCGCGCTCCCCAAAAGAATAGAAAAGGAAAAGGCAAGCGAGCGACAACCACTAGTGGCTAGTAGCCAGTCAGTCTGTGCTCTGCCTTGGCCAGCAGCAGACGGAGCCGTACCGCCGCGATCCATTCGAAAGGAACCGAAAACCCCAAGATCGCGCTCTTTTATTTCGAATTTTTGGTTTTTGGTCTGCTTCGCGTGCAATATAGCCGTTTATTTTGGTTGTTATCGCTAGTTCGCCTCGATTTTTAGTTGGTAGATTAACGAAATTTTATTTTAGACGAGCCGGGCAGCTCATAAAAACCAAACAGTTCATTCATAAACAATTAGCCTGGGGCCCAGCCAGAGATCTCCGTTGCACCGCTTGCAGCTTTAATGGTAAACATCGAGGTGATCGCTCTTATATAATCAGGATACCTGACAAACGCTAACACTGCCGGACAGCTTATAAGGTGGGCTGACAAGGAGACGGAGGAGGAGGTGGCGGTGCTGATCCAAATCCGCTGGCATTGGCCTTATTTATGCGGGGCATTAATTAAATACACATTTCTCAAAATTCGCTTCTTTTACGCCGGGGCGGAATTCAACGTGTTGCGACGTCTGAATAATGCGGCACATACCAAAAACACAATGGCCGACAGCAAGTAAAACAAAGGCTGAGATACAAAACAAATAAATAAAAACGTTTCGCGATTTATTTTGGTGTGCGTTATTTTTTTCGAAAAATATAAAATTTCTGCCTGTCAAAAGTGTCAATATATTCGCGCCCAAAAAAAAGCGACAATGAGTTGTGAATTAATGATGCTTTGGCTTCCAACCGTTTTGTCAGTCAAGGAATCTGCTAAACGTGCGGTTGGTCTAAAAATAATGCAAACTGTTTGCTGTAATCTGTGCGTGCCTAAAGAACGACTAAAAAACTACAAGAAAAATGCTGAAAAACCTATTCAAAGAAAAGTGGCACAGAACGGATAGAACTTGTTCTTCCCTTTTAATGACGCACTTCATGACGCAAGTGCTGCAACTCCCCCAACTCCTGATGAGGCAAATGCATCTGCAACTGCAAGATTTATTCCCGGAATAGATCGCGGAAGTACAGACTAAGAATCTGGCGCCATAAAAAGAATAAAGTGAAAATTTCTCCTTGTTTTCTTTGCGTTTCCCAATACAAAAAAATATATGTATTTGCATATATAAGGTGACACTTTTGGTAGCCCAATTATTATCTCGAAACAAAATAGGAAAAACGAAAATTTGGACGGCATCCACATGGCAGGCAGTAGTACTAACTATGTGTATATGGCACTTGTGCACGCACACCCCTCCTCGGCAGCAACCGCCAATTCCCGCTTGCCGCCACTCCATCTACCCATCCGAACACCCACTTGGAGGGGGCGCACCTAATTCTCGCAAAATATTCCGCGAAAGAGCCGAAATAATTTTGAAAAGGAATTCGCATTTTTGTCATTTATTTTTCTCGCCTGAATGTGTCCACTAATTTGCTTAATTTCTGTCACAGACCAAAGACGAAAAACCATTTTCGAATGGGAATTTCTGGTTGTCGTGGCAACATGTATGTAAATACACAAATAAAATAAATAAATCGGATTCTCCAAAAACAACATAATTAATGGGCACGTTCTCGCGGATTTTCTGGGAGGCAAACATACAACACAGGACAAAATAAAAGTACTGCTAATAATTTAGTTGAAATTTTTTATAAAGAAATCTAGTTTAAATATATATAATATTATTGCCATTTGCATAAAAATCTTTATATGTATATTAAAAACAATTTTATAAAAGTTCTTTTTAATTACTTTTTTTTTCCCAAAATATTCTCTTTACTAGTATTTCGTACATTTGTTTGTTTTTCCTTTCCCTTAAAATATCTTTTATCGCTAGTTTTTGAAGACCCAATATTCTTCTTCTGCCTGCCACTGTTTGCCTAGTATAAAAATAAAATATTGTTTAAATTAGAGAGGTTGAGATCGGTTGGGGCGGGCAGTAGGCTCTGTGAAACACCTGCCGAATGACGAAAACGCCGCCCGACAATGTCCAACATGTGTGCGATATGTCCGCATGACTTCATTGTCTGGGGAGAGATTATAAATGGGTTAACTTCCTCTCCCAGGAACGTGCTTTGTTCCATGTGCGTGTGGATTGCCCCTTGCCATCGTCCAGAGAGCCCTAGGAGGGGAGCGTGAGCCAAGACCTGAGCCATAATGAAGCGCGACGTGTCCACGTCGACCATCGGTCGAGATGAGGTTCGCCGACCGCTGATGGAGGCCTATATGTTCCAGCGGCGAGTTCTGCTTGGCTGTAGCCTGCTCATGGCCGTTTCCCTACTGATCTGGATAGTGGCCATTTCGACCGACCACTGGATCATCATTTCCGGCGGAAAGGGTAAGTTATGAATCTGAGAATTGATTACTAGACTTTATTGTTAAAAAGATACTTTCATTTTTATTATGTAAACAAATTACATTATGTTATCTATTGTTAAACTACGGAATCAATGAATGATTTCAATGATATTTCAAATTCCAAAAAATAATTTCCAAAGATTAAAAAAAAAATGTAAATGAATTTACTTTCTTTTGGCGGTTATAAAACACTATTAATTCTTTACTCTTCCAAGGAATTTTCATTCCCGAGTCGCGGCGCTTCTTCATGTCCTCTCACTCAGGATTGTGGCGACACTGCAGAAACACCATTGTGCCAAATGCCTTGAGCAATGCCCAGGTGGTGCGCAATTTTAGTTCCATGTCATACACTTCGCAGACGAACATCAACGAGGCCAAGCGGAATCTTTCTCACATGGATTTCATTAAGGATTTTGCACAGGAGAAGCTGGATACATCGGACAACTTCACGGAATCCGCGCGACGACACATGTTTGCCCATTGGGTGCGAGGGGAGGACGAAGAGTTCCAGACGCTGCGAAATGCCTTCCGCACTTTAGTGATGAATACCGATGAGAACCAAAGGCAGTTTAATGCCACGGCCAATAAGCCCATACCCATTAACCCGCTAGACGTGAACGGAATTATTGAGAGGAAAACTTTTGGCTCGGCGCTCCAGCGAGTTAAGTACAACAACACCTGGTCGTACTACGTGATTCCTGAGGTGGCGCAATTGGCCATTTTCACTAACTGGACGGATTATCCTCTTGTGGTTCGTCTGCTGGGCACCTACATTCGGGATATAAATATTCCTGCTTATGTGCTGAACGACGAGCGTGTGATCCTAATCCTAGTGCCGCCATTGCAGCCCAAGAAAGGCCAGCCCACATATTACACCTACATCCCGAATCGTAAGTAGAAAACCCTTATGTAATCCCTTTTCTTAGTAAGCTCCTTTTTGTAGAGCGCTGCAAGTATATCGATATGTTCCCTAACTCCAATGCCCTACGAAATGAGCCCGGTTTCGATGATGAACTACTGGGTAGGTATATGAGAATCCTCTTTTAAAGCGACGGCTCCTAATTGGCAGTCTCTTGGTATTCCCTTTCAGACTATATCCGGACGCAGGCGTCCTTTGCCTGCATAACTCTGTTCGTGATGAGCCTTGGCGCCGTTTTCTCCTTTTACACGTTCATGAATCCGCGGTACATGTTCAAGCGTTTGGCGGGCGGCATCCATTTGGTTGCCGCCTCAACAGCCTTAGTGGTGCTGCAGGTGCTTTTCTCATCGATTGACTACACCAGGGAACATCTGTTTTACGCATATCCTGACGGAGCACAGCTAACGTAAGTTATGACATTCCTTGTGGGATAAAGGATTTTTCTCATTTCCTCCTATCAGCTATGGCTATGGCGTTTTCTTGGCCTGGTTCACGTTTGCTGACAATATTCTGTGCGGTGTTATGTTCCTGTGGTACTCTGGCAAGAAGAAGGGCGCCAAGGCGCCCAATGACGAGGTGGCAATGGCGGATGAGCCCACTATCATGGGTAGATAACTGCATCTGCATCGGGCCACGATGACCGGATACCCTTTTCTGTGGGATATCCCTCCTGCGACCAAAGACCAAAGCAACCGGCATAATTGTCGCCGTTGCTTTTCATTTCACTATTGTTATTTGTTGTTTTCATAATGGCTGTATTTAAAATGTTCGCTTTATAACTATAAGAATCTCAAGGCAATAAAGGAATTGTTTTCAGTCAGTTATCGCCGATTAATTTTTAAATTTGATAACAGTATTGACTACAGAAAAATCGGTTGCATGTTCGATAGTGGCTGTCGAACAAATTGGCTTGTAATAAAACAACATAAAATTGATTCCGAGTGGCGTTTTTTGTGGATTTATCTAAAGTTAAATACGAATCTTTAAAGATATTTTTAAAATAATTACAAAGATTATCCCCTTTAAAAAATAAAATGCTTAAGACTATGGTTACCAGTATGACCATACTGCAAGCACAACTGCTTATCTAAAAAACCACTTAAAAACCAAAACAAATCAAGAAGAAAGAGTTCGTACACAAAATAAACTTTATTATATTATAATCTAAGGAAGTTAAATAATATTAGGAGATGGGTATAAAATAATTGTCGAGTGGACTTCAAGGAATCACAAATAAATTAATAAACGCGTGGTAGAACCCGATCCACAAATCCAATAACAAATAGGCATTAAAAACATGGTAATTTAAAAACCTTAAAACTTGTTTAGAATGTATAAAAATAAATGCTTTTCAGGAACCGCTAGAACCGGATATTATTACCACGAAAACTAAGGAACTGACGGTAGAGGAGAAGCAAAAGTTGGAGGAGCAAAATAAACGTGGTTTTGTGCCCGAATTCAAAGCCAATAAGCTGGAAATAGATGCACAGAGAAACTGGGATATATTCTACAAGCGGAATGAGACACGCTTTTTTAAGGATCGCCACTGGACCACACGGGAGTTCCAGGAGCTGCTGGACCAGGCAAAATTTGGCGAAAAACAGACTCTTTTTGAAGTGGGATGCGGAGTGGGAAATCTAGTCTTCCCTCTTCTAGAGGAACAAACCAGCGAGGAAGGATGTTTCACAAACGAAAGATTTTACTTTTACGCCTGCGACTTCTCACCTCGAGCCGTGGACTTCGTTCGCTCCAATCCTCTTTACGATCCCACCCACATAACTGCCTTTCAATGCGATATAACGACGCAACAGGTGCACGAGCACATTCCGGCCAGCAGCCTGGATGTCTGCACCCTGATATTTGTTCTCTCCGCTATACATCCACAAAAATTTGTAGATGTAGTGAAGAACTTGTGGAAGGTACTAAAACCAGGAGGACTGGTGCTATTCAGGGATTACGGCCTGTACGACATGGCACAGTTGCGCTTCAAGCCAGGTAACAAGATTGCCGAAAATCTCTATGTGCGACAGGACGGTACCCGTAGCTACTTCTTCTCAGAGGAAGAGGTGTCAAAACTCTTCCTAGAGAACGGATTCGAAGTTATTACGAATTCTTATGTCCACCGACGAACGCTTAACCTCAAGGAAGGCGTGGATGTGCCGCGTATTTTCCTGCAGGGAAAGTTCAGAAAGATGAACCTCTGACGACAAAGTAACGTTCATTGTTACGTATTTAGTTGTTGTATTTATTTTAAATCAATAACATGGTTCAAGTCAACGTTCAATAAATATTTGTATGTATATATTAGTTTACACATGTATATGCTAATAAGTGATAGAACTAAAAGACTTCCTGTAGAATTCAATTGAAATTGCCTGGACCCAACTCTGGCTGAATGTCGAGTAGATATCGAATGTGTGAGCGTCAATGCTGCTTACCTAAAACAAGTGAAATGCACCGGGATTTGGATCTGAACGTTGTGTTCCCCGAAAATGGAACATTCGTCTCCCTTGACTGAAGCTTTAGCATACGATGTCTACCAAGGGTTCCGTGTGTATACATTTTGTATATATAATTCTTGTGACGTCCTAGCAACACTTAATCTAACCAACAATTGGATTTGGAATACGATATTACATACGAACAACTAAGAAAACCCATCAAATTCAACAAACTCAAACGATCCTTAATCCATAAATTCAAATCTCCTCTCCCGTCCACGGTTTTGTTCGGCTAATACACAGCGGTAGGTGGCGAATATACATATATAGTAGGGTGAGTGGATTTCTAGTCATGAAGATATTGGTGTGTCGGCAAGTAATCTGTGGATGGTTCTGAGTATTAACTATATAAGGTCCGACCAAAATGCAAGAGATATAATTGCACCTAACCAGAAACATTGCTTTATATTATGGAAATCGGAAAAATAAATTATTTGGTATTATTCCTTCAGAACTATTTAGGAAGTGTCCTACAATTATCCTTGGATTACTAAATGCCTTGAATGTTTATCGTTCTCATCTTTTCTTTCATACAAAATCCACTCACCCCGTTTGTGGTTGTAAATATATATACTTGATACTTGGGTTTGGCTAATCGCCTTTGGAACGAGACGATCGATTGCACTACTCCGCCAAGCTGTGCTCGGTCAACTTGCCGCCATTGCTGCTGCTGTGTCCCAGCGGCGCCAGTTCAATGCTAGAGTCGAAGCTCTTTGTGAGCAGGTCGCTGCTGGTCACCGAGTTGGTGGTGCTGCTCAGCGGTGGCAGGGATGTGTTTGCATTTACGCCCAGCACGCCGTCGTTGAGGTCGCTGTCCACGCTGAAGCTGTTACTGCCGTTTTCGTTGATCAGCGAGAGCGTCTGCAACGGCAAAACTTCACCAGTGGGTGGCTGCTCCGTACTGACATTCGAACTGGGCTCCGCCTGCAGCTGAAGCAAAGAGTTACGCTGCGTGTGCTTGTCGAACTTTCGCTGTGGTGGCTTCGGTGGTTCCTTATCCTTCTCTTTCTCCTTGTCCTTGGATTTTTTGAAGCCAGCAATAAGAGCCTTGTGTGCCTGCGCCTTGATGCCCTCCATACTGGGCCTCATGATAGAAGTGCGCGTGCCGGAACTCTCCTTTGTCGATGGCGACTCCTTGGTGCCAGGTTCCGCCTCCTCGGAGACGCTTGCTAGTTGCTGTGGAACCTGCTGCATGGTAAGATCTTGTACCTGGATGGGTATGTCGTCCGGCAGTTTTTTCGTTCGGAAGGAGGCGTTTGTGATCATGGACTTAGATACAGAAGTGGTCACCGTGGTTGTGGATGGCGTCAAAGCTACACTCAGGCCCATGGGTCCGTCGTTGGGCTGTCCGGAAGGATTCGCGTGTAGCGAATTGCGCACCGCACTAGTTACCAGGATCAGTTCCGAGTACATCTCGTAGGTGGCCCGGTTATGGATATCGTCCAGCGTCTGAATGGCTATCGTGCCATAGCCGTTGAACATAGCAAAATAGATTGCGTGCACCAGTTCGATAAGGAAGGAGGCGGACAGTGGAATGCGTGGTGAGGAGGGCTTAGGAAAAGTGGCTCCGGTTGCCGGATCGGAACTGGAAATAATATTATATCATTATAAGAACAAAACGAAGATCTGGAGTGTACTTTACCCATAACTCATGCGGTGACCGTGACCCGACTTTGTGGTGAATCCCTGATTTACCAGCTGAGAAGTGACCCGACACAAATGAAGCAGCGACGACTTCTGCGTCTGACTAACTTGCTGATTGTAGCAGAACAGCAACGCCGTTAGGATACGCATTCGGTTCTGGGCATGGATAGACTCTATGCGCTGGTGCGGCCCCCACTTGACCTCTCTGTTGCAATTTTCCTCCCAACGGCGAAGATCCGTCATGGGGAGGTTCTTTACCTCGTGGTAGACGGATGTCTGGGCCAGGATGGGCATGCGGAAGGCCACAACCTTCTGGCCCCCGTCGTCGGTGGAAACCTCGCCATTGTAAATGCAGATGAGTAGGGTCTCGACGCCCCGAGCAGCCTTCTTATCGCCGCCGGCCACCGAGTGCAGGTACGTGTAAACGAGAACCGGGATGAATTGCAGTGGAAACTTGTGCAGTGTCAGCTCCGGCGATCGGTAGAAGGCTAACAATTGCTGGCAAATGTCATGGACTAGAGCCTCATTTCGTTGACGCTCGTTGAAGATGGTAAAGATGGCCTCGGCGATCTCGGGGTCAGTTTCATGCTCCACAACGAATGCTTCCGCTTCGGCAGGCTGACCCCGTGTCCGCTGGTAGTCCGCCAGCCAGTCCCTCACCAGTTCCGCCATCGTCGTTACCCTTAGTTGGTAACAGAATCTGAAAAATAGAATGACAAATCCGCAGTCAGTGTTGGACTTTCAGGTGGTTATCAACGCTGCTCACCTTGACGTGAGTGGAAACTGGAATACTAGTGATATTAGTGGGTGTACTAAGAATCTAGGCTAAGGTTTCCCCACCCTGGGTTATATGGTAGCAGTGGCTAATTAATTTATCTCCCGTCTCCGCTGCTGCTCCCTCTTAATTTTTTCCCCAAATAAGCCAGGGCTACATCGCAGTATGCCCAGACATTAAATTTTTTGGAGGACCATATTTAGTCGTTTTGGTATTAAATTTATAAAAGTATTTTGTTGAAGCTCAATATTTGAAAAATAATACTGCGAAAAATATTTTTAATAAATTCCATTTATGTAATTTCTTTCTATATTGAGATCTTGTTTTATCTACTCATAATTTATTTGTAAATTTAGGAATAAAGTAAATTTCTTAATTTTATCCTAGTTTAGGATTCACAATTTTAGCATTTATGAAATTAATTTCACTTTAAAAATTATGGCATGATCAGGTATGTTGATGTGTTTTTTCTTGTTTTTAAAATCAGAAACCACCTTGTTAAAAATTTTGATAATCAATTTTTGCAATACTTAAAATAGTTTTAAAGTTTAATAGTCGACTAGCGGTGCTTTCTAATAAGATCCAAATACTTCATAATCTGTTATCAGGATCCTGTCTTTAGTCTTTGGTTGGTATAAGGACTAAAATTTTTGTGGCTATATTGATTACGGAAGATTAAGCAAACTGTCATCAAGTTAACTCTTAACTAGACATTAAGTGTATAAATGTAAATATGACTAGTTCACGGAAGAATGAAATCCGTTTGGTCTTCGCTAGCTGGGTAATCGTTGCATATCCTGTGCTAGCTCAACTCTATTTCGAGGACGCCAAAGCTCCAGCAGTCGCACCAAGAAGTGTGCCACTACGAAGAAGACAAGAAACCAGGATCCATGTTGCCACACAGCAAACACCAGTTCGCTTGTGGTGAAAGACCGCTCTTGCAGAACACGATCGTATACTTTCACTGTACGGAGGGCCACGTCCTCCCAGTTGTACAGCGTTTCCACCAATTCATTACATTTGTAGGGACACATCAACGGCGCTGTGTAGCTAGCCTGATCGGTAGGTGGATCAGAGGATGATGGCAGTTGTGGATGAGATGTATGCGCATCCACTTTCTTGCGGCGTCGTCTCCTACTTTTTCCATTAGTCTCTGACGACAAATGACCATTGGAAGGAAGACTTATCTTAAAAGAACTATTTTGATGCCGATCGATGGCAACCAAAATTGCAGCGTGTATGGCGTCTATGTCTGGTTCCGCCAATAGTATTAGACTCTTCGGCAGAACTTCTGGGATTCCACCTACACTAGTTGACACCACTTGCAGGCCACAGGAAGCAGCCTCAACAATGGCCATGCAGTAGGCCTCAGTCAGTGACGTATTTAAGAAAATGTGGCCTCGTACCAGGACATCGCGTACCTTATCATGTTCAACTGCGCCCACCATCTCCACCCTTTCCTGCATATTTGTCTTCTCGCGAATCTCTTCCAGCAAATCCCGCTTGGGTCCATCGCCAACAATAATAAAGTTCACATTAGGATTGTTTTTGAAGCGCGGAATGATGCCAGCTAACAAATCTATACCTTTGCGGTAGACTAGACGCGATGCCACTACAATGTTGACTGAAAACAAGAGTAAGTCGGTGTGCGAAACTATATACAGATGGTAAGCCTTACTTAGGTCATTGCTGGGTCGCTGTTGGGGATCAGGGGTAAACAAAGCAGTGTCCACTGCATTGGGGATGACGGAAACTCGATGTTTAGCGACTCGAGCACGTAATACAGTGTTCTCTTTGCCTATGTGAGATACGCAGATAGCATGATTCACCATGCCCAAGTTGACTTCCAATAGATTGTTGGTAAGAGCGGCCGACAAGTCCGCAAAGCCAAAAAGGCTATGATCCGTGAAAACAGTCTAACAAGAAAATAAAATTTTATTATATATCCTTAAGGCTCTAAATTATTATATTTTTACCTTTAAACCCAGGAGGGAGCCTACTAGCAGCGCTTCGTGGGCTAGTGCACTGAAGGCGGAGTGACCATGCACAACTTCCACGCGCTCCCGGAGAAGAACCGCACGCAGCATTGGCACATTGCAAACGGCAGTGGGCAGGATACACTGGTTGTAGCACACCTTGATGGGCAGATAGTATACCTTCATGCCACCTGTCACATAGCGAACGCCACAGCAGTCTCCATAGGCGTGGGTCAGCACGACGATCTAATTGTAGTTTAAATAATCGTTATCTTTATTGGCTGTTCCAATTGGCAATAGTCACCTTGTGACCCAGGCTGAGCAGCATTTGCGAAAGGTTGTAGACATGCTCCTCCACCCCACCGATGCTCGGGTAGAAGAAGTCTGACACCATGCAAATGCGCATCTTTCAATATTTAGCTTCTGGGATCTCCAGTTAGTTGACATTCCACATAAACAAATAAGTGCAAAAACTTAAACTAGAAATGTCAGTGTAACCATAACACTCGATGGTTTAGTGTTGCAACACGTCCAAGGAGAATCAGGCATTAAGCCCTTATTGCACGACAAAGATTTCTTTTAAAAAAATTTCACAGTTATTAAAAGCATTAAATTAAGGTGTTACGGTTCATATTGCTTATAAAGGTATAAATAAAATAAATGTATTTTTCTTCTATTGAATTAAAACATGGGTTTCTTATGTATTCTGATACAAATCTTTTTTTGTTAATACTTTTTCTATTTGTGTACCTAAGGTACCAAAAACGTGTAACTTTCCGGGCGGTGATAATAACTTTCCGCTAACACTTTCCCATTCTCTCGCAATTGCTGGTCACACTTGGATTGAACAGGAGTGGGGAGACGTTTTTGTTTTTTGGCTGGTTTCTTCATGGCTGAAACATGCAGAATTCCAAGGCCAAAATGGACGAATTCAAGAGCAAATTCTTGGACATATTGCACAAACAGGTAGCAGGTCACCGTACGGTTGAGTAATCATCAAATCTAACCCCGTTTCTATGCAATCTACCCACCAAACAAAAAACTACTCACGCACACACAGACGAACCGTCAAATGAAAATTCCTGCAATGGGCTTTTCGGATTATTTCATCCAAACGGTGACCACAGACACCTCGCCCAGTCATCAAACAGACACCATAGATATGGCGGATACCACTTCCAGCGAGACGAACGCACAAAAGTCAGACCAGGAGATCTTGGAGGGCATCGAACAGTGCTATTACAGCCCCGACAGCAATCCGCAGCTGTACGAACTCAAGGTAAACCAGGTGTAAAATCAGTCCCCTCTGACTTTAATCATGCCCCGTTGTCTTGTAGAAAGTTCTCAACGATGGAATAGACAACGAGCTCATCGAGGTCACCATTGCACAACTGCGCACTCAGCAAAAGGTTCTCACCAAGCAAGTTCTGCAGAACATCCTGGAGCAGCGCAATGCTTGCAGCAGTGAGTTCGCAGCCATTAACGACACCCAAAAGAAGCTCGAGGAGTCGCTTTGGACCTGTCAGAAGGCGAGATCTTATTTAAACTTTGCCCGCACGAACCTAACAACCACAAGCCTTGAGATCCTAGCAAGCTACCGGAAACGGGAAGTGCTCAAGGAGGTGTTGGACACATTAGTAGCCATCAAAAAGCTGGTTAGATAATGATTGCCCCCAATTCCGTAACTTAAACTTTAGCAAAATTTAATATTTCCAGCGCACCACCGATGTGGAAGTGCAGAAGCTTCTGGCAGATCACAACTATAGCGCTGCCATCGCCCTGCTCCTGCAGTGCAAGAGCTCCGCCGAGGCCTACATGCAGTTTAACTGCGTGCAATCGCTTTCTAAGAAGCTGCAGGAGACCATGCTGCTCATGGAGTTTCAGCTAGACACAGTGCTTAATGAGATGGTACTTGGTTTTGATGGACGGAAATACGCCAAGCTGCAGGAGGCGTACAAACTGGCTAACAAGTCGCTGATGGCTATGGACCAGCTGCACATCAACTACATTTCGGCCATTCACTCTTCTGTGAATGCAGTGTTGCGTGGTTACAGCGATCCTGGTCAGGATGATCAGGCAAAACCGCTTTACGAACAACTGTGCGAACAGCTTAGCGTGGATAAGCTACTCCCCTGTTTAATCAGTTTGTGCAAGACCTTCTGGACTATCCTGGCCTCATATTACCAGGTTGTTATGTGGCACAACAACTACAAGTTATATGGCCTGGAAGAAGAGGATTCCCCAGATATTTACATTCAGCAGAAACTGAAGAAGGGACAGTCTCGAGTGTGGAATGATATTTTGACAAAAGTGTGTCTGTTCCTTCAAGCGGCCAAGTTAAAAGCGCTCAAGTACGACCAGTTTATCCAAGTGCTCTCCGTGGTGCAGCGCCTTAAGAAAGTGGGTCTGGAGTTTTGCGGCGAGCAGTCAGAGAAATTAATCGAGACGATGCAGCAGCAGAGCGAAGAGTTCTTCCGACGCTACCATATTTGTTGTGTGGAGGAGATCTGTCTATTCCTGGATAACGAATCTTGGACCCAAGTGGACTCGTTTGCACATATCCTGCAATTGCCGGTAAGTAATTTTGAAACATAGGATATTTCAGTTTCTGCTTATTTAGCATATTGTCAATTGTATACAGGAATTCCGATCGGTTCGACACACTCTTAGACGCCACAAGTCCCCGACAGTAGCTTTGTTGGTCTCATCTAACAACTCCCCAATCAGCAATAATAACTGTGACGAGCTGGTTTCCGTACACTCCCAGGATGGCGGCAGCTCGATTTATGGTTCCTACGGATACTTTCTTAGATTCTCGGAAAAGAGTTCACCCTTTGATGGTGGATTGGATGCCGCTATGTTGGAAGAGGACATTCTTTCTGGAATCGTCGACGAAGCCTCTTGTTATTTCAGCGAGGAGAGCGATGACGAGCAGAAGAGTTTGCAAAGCAAAGAGTTCGATGACACCAACAAGTAATGTCAATATAAAATTACCCTGGAATTCGTTTCAATTGTAATCTTTTTCAGTCAACTGCTGGTAAACAACACTGCTCTGAATGTGCTGCGCATTATTGGACGTTATCTTCAAATGTGCAAGCTGTTGCACTGCATCTCGCCCAAGATTGTGGCTTGTATGCTAGAGCTCATTGACTTTTACGCCTACGCTGTGCACGAAATCTTTGGAAAGGATGCGGTATTTATATTTAAATATATATTAAATATTTTTTAAACAAAGTAATATTTTTAGCCGGTAGCAACAGATAATATGTATTCCCAACCACTAGAGCAACGATTGCGATCAGTGGAGGTGAATGTCCTGCCTCAAACCAAGCTTTGGCCACTTAACTTTTCCTCCCTGGTAAATGGAATACAATTTTTTTTTATTGTTTACATTTTTGATCACATGTTTTTGCAGGCCAACAACGAATTGGCTAATCCGGACACACTTTACGGCCTGTCCCAACGCATTGTAGCCGTGGAGGCCGGTCGTAGTATGCTCCAGCAGTTTCACATCCTTCAAAACTATTTGAACCACCTGCTGCCTCTCGCAGAACGTCCGACTTTGGCCAGTTATTTGCAATACAACGATTATATGGTCGATCTGGCTAAACCCGTTTACACATGCGTGACGTCGCGCGTCATTGATTTGACAGCTATACTGGCTCAAATGGGTAAGGTTAAATGGGATGTGAATCATGTGATACACCAGCACAGCAGCTACAGCGATGTTTTAAACAGGGTAAGAGCAAAAATTATGACAATATTTTATGCATTTTTTAAATAAATTTCATTACAGAACATACAAAGCTTTGCTATGTGTTTGGAGGAAATTGCCAAGGAGGTGCCAGTGCCCAGCAAACATGTGTGGAATTCCATGGCCCATGTGGCCACGCACCTACTAGTGGAAGGGTAGGTCATCCATTTTTTAAAAAATAAGTTCTTAATTTAATGGTTTTCTTTATTCTAGATTTTCTAATGTAAAGAAATGTTCTGCTGGAGGTCGAGCACTTATGCAGCTAGACTTTGCGAACTTCATGTCGTTCCTCGAACTAATATCGAACCAAAAGTACCCACAACATCGCTCCTATGTAGATGTGTTCATTAAGACCTACTACTTTGCGCCCGAGCAGTTCGAGCAGTGGATTGAACAGCAGCGATTAGGCACGCATGAGTATTCCGTTAAACAGTTGAACAACCTTATTCAATGTATATTCAGCGACAAGCGTACTCGGCAAAGGATGCTACAGTTGCTAGATGTTGGAACACCCAATGGGGTAACCACGTCGACGACGCCGTCAAGTACGCCGCAGAAGAATAACCACGGATCCGTAACAGGCTCAAATCTAAGCAGTGTTATCTGAGCTCCCCTTAAAAATTATTTTATTTTATTTATTTTTTTATAACCCCGAGCTAACCTTGTTAGTAGATCAATCTCGTGACATTCTCTATGTGTATTTAACATTCCGTTTAGTGCAAATTAACATTGTGTTTAGGCTAAAAATTCTACCTTAGTTATACAGGTGATCTCCATGATGTACTTCGTTTCGAATTTCGAATCTCCCAAGCCCTCTTAAAGTGCAATCCACTCTCTGTTTTTCGCTCTCTCAGATGCAACGCAATTGGCAAAACTTTGTAATTGATAAGTGACAATTGGTTCATCGTTCACCGTGACTTAAGTACCTAGAGAAAGCAGACATATATACACACAAAACACGTATAATTAAGATGCATAAATACCTATTTATTTTACTACCTATTTATAATATTTATTTGCAGCAGGAAACGGACAAATAATTGTAAAACAACTCAAATGTAAAGGGCAGCATATCGATTTGATTTGTGCGCCTACCACGAACACACACCATTAACTATTTAGCAACTGTAACAAAATAACAAAGATTACATATTTTGAGATATGCATATTACATACAATGGGTATTGTGTCTTATCATCGTGGGCGTGAAATGATTGACGTAGCATATCCTTAGCATGACTTGAATTAGTTTGGGAATAATATAAATAAATGAGGATATCGTGATGAACAGCACATAGTGAAATGTGGACAGCGATAAAAGTTTTCATTTTTTGGACACCCGTCCTAGTTAGTGGATCGACTGTGGAGTTTATCCTTAGAGCTGCAGCCGAATCTTCACTTTCTTTGTTAATAATCCATAATGATTACTGCCCGGATACATGGTTAAAGGAAATCTTTCAGAATCACACGATTCCGGTGGTAGTTCTGCCAGCTGGAGAGCATTATATAAAAATACATGAGTTTTCTCGACCGCTACACATATTTTGCCTGCCTGGCCATGAACTGCATAACGATCTGAAGATACTCAAAGAACTACTCGCTTCTTTAAACGATGTTCCTAATTCAAAGGCACTATTGTATATATCCAATAGTTTCTCTAATCGAACCACAATGGACAGTCTTCTTAGAATCTGCTACTATCAACGTATACCCAACGTTGTCGGACTTTTAGCGGCAGATGAGCATCTATACTTTTACAGATATCATTTTTACCCCGGATTCCGATCGGAATATAGGCCTCTGCAGTCTTTAAACATCTTTGATAAGGATTTTCCCAACATGCAAGGTCATCCTCTAATTGTCATGCCTGATCAATGGCTTCCTCGTTCCGTACTTTATATTGACAAACAAACTGGAAAGCAAATCCTATCTGGATCCGTGGGCCGCTTCATTAATGTGCTGGCCTGGAGGCTCAACGCCACTCTGCAGCTTGCCCAGACAGTGACTCCCGGGCGCTTTTTTCATGCCACAACCCTCAAGGAGCTGGGGAAGAACATGACTATTGATGTTCTTGCCAGTATATCGATGCTGGAGAGGGGAGAGCAGTTGGTTCGAACCAGTTATCCGTTGGAGTTAACCCATATCTGCCTAATGATCCCGGTGGCTCAGGAAATTGCTTTAAAGGACATATATTTCCTTTTAAGCAGTGTTTCCAATATGCTCTTAGGTATTGGTATTGTATTTACCTATGGATTGATTTTAAGTCTCCTTGAGATTTTGTCCAATCGCGATGTGTATTTTGTGGATCTTGTGTTAAATGGCGAAGCTTTGCGTGGGATTTTGGGTCAATCTTTTAAGATGCCAAGCAGCCGTTCCAGCCGGTTGATATATGTAATGCTGGGAGTAATAGGTCTTAACGTAAGCAGCATATTTGAGGCGGCTCTGGAAACAATGATGGCGCATCCACCTCGGGAATTTCAAGCACGCAGTTTTGCAGATGTTGGGAGAAAGCGAATCCCGTTGGTTACCACAGAAGAAGATTTGCACACCCTGGATGATCTCCATTTGACTTTGCTGGTGCTTAATATAAGTGAATACCATAACGTGAGAAATGGGAGAAACTCCAGCAATGCCTACTTTGCCTCCCGATTGCATTGGACTTTATACAGTGAGCAGCAAAAGGGCTTCACCCGGGAGCTCTTTATTTATTCGATGGATGCGTGTCTATGGTCCTTGGCTTTTTTATCGTTCCAATGGCCCCAGAGTTCCATGTTTGCAGAGCCCGTCAGCAAACTCATCCTAGAGGTAAGGGCCAATGGACTGTATCAGTTCTGGGTGGGCATGCATCACTATGACATAATAGAGGCAGGTTTGGCCAACACGGAGGATCCCAGTCGGCAGTTAAGTGAATTGAAGCTGACTATTGCTTTGCGAGTAGTTGATCTGCAATGGGTGTGGCTGGCTTATGGTGCTCTTCTGGCTATTGCGTTTCTGGTATTTCTGCTGGAAGTTTTTTGGGGCATAGTCTCATCATATCTTCACAAATTTATTGGATAACTTGACAAACTCCATAAAATTTTAGGTTTGAAATATAAATTTAAAAATCACTTAAAACAAAACAAATTAATTTACAATATAAAAACTACTCATCATCATCTATAATTTCAATGGGAGACTTCGAATCATTGGGATCATCGGAACTTTCCGAGTCGCTTGTGGGATTCTTAAGTTCTTCTATCTCATCCTTGAGGTCTTCTATTTGCTCTTCGTAACGCCTCTTCTGAGAGGAAAGCTGTAAAAGATAGCCTTTTAGAAATGGAATATAAATTGAGTAATATGTACTTACCATAAAATCAGATTCTCGTTGAGCAATTAGTAATTTTTTTTCACATTCGTCTTCGTGTTGTTTTTTGTTGTTTTGTATTATCTCCTGGAAAGTAGCAGTAAGTTCCCTCCGCAATTTCTCTTCTAGAAGTTGCATTTGGAGGACATGGTCGTACTTAAGCTGTTCTATCTGTAATTGCAGGCGTACGTTTTCGTCCTCGAGCTCTTTGGTGTAATCATCGCCCTCACACGTTGACATCTTCGAGAACTCCATGAAGCCACAATAACTGACGCGATGCTGCTTTATTACGGGCTCCTTAAAAATTATATTTTTCGCGATGGAAGCGAAATTTAGGACGTTTAGGTTCTCCTCGTAGTATTTGTCCAGCGGGGTAACAGTGACAATCATGGCCAACTTTTCCTTGCCTAACAGTGCAGCCTGTAGCAGCATCGTTAGTTTGGAGTCTCGATATGGAATGATGTCAGCGTTTTTTTTCTTTTGAACTGTGCTGGCTGCATCTAGACAACGGCCAAGTACCATTAGCGAGGTGTTGATGTTTTTCGCCTCTTTTAGTCGCAGGCCTGAGGTTCCCGTGTTGTTCACGCGTTCTGAACCCGCCAGATCGCAAAACTTGTACGAGCTTTGAGTGGTGATTCCTGAGCGGTTGTATTTAAGTATGTCTACAGTAAAGACACAATGGGATCGACTAGAGTTGGCGTTCACTGAGGTAGAGGCGTATGTGGAGCGCTGCTGGCCTAGCCGGAGTAGTCTTAGAGCCTCCTCACTACTTGTAACGAAAACACTGGTCAGTCCCTTTATAAATACTTGCCCCTTATTTCCGACGATCTTCAGGTTTTTTCGCGGTGCCTCTGTCAGCTTATCCTGTTTCGGCGGAATAGACAGCAAGTCGTATACAAGTTCGTTGTAGATCTCCACAAAGGACACCCACACCAACACGGAAACGTCGGTGGAGGACTTCGTCTCGAAAGTGTGATCACCATCAATGACCTGCTTTAGTCGGTGATGATGGGCAGTGATATCGGGACACGAGTCCAAAAGTTTTTTCCGAATTTGCAACTCCTTCAGCGAGGCATCGTCCTGCAAAAACACTATGCTTCCGTTGATCAGTTTTAGCTTCGGTGAGCGAAAGATAGTATCCTTGTAAATAGTGAATATGTTCTCCAGAGCTCTCGGAATGATTCCAGCTCGCACATCATCTCCTAAAACAGTACATGAGTAATTAATTGTTAAACAAAATATATAAGAAGTTCCTTAGATTACCCAGTAATGTGTAAGTTTTTCCCGAGCCCGATGTGCCATATGTCATTATGGTCACACACTCTTCCTCCATGATCTTGGGTCCCACACACGTATCGTATATGTCCCTTTGGCCGACGGAGCTATCGAAGATTGAAGTGAAACCAAAGTGTTTTTCCATGCGGTTTACGTTGTTGCTGGTCGAGTCTATTTTGCAACTGGTGATGAGGACATTGGCTTCCTCCGAGACGACGTACGCTTTAGATGCGTCCTTTACGGGTCGCAGGCGCAGAAAAACCTGCGGTCCCGACTCCATACTGCTGCTGTCAGCCGCGCTGGTAGCGCAGGAAGCGCCTTCAGTCATTTCGCTCGACTGGTACTTGTACTCCGATTCCGTGTCTGAATACTCGGAAAAACTATCCTCCTCCGATTCCTGAATGTTGTCAAACAAGCGCATCTTTTTGTTTGGTCGCGGCCGGAAGCGACGATCGATGGAGGGATCCCTGGCCATCAGAAAGGAGCGCATCTCCCTCTTCGGTACCTCCGTAACCTCCTTGCTTTCCATGTTGCTCCAATTAATTGGGTTTAAAGGATACTTTTAGTTACTTTCCTTTCGCGCTATTTTTCAGACGCCACGGGCCTGCCAACCTCCGTTTAATTCAAAATGACAGCAAACAGCTACACTGCTTGTGTGACCGTATGAATATTCAAATTGTTCGTTAAAATATACTAATTAATATATTTTATTTTTAAATTCCGTTTTGTAGAGTATAAATAAATTCCATAATTAATAGAATAATTTTTAGATATTAGAAACAATGGGTTCAATCGTTTTTTTTTATTTGCTCACGTACAGGTCAGAATATGAGCTATAAGGCTATAAGCTATAAGTTAGGTAAACAAATAATTTACTAGCCATATATCTTTCCAAAACAAATATTTACACACAAAATGAATTATATTAATAAATAAATATCATACAAGTTTTTATGCAAATGTCCAGTTCATTGACTTGATTATCGCACATTCTTCAATTTGTCCTATCTGTTTGTAAGTTTGTGCAGATTACCAGCGTCAGCAAATAATTAGGTGACAAATTACCGGCACACCACTGGCACACACATTTGTTTAATGTTTGGTTATCAAGTCTGGACAGCATAACAGGCTGTACAAATGGACCGCCCTGCCACCAAATATGTACTCAAAACGTAAATTATTTGCACTTGTTTACTTTCTTTTTTCAGTCCGATTTTTATATGCTCCCTGTCTGGAAATTCAAACAAATATTGACTCAATAAAAAAAAGAATAGTAAGCGAAACAATTATCATTTGTTTTTACTTGACAAATATTGTTGTAAAAGCTCTTAATGAATCGAAATTGCGCGGTTGGGTTTGAGAATTAACAGTTAAAAATGTTCACATCTAATATCATTTAAATTATAAGTAAATTTGCATTTCAGATATTGATAAGGAAACAAAAGTTTTTAGATCTTAGGCAAGATTAGGCAAACGATATTTTGAAATGTGCGCCCAAATAATTTCCATAAAGTTGGCAGTACAATAAAGCTGAAAAAAAAACAGTTTTATGAAATGTCAGCGCCATTTTAGAAACCAAGGAACTCTAGCGAAATTTACTTAACTTTTTTTTTTGTCCGTGAAAAAGTTTTTTCGTACGCCGTTCAAACCTTTTCTATAAGATCAGAATCAAGACAAAACTAACCAAACTTGAAATGATTCAATTCACAGAAACAACTCCTGGTGGAGATCCTGGAACCATCAACCCGTTGTCCTCCGGAAATCACTTCAAGATGCCCTTGTCAGTCAGGGAGTTTGCCAGGCAGAAGCCTCCTCCTCCGGACTATGCCATCAAAACCTCGCTTCTCGGGCACGATAATTGCGTTACTGCAGTGAAGTTTAGTCCGAATGGTGGCCAACTGGTTAGTGCCTCAGCCGACAAGCTACTTAAGCTGTGGGACGTAGACGCCTCCAAATGCCTTCAATCGCTGACCGGCCACGAAAATGGCATCAACGATGTGGTGTGGTCGGGGGCTGGTCTACTGGCCAGTTGTAGCGATGACAAGACTGTGCGACTCTGGGATCCACGCAGTGGGCTTTGCACAAAATCCCTGCTAGGGCATGGCGGTTTCGTCTTCGCCTGCTCCTTTAATCCGCAGGCCAGCCTGCTAGCAACCACCTGTTTTGAGGGAACTGTGCGCCTGTGGGATGTGCGTACCGGCAAAACCCTAAAAACCGTGACCGCCCACCTGGATCCGATTAGTTCGGTGGACTTCAACCGCGATGGTAGTCTTTTTGTGACTAGCAGCCTTGATGGATTGATCCGCCTGTGGGACTCTAGCAACTGCCATGTGATCAAGACACTCGTAGAAGGCGACAACACGCCTGTGGGCTTTGTCAAGTTTTCACCCAATGGCCGGTATATCCTGGCCTCCATGCTGAACAGCACCCTCAGACTGTGGAACTACCAGAAGCCTAGGTGCCTAAGACTCTATCGCGGTCATGTGAACGAGTCCTTTTGCATGACCTCCAACTTTTCCGTTACCGCAGGCATTTGGATTGTCTCCGGTAGCGAGGACGACACTCTTTGCATATGGAATCTACAGTCCAAGGAGTTGGTCCAGAAGGTCAGCACGCAGGGCGACCATGTGCTCTGCACCGATTGCCATCCTAAGGCAAATGTGATTGCCACCGGCGCTAAGCAGAATTCGTTTGCCATAAAAATCTGGCAGAGTAGCGAGGAGTAGTCCCAACGAAGCCTTCTGTTTAAGATGTAATTGTTTTCCTTTTATCAAAAGGCCAGCCTGGCCATTAAGCAAACGAGCAGGTTGTCTTTGCAATTGTTGATCGACGGACTAATAGGGCTAACAAGATATGGCGGTATTGGACTGATACCTGCTCTTGTAAATCTTATATGGCCAGTACGTGTACACGAACACAAAGCACGATTGCTTTTAGCCGCTGTTGTCACTGGTCGACCGAGATCAGAGCGTCAGTCGCGTTTGGAGCGGCACACTGAGCGCACGCCTTAGCTCCCTCCCCGGTATTTTGTTATACTCTGCGTTATTTTCAATCGCCCAATCCAGTAAAAAGCTGGAGCTGCATCTGTGATGAGAGCCAACGAGGGTGAGTAACTGTCCCGGGGTTTTTCCGGATGCAGCATTGCCATCAGGGTCGCCGGCCAGTTGATTTATGCATAGTAATTAAGTGGGAAAGTGGGCTGTAATCGTCGAGAATCGGTTGTATAAAATACGTGCCAATTCATAAAAGAGTATCTGAGCGCACCGTCTTATCTGCGTGGGGTAGACCGGACTCCCAGCCGATAAGATGACCAGCCCAATGTCAATAAATCCGACTGATCGACAGATGTCCCAACATGCTGCTGCCAGGCAAGATTAGCCGGCAAAGGAGGGGTTATCTATACATGTTTTGAGACTGCTAACTAAATCAAAGTTTGTTTTGGATTCGCAGATAATTTGTACCGGGAGGAGTTGCCCAACTTGGGCTCGCTTATCAGGGATGGTGGCCGCAAGTTGTGTCGACCGGCGACCGTGACCAATAAGTTCCCGATTTTAAAGTGGCTGCCTCGCTATCGGTTGGAGTACATTATGCAGGACTTTATTGCTGGATTTACGGTGGGATTGACTACCATACCGCAGGCGATCGCCTATGGAGTGGTTGCTGGTTTAGAGCCGCAGTACGGTTTGTATTCTGCCTTCATGGGATGTTTTACCTATATCGTTTTTGGTTCCTGTAAAGATGTTACCATCGGTAAGTTGAAATCTTATTTTTTAAATTCCAATGCTAATTTCTTAACCTTCCCCAGCTACTACTGCCATTATGGCTCTAATGGTCAACCAATATGCCACCATTAGTCCAGATTACGCTGTGCTGGTGTGTTTCTTGGCTGGTTGCATAGTACTTATCCTTGGGTTGCTGAACATGGGAGTCTTGGTAAGGTTTATCTCGATTCCGGTGATTACCGGCTTCACCATGGCGGCAGCCACAACAATTGGCAGTGCCCAGATTAACAACATCGTCGGTCTAACTAGTGAGTTTGGAAATTTCAATATTTTATGAAATTGTTATCTACCTGAATCGCTATTGTATTGCCAATAGGTCCTTCAAATGACTTGCTGCCCGCCTGGAAGAATTTCTTCACACACTTGACGTCAATTAGGGTCTGGGATGCCCTGCTGGGTGTCTCATCTCTCGTGTTCCTGTTGCTCATGACGGTAAGTTGGCAGTTAAAAAATAAATTAAAACCAATCAACCTTTCGTTTCGTTTTAAATTCCGACAGATTGATTGATTTATAATGTCTCGTTTTCGGGTTATTCACCTTTAGAAGCAACTTTAAATAGAGTTTCTAAAGATCTCAACCCTATCAATCTGAATATTTTTATTATTAAAGTGTTGAACGCTTTTTATTTGATTTCTTAAATTTACTAACAGCGTGTAAAAGATATCAAGTGGGGCAATCGCATTTTCTGGAAGTACCTTGGACTCTCCCGCAATGCTCTGGCTGTAATTTTTGGAACCTTTTTGGCCTATATCCTGAGTCGAGATGGGAACCAGCCTTTCCGTGTTACTGGAAACATTACAGCCGGAGTACCTCCCTTCCGCCTGCCACCTTTCAGCACTACTGTAGACGGCGAGTACGTGTCCTTTGGCGACATGATCAGCACCGTGGGCGCATCTTTGGGATCCATTCCCTTGATCTCAATCTTGGAAATTGTGGCAATTTCTAAGGCATTTTGTGAGTATAAATTCTAATAATCCTGAAACAATAAACTTATATAAATTTCAAATTCTAGCTAAGGGGAAAATTGTAGACGCCTCACAGGAGATGGTGGCTTTGGGGATGTGTAACATCATGGGTAGCTTCGTGCTCTCTATGCCTGTTACAGGATCATTTACCCGTACGGCTGTTAACAACGCCAGTGGAGTAAAAACACCGCTGGGAGGAGCAGTCACGGGTGCACTTGTGCTCATGGCACTGGCTTTCCTCACCCAAACGTTCTACTTTATACCCAAATGCACACTGGCTGCAATTATTATTGCCGCCATGATCTCGTTAGTGGAGCTGCATAAAATTAGGGATATGTGGCAATCTAAAAGTACGTCATAATAGGTTTTAAATATATAGCTTTTAACTCTTCGATTTACCTTTCCAGAGAAGGACCTTTTTCCTTTTGTAGTTACGGTTATTACCTGCATGTTCTGGAGTTTGGAATACGGAATATTATGTGGAATTGCTGCTAATATGGTCTATATTTTGTACAGCAGTGCGCGTCCCCATGTAGACATCAAATTGGAAAAAGTAGACTTATCCTATCTTATCTGTTTTTTTTATAAAGAAAACTAAAAAAATTATTATTCCCCAGATCAATGGTCATGAAGTAAGCGTGGTGGATGTGAAACAAAAGCTGGACTACGCATCTGCTGAGTATCTGAAGGAAAAGGTAGTGCGTTTCCTAAACAATCAGAATGGAGAGACGCAATTGGTAGTCATTAAGGGCGAGGAGATCAACTCCATTGACTACACAGTGGCTATGGTAATTAACCCCTTGAAGGCTAAAATTTGAAAAGATAATAATAATGGTTTTGCCCACAGAATGTTGTCTCTATGAAGGGTGATTTGGAGGCTCTTAACTGCGCAATGATCTGCTGGAACTGGAATATCGCATCCGCCGGAGTCGTTTGTCGTCTGAACAGGGATCTTCGACCCATATTCAAATTTGATTTAACACTTGAAGAGGTAGTGGCTAGCCATTTCGACAGTCCCTCCAACACAGCCTCCACAGTGACCATCGAGGCGTAGGCACTCTAGTTTATTTTCACTAACATTTAAGCTGAAAGTATTACCTCAAGATAACAATTTAATGAAGTTGAATTTAAGAAAAAAAACCACTTGAACGGCGACAGTTTGTCTGGCTAGAAATAGCAAGTGCTCTAGAATTACGTCTAGAAAATCGTATCCTTCGAAGAAACCGAGAATGATGTCATAATAGTTGGACACTGAAATTAATTGAGCCGTTAACCGCAACCATTTCGGGTGACCAAATTGCAGACTGCTTGTCTGCCTTCACCTCGACCTTTCTTCGAACCTCCGTTCACGGGGAAAGTAATTTATGACTCTGTATGGCAGACACTTCACATTGAGTGCCCTGGCCAAAAAGAGAGAGGTTGAGAGAAATTCCCTTCGTAAGGAAAACGAGTTCTTGGAAGCATAAGGCTCTTCTTTATTTATTGGGTTTGGACTCAGATGCATAGTTACCGAGAACCCGTTGGCCGGTGGGATCGAATGGGCTGCGCAAGTGGCAGTCGGCGCGGTATTTCTTGCCCAATATGTCCACCTCATACTCCCCTTCCTTTATATAATCAGCATCGATAATTTGTCCATCTGGCCGGGAAATGTATGCCTGTCCCAGGGATTTTCCTAAGGTATACGCATATTCAGCTCGTCGCAGGATGCCCACGGGTTCGCCATTTCGGTAGACACCCTCGAGACCCCAGATGGGCACCTGATCTTGAAGTGTCAAATAAATCAGTCGCTTCTTTAAGCCCTCAGATCGTTGTTTCTCGATGGCTGCCTTGCCACGATAATCAGCTCCGGATTTGCGACAAGTGAATCCCAAGCCAGCTTCGAGAGGCGTGTCATCCGGTCGCAGATCAAAGCTCCATAGATGGTAACCTTTTTCGCTGCTAAGGGAATACAGCGATCGGTAGCCCGCATTGCGTAACTCCTGTCCTGCACCAGCCTTCATCAAATTTTGATAGACGGTGACACAATCCTTTTTAGGCACATGGAGCTCGTAGCCAAGCTCACCCACAAAGCTTACTCGGAGCAGGCGGATACCCTCCTCTCCGAACTTAGCCAAACGAGTACTATTTGGTGGCACCTGTTCATCAGACAGGTCGCAGTCGATGAGTGGCTGAAGGATCTTCCGGCTGTTTGGTCCTTGAATGGAAATTACACCTAATTCGGCAGTTATATCTTTGAGGGTAGCATTAAATCCCTTCCTACGGATCTCTGCCTGCAGAGAGCTGTACGTGTAAAAAGCAGACGCGCCACCAGCCACTATATAGAATCCTTGACCAGTGAACTTCGGATCGTAGACCTTTCCGGAGCCTGCCGCAAGACGGGAAATGGTCACATCGGCCTCTACTCCGCCTGCGTCATTTAGAGCGCAAGTATAGACAGTTCTATAAGATATTACAATTTTTGATATCAAACCATATTATAGCGCAGGGAATTAATTAATAAATTTGGTTCATACTTGCTTGGATCCTTTTTGGTGTTGGCCGAGAAGAGCCAGTCAGCGGCCTCCTGCGCCTGTGGTCCTTCCAAAAGGAGCTTGGCGAAGTAACTCATATTGAAGACCACGGCGTTATTACGACAAGCCAAAGCCTCTGACCCAATCTGAAAAATAAATTATTTATAACCTTCGAGATGAGTAAGCTTTCCTTACTCACCAGATCGTGGTGCTCCGAGAATCTACTGTAGTGAAGATCGCCCTCCAGAACCCTCTCGTATTCGCTGTCCTGGTTTCTTTGGTGTCCATAGCTTCCATACCAGTCATAGGGTTGAACAACCGCCTTTTTAGAGCCGGAAGGCAAAAAGAAACCAGGCCTTTCCCAACCTTGTTTCTCCTCCATTACTGCTCCTGCCTGTATCATCTCATCATGAAGAGGATCTTTTTGGAAATCACGGCCCGCCAAAGGTTGATCGTATTTAAAAACCATGCTGTAGTTCTTTACATAGCTCTCATGGGACTTCTCTCTAATCCACTGGTTTGCTTTGCCCTGCTCCTGGGTGAATCTTCTCAGATCAAAGCCGAACATGGGCAAATCCGGTTGGCCTTGGATTACCCACAACGCAGTCTGCTCTCCGCAACCACCTCCAAACATCATTCCCGCTGAATTGAAGCCACAATTGTGGTAAAGTCCATCTATGTTTGGATCTGGTCCCATTAACGGCTTGTGATCGGGTGTAAACGATTCGGGTCCGCAAACTGTGCTCTTCACTCCGTACTTCGCATAACTGGGACACAGTTTTTGGGCACCTTCGATGTGAGCCTCGAATACGGACCAGTCTAGTTCGTACAATCCGAAATGGAAATCCTTAGCAACGGGTTCCAGAAGTATTGGATTCGGCTCATAGCCACCCATGCAAATGGCGTCTCCTTGGATGCGGAAGTAGGTGGAGTAATCGTGATCTCTAATGTTGGGCAAACCCCTCACTCCCGGAATGGATTCAGAAACAATATAGGCATGTTTCATTGGCACCATGGGCAGATGAGTACCGTGCTTGGCCACCAGATCCCGACCCCACACCCCAGTGGCATTCACAATCTTTTCTGCTTTGATATCCCCAAATGGTGTTGACACACCCACTACTTTCCTACCGCTTGAAATTTGCTCCAACAGTAGATCATCAACGCCACAATTCTCGATTACTTGAGCTCCCAGATTGGTGGCTGCTTTCTTGAGTGCAGCACACAGCATCGCTGGATCCATGACACCATCTCCCGGAGAATAAAGAGCTCCTACAAAGGCGGAGGGATCCAGGAGGGGGAATAACTTTTGAGTGTCTTCGGGACTCAATACTTGGTTTTCGATACCCAAAGCTGATCCGACAGTGGCCAGTCTACGATACTCATCCAGTCGCGTTTGATTGTGGGCAATAAATATACCACCATTTTGAATCCAACCCGGATCTAGTTCGGTTTCCGCCTCCAATTGCCGGAGCATTTGACGTGAATTTGCCAGCAGCTGGATATCCACATCGTTGGGGCGCAGGCGCCACAATAAACCGGCTGTGTGCCAGGTGGTTCCGGCAGTAAGTTGGGCACGTTCCAGGAGCACAGCATTGACACCACGTCGCGCCAGGTGATAGAGGGTATGACAGCCCGCCGAACCACCGCCAATCACTACCACATCCGCTGAGGCTGGCAGGGCTCCACTTGGACCCTGACGTGCTCCTTCATCTCCTTTAGCTTTCTTGCTGATACCCCGACGAGATGTCTGTTGGAGGATGCGATGGCGCCACATTTCGAAATGCTGCCGTGCGCGTCCGCTTTAGAAATTAAACTGAGTTTTTGGAATAATAACACTGTACGGTCTTGATTATCTCCCACTGAATAAGTCCGATGACCCATGGGTGAACATCCTGATAAACCTGCTGCCCGTGACGTCTCCATTCATGGCCTGAGGCCCTAATCAAGGCTACGTCTCTGAGATTAAAGCGCTCCGTAGGGGCTTTTTCTTATCTTGGTTCGAAGGTGTGCCCAGTAGTAAAATTAGTTCGGAGCTTCTTAGGTCAAAAAACAGTTTTAAATTAAATATAGATTATGTTTTTCAACTCATTATAAATAAATCAACTCTTATAAAAATTTCAATATAAATTAATCTTATTTTTATGGAAATAATAATAATAATAATATTTTTTTTCTAGCAAGCAACTTAAAATGTTAAAAAGCCGAAAACGAATTTTCGTCATAAAAGATATCGATCTTGGGGCTCACAATCGAGTCACTTCCACCCTGACTCCCAAACAGGATATGCAGTTGAACCTTAGGATTATAATCACTCTAGTCCTCCATTAATGTTTATCCCTAAATGCACCACGAAATCGAAACCAGGTGGACCCATCTGGAACCGGAGGCTTGGCACGCTTCGCACTCGCTTGTCGCACATCCTTAAGACAAAAAACTCCGAAATAGATCGATAAACAGAGCAATTCATTTTGAATTTTCCCGCAGCCTGAAAACGGAAGAACACTGGGCCAATGTGGTGGCAGCCAGAAGCCAAACACCCGAGAAAGAGACCACCGATCGCACCATGTGTCGGGGTTCCTCCGCCAATTGCGACTGTTTGCGGAGCAGGCACGCCCACAAGAGGTGCCAGAAATAGCCGGATTCTGGAGAGCCGAGAACTGAGGAGCAGAGTGCTCAAAAAGGAGACTCTCCCCGTAACCCTTGACAGAAGTGCTCTACGTGCCACGCAGATCGGACGTATTTGACTCATAGATAAGTTTCGGTTCGTTACGATTCGATTTAAAGTGAAGAGACTGAGTAATTGGAATTTAATTTCCAATTTGAATATTTCAAAAGTGATACTTGTGATATTAAATATTGTGTAATAATGCCACGAAAGAAGCGCTCTTCCAGTCCTTTGGATATATTTGACGATGATTTTGATGAGGATGCCAGCTCTCAAAGTAAGTATTATCTTTATTTATAAGTAAATCATTTGCAGAAAATATTATGTATATAAATGTATATCGACTTGGAAATACCCGAAATAATTAAATATATGTATATTGTCCACCCAAAAACCCTAATCATAAGGCAGAGTTTTATACTCAGCTGACAATTAAAAGGTTTTAGAAAAAATTTAAATATCGATTTAACCATAAATGTTTAATTTATTATCAGTTTTCAAATAAATTAATGTTTTTGTTTTAAAATAAATTTAACATAACGTTATCTTTCTACTATAAATGTTTTTTAAAATTATAAATTTGTAGGTTCTCAGCCGCCGGTGCAACGGAATGCGGCCAATGCCCGTGAGCGAATGCGTATGCGGGTGCTATCCAGTGCCTACGGGCGTTTGAAGACCAAGCTGCCCAACATTCCGCCGGACACAAAGCTCTCCAAGTTGGACACGTTGCGTTTGGCCACGCTCTATATAAAGCAGCTAATTACGGCCGTGGAAACAGGCAGCAATGGCAGCCAATCCCAGAATCACTCGCACAACCATAGTCACCACCTCAACCACAGCCACTCGAGCACCACCAGTTCCGAAGGCCTGGACACGAGTCACATGGCAGAGTCCGTCGGTGGAGGCAATTATCATTTCCACAACAACGGACACGGCATGGTAAGTGTCATGGAATTACGATCCCTGTCCCCCAATAAGTGATGTCACTGGCACCACTTAACGATGCATTGCATCCGCGAGTTATGAATGGAATAGCATTAATGAGCCGGCGACTTCAGGTGGGTTGCGTCAGATAGTGACAGGTGTCGTCGGGGTTCCCCAATGATAGGCCCAAGATCATCGTAATGTTTATGGGTTTCAGTCTAATTGATCTGTGGTTTTCAGCATATCAGGATTCCCCTATTTGAACGGATTTTTATACAACTTTTGATGGTTTGGGGGTTAACTTTTGGGAAAATCTATTGAAATGATTTTCAGGGTGTTCTAATAAAATTTAATTAAAGGAACTTTAGAATCGAGTCGACTTGTTTGATTGAAGATAAAATGTAAAATTAAGCCAACAAGAAAATATATTTAAAAGCTATAATAATCTTCCAAAACAATATATTTTTATATTTTATAAAATCACAGCCGTCGGCAAACAAACCAATTAACTATTTCAATTTAAATTAGTTAAATAATGTTCCTAAATTTCTGAAAGTAATGAAGTAATTTAATCCAAAGTGACCGAGTATAAGATCCTAAAGGAATGTGCACATATCTGTGGTGCAACATCTGCTTGGTGATTCCGATGCGGCGACAAGTATTTCCACCTTTCCTAGGTGGAGGTGGTGGACCACATCCCAACAGACCGGAGTCAGCCATTCAGCCGGGCCCCCCACTAGAACATTCAAATCACATTTTGTGATTTCAGACTGCCTCGCTTTCCTGTAATCCGATACTTTTGTGAATTTCGAAAATATTAAATATGAGTGACAGGCAAGTGGAGCGGGAACGGAACGGTGACGGTACCACAGACCAGCGGAGCGGGATGGGGGGCACTAGTTAGTCTTTGCTTTTATTTTTAAAGATGCTCGACTTTGATGCGACAAAGTGAATGACATCCAAGGGAAAGTGTCGCCCTCAGTAGTTTTCCCACTCTGATGATAATTGTAATTAAAATTCGTCTAACCGTGTTTATTCATTCTCGCCGGAGTTTACACAATCTATCACTCAAGATTCATAGCGCACAACTTATCTAAATAGAAGCAATTGTTTACCCGCCGAATGCGTGAAAAATTCAGCAAATACGGATCCCGTGTTGTGCCCATATGGCGGCAAATCGGATCGGAGTGCCCCGACCCTATCCGAATTTATCCCATCCCACACTCTCGCACGCGCCCAAGATGATCTGGTGGGAACAACCCATTGGTTCAGTATTTGCTCGCTATCCTATTCTCCCTAGCATCCCTATATCTCAATCCCATTCTCATACCCATTCCCATTTCTTATATATGGCATACAAATGAGTGTCTCTTGTCCGCAAGTGTTTATGTTTTTATAGATCCGTTAATGAGGCTGTTATTGTAGATCTACATATGTAGAGGCGGGGGGCACTAAAAACAATCAAAGTTGCGTAAACAAACAATGGCGCTGTCTGGGATGGGTTGTCGTCATATTGTTCCAAATATAGTCCCTGTGGTTTCCACAACTTTTATGATTTATGTCTGTTTTATCCAAATATCTATATTGTATCTTGCAGAGCTGGCCCTTTGAGTTCCATCAGAGTAGTCGCAGTCTTGCTTTTGCCACATCATCTTCAACTACTTTATCGTCCTCCCGCATGGAATGGCAATCCCTGCATCCGCAATCATATCCAAAGCCCACACGAAACGAAACCCATGTTCCAGCGGATCTCAGTTACCATCAATTGCCGGAATCGCACACTCACTGGTATCCGGCGGAAGTGCATCAAATGGAGCCAGCGCCCAGCTGTTCATATGAAACTGGAATGGGACAACATCAGCGGGGTTTAGCCATAGCCACCAGCCACGCACATGGCACATAAAATTTAACTTAAGTTTAATGTTGTGTTAAAACCAATCAAATGTAAAACCTAGTAAGTGTATTAAAACGTGATTTAATTTTACATGTATTCGTATGTGCAAGCCTAAACGTATTGCTATAAGTCCAAAGATTGGTATTACCTCATGATCTTTTAATTAGCAAATATATAAATGTTTTTTAATAAAAAGTGTATTATTTTCAAATTGTATTTATATTGCCGCCATATACAAAATGTAATGTGTATCCCTGATATTTTTATGTGCCGTATCATTTGCTATTCTGCAACCCTGGCAAGCAGCTGATTTCATCACAAAACAAAGAGCTGCTAACAACAAAAATATCACTTGCTCGAGAATGAATCACTGATACACTTCGTATTTTAAGAGTGGTTAAATAAACGGTTCTAAAATAATATAATAATTTAAAATAAATTTATAATTCACAGTAACCTAAAAATATAAAATTTGTGAACTTATTTGGTAAAAGGCAGTACCTTTACGGTTTTAATTTTAGCTTATGAGGAAAGTGTAATGGGTGCGTAAGTACTCGACTCTTTTAGGGTATTTATTTTGTGTATTTAGTCATGAATGTAGTCGAACAACAATCACAAGAGAATAATAATTGTGCTAGAGATTATTTCAACACAAAAGCGAACTTATTACATGTGTATTTTCGCGGTTAAAGTTCACGTCGTTCGAGGGCTGGCATCGACGATTAGATTTGGTGGATCAGATCAGCGGCATATAATCTTCAGTAGTTGAGAAACTCTTGACTGCCCACTGAGCGCAATTCGCATTTCCCTCAGCAATCAGTCAGTACGCGATATTCACCGAAGACGGACGCATTGCGTTGGCTTCGATAATCCATAACCCAGAACCTGTTTACGTGACTTGAATACTGTAACTGTTTTACGGCAAAATGCCAGTCAAACAAGTGAATCCGGACCTGCAGAAGGAGCGCAACACAGCCACCTTCAATGCCCGGGAATTCTCCGTTCTTTGGGCTGGAGGCGAGGAGCGATTCAAGGAGAAAAAGGCACTCGGTAAGCTTACGAAAAGACACTGATTGCAAGCTCTATTGGTGACCCCGACAGTCGATCCCATTAACCGGTCGCTTAAAGCTTTATCTGAGCTTGGCGCAATAGTGTTTCCTAACGGTGGATGCAATAAATTGGGCCAGAAGCATGACTTTGCAATTAAGCTTGGGTTAAACTCGTAAAATAGAGCTAGCAAGAGCTATCTTAAGTCTTATCGAAGTATCAGATCATATTTTACATTGTTGAAAACTAAGATTACAGATCATATATACCCAAATTTTTGCAAGCCTGTCAACCTTATTTGTTTTGATACGCTACTTCTCCATTCATCCATTAATTCATTAGTTTTGATGCACGCTCGGTCCAAGAGTTCATTAATTATGTATTCCACATAAACAAATCGAAACAAGTTAATCAGCACCTATTAGCCAGCTCATAAGTTATTAATCTTTGAACTTCGCACGAATCTCAATCAATCCCGGTAGCCGTGCACTTTGAATGTTTGCAGCTAGACCGCTTCATCTATTTTCAAAGCCACTTCAAATTGGTTTAGCTGATACGTTTATCTGGCAGATTTGCCCGGTCGGACAGGGAATCATAAATGGACAATGCCCGGTAACACCCGCGAATTAACGAAGAATTGTGACCACTCATAATTACGCAGCAGAATTTGACAATGGTTATCTTTATAACACATCCTACATTTTTAAATCCCTATTCCAAAGTAGCCATTATTTGATAAAACTGAATCCATTGTTTATATAAATTTTTCAGAGAAAATGTTTTTGGAGGATCCTGCCCTTCAAGATGACTTGCCAGTTTCCTATTTGTCACACAAAGAGCTTTATGAGCACAGCTTGAAAAAGGCCTGCATCATTGGGGATAAGATCCGCAAGCTCCGTGCTGATGGCGAGGATGGAGTAGATACCTATAAGTAAGGGAACATAAACTTAAACAACCGTGGATATTGGATATTAAACTTTATATTTGAACAGTGCTCTGCTTGGTGGATCCTTGGGAGCTGCGATTTTAAAGGAGGGCAATCCTCTGACGCTGCACTACGTGATGTTTGTACCCACCATAATGGGTCAGGGAACGATGGACCAGCAGGTGGAATGGTTAAGCAAGGCTTGGGACTGTGAAATTATTGGCACATATGCCCAAACAGAGCTGGGACATGGAACATTCTTGCGTGGTCTTGAAACCCGGGCTGACTACGATGCCAGCACACAAGAGTTTGTGATAAACACACCATCACTCAGTGCCTACAAATGGTGGCCAGGAGGATGTGAGTTCTTTGTACTGTTGAAACTTTTTCAAGTGTAATAATCTTCCTTTTTTTTAGTGGGACACACTGCCAACCATGCTGTGGTGGTGGCTCAGCTCTACACCAAGGGCGAGTTCCGTGGCCTGGCTCCTTTTATTGTTCAGCTGAGGGATTCTGATACGCACCGTCCAATGCCCGGCATCGATATTGGAGATATTGGCACCAAGCTAGGCATGAAGGGTGTGAACAATGGCTATCTAGGACTGAAGAACGTTCGGGTGCCTTTGAACAACATGTTGATGAAGAACCAGCAGGTTCTACCTGATGGAACCTATGTGGCACCCAAGAACAGCGTGCTTACCTACGGAACCATGGTAAGTGCCGAACTCGTACTTATCCCTCAACGATGTTACCAATCCTTTTTTATAGATGTTTGTGCGTTGTGCTCTGATTCGTGACACCGCTCAGAGCCTGGCCAAGGCATCAACTATTGCCACGCGGTACTCAGCTGTCCGCCGGCAAAGTCCCATTGATCCAAACCAACCGGAGCCCCAAATCATGGATCACACCACACAGCAGCTTAAGGTGTTCCCCCAGATAGCAAAGGCTATCGTATTTAAGACTACGGGAGATGGCATTTGGAATATGTATAACGTGATATCTGGTGAGATCGAGCAGGGTAACCTGGATCGCCTACCCGAAATGCACGCTCTGTCCTGCTGCCTGAAGGCCATCTGTAGTGCTGATGCTACCGCCGGCGTGGAAACATGTCGTCTGTCTTGTGGTGGACATGGTTACATGGACTGCTCCAATTTCCCCACGATATACGGCATGACTACGGCTGTCTGCACGTATGAGGGTGAGAACACGGTTATGCTGCTGCAGACTGCTCGGTATCTGGTGAAGATTTATGGTCAGGCTTTGAACGGAGAGAAGCTGGTGCCAACGGTTTCCTACATCAGTGATGCAATAAGCCAAAAAAAATTCGTTAACTTTGATGGTTCATTGGAGTCTATTGTTAAGGCGTTCCAGTTCGTCGCCGCTAAGTAAGTGAAGTTAAGAAAACTAAAATAACAAAAACATTTATATCTAAATTCGCATTACAGCAAAACACGTATTGCCTATGAGCAGATTGAACTGCGACGAAAGCAAGGCTATGGTACCGAGGTGGCAGCTAATCTATGTGGCACCTTTTTGACAGCAGCTGCAGATGTATGTAAACATCATATGGTGTATACTTAGATTGTTTCATGTTTTTTTTTTTAATCTTATAGCTCCATGGACGGGCTTTCCTAGCCCAGTCTGCCTATACGGAACTGTTGGCCTTATCCCGAGAGGTCTCACCAGCCCTTGCCGAGGTCCTGAAGGTGGTGCTGGAGCTGTATCTAGTAGAAGCATGCCTCAACCGCATTGGCGACTTCTTGCGGGTAAGACCACCCCCAAAAAATCATTTTAGAATTTAAATAACTATTTCTCTTTTTACAGTTCATTGATTTGACCGATCAAGATGTCACGAAACTGGAGGTTCGCCTCGAGAGCTGCTTAAAGCGACTCCGTCCAAATGCTGTAAACCTGGTGGACAGCTTCGATCTGCACGATCGAGTGCTGGACTCCGCGTTAGGTGCCTATGATGGCAATGTGTACGAACACATCTTCGAGTCCACGAAGAAGAACCCGCTGAACAAAGAACCAGTAAATGAAGCATTCCACAAATATTTGAAGCCATTCATGAAGGCTCACCTCTAGATTCATTTTTATCAATCGGGAAGATCCCGAATACTGTTATTATTGTAAATATACCTATATGTTTGTATTGTTTTGTATTGTACAACTGTCTGCTTAGCAAGTGGTCTGAAAGACAAAATTAAAGTCGTGGCTTATGCAGTTGAAACTAGGCTGTAAAATTACACACAAATAAAATATTATTCAAATAAGTTTAAAGGCAGCTATTAGTGTGGATTGGGCTTAACTAAATCGCTTTATTTAAGTTTGTTTTCCGATGGATTTGCAAGATAGAGAGTAGCTCACTTATTGACTTCGTACAATAAAAAACGGACTTACGACGCACTTGGCTTTGAATTACGTTGTGCATAAAGGCGCCTAAGCAATCGGTTGCCGGCCAGGAATGTAAATACTGCGATGGGGATCAGCAGACGCAGTGTCTGGAACATATTGAGTTGCAGCCAAAAGACAAAGAACAGCACCAGGATGCCACCGAAGCCCAGGTGAAAACCGAGTGTACTGGGCGCCAGTGTTAGGTTGGATACATTGATTCCCAGCTTGCCCCAGAAAACGAAAAGCAAAACGAGCGGAGTTATGCACAGTCCGGTGAAAATGTCTGACACAATGCGAGGCGGGCGCTTATCGGGTACACGGAACTGATGAATAATTTCCGGCAGAGGACCAGAAGTGGTTTTGGGCTTGATTTCTGTAAGCAGAGTACGGAGCGTTAGTTTTGTATTTTGCTATTTTTTGTAAAATCTGGTAATATTACCCTTTTCCTCGCTGAATTTCAATTGGACTTCGGCCACTAGCCACTCAAAGGAGTTGGACAGAGAGGCATCGCCCACGGTTAGGTAAATGCTGTAGGTGCCGCTCTGGTAGTTGAAATTCTTTCCATTGTTGCCCACATCCATGTCAAACTTGTAAGCCTTGTTGCTATCCTGCTCGGCCACAAATATGATCTCCTTGTCTGTTTTCTTGTTGTACAGACGGACGAATGCCTGATGGACAGTCAATGGCTTGCCGCTGGATTCCTCCACCAGGACGGCCTTAAGCAGCAACTTCTGAGTGTTGTCAGCAGAGAGAACTTCCTGCAGTTTGCCTGGATAGGCCACACTCTGCTTGCGAGTGGCAGAACTGGCATCAGATTCAGCAATGCCTACCTCTAAGGATTTAACCTTGACACGGCCGAGTACCTTGAACTGCAGGGTTTGAGTGTACACGCCATCGGCACTCAACTCTGCCTGATAGATGCCGCGGGCTGGTTTCAAGCTTGCCAAATCAGCAACATATGTGGTCTTGTCGGAGGATTTCGAGACTACAGCGATTTTCTCAGCCAGCACAGAGCTGTCCTTGTGGGTCACCTTGGCATTGATGGTTTTGGGGGCAGGAGACAATGGCTTGCCGAGAAGATCAACAACAGCCACATTTAGAGTGGGTGACTGGGCTTCCAGCTGCCCGTTGCCAATGAGCTGCACGCAAACGGGTGCAATCTTATCGGCTCCACTAATGGTCTTTAGCGCTTCGATCAATACATGAGCTCCCTTAGCTGTTTGGACGGATCGGCGGCTGAGGAAGTAGTTGGCGAACTTGACAGCCTGTTCAGCAGTAATGGGCAAGGGCTTGTTAAAGGTCTTGCTGACACCAAAAGCACCATTGATGATCAGGGAAGTGATGCTAAGGCCGCCTTCAAATTGCAGAAGCTTGCCGTCAACTTCATCCGCTTGCACGATGGCATCCTCCACGCGGTTGGCGATAAAGGAGGCACTGGCACCAAGTAGTGGAGCAACGTTAAAGGCGTAGCCTAGACCGCTCAGTGTGTCGTCCTTTTTGAGCAGTTCTTGCAGGCGCTTCACTAGTTTTCCCTGAGTGACTTCATTGATTTCCACGCCGAGAACTTTGTGTGTGACAACGCGGTAGAAGATCTCCTGGGAGGTGCCCAGTTCCGAATTCAGGGAACCATACACTTTGGAGAGCAGACCCTCGTCAATTTTCGCGGAGCAACCCAGGTTCCTGCTTGCACCAATGTAGTAGTAGTCCTTTTCAAAACTCTACGAAACGTAAAGGAAGCATAAGAAGAGGTACCGACATGTGGGCGTATATAGAAGAACTCACGTTCAGCTTGGATTCCGCGTGAAGAGCGGCAATCTTCTTGCACAGCGGCTCCTTTTGCGTGGCGTCTGTCAATTGAATGTTTAGGCTGGAGAAGAAGATGGACTGCAGGTCACTTGAGCCGAATCCGTCAACGAACACTTTTTGCAGGCGGCTGAGATCTTTTTGTCCCAGGTGGCTGTCTACGGTGCGGGCACTCCACGTCGGCCCACAGGCGACCATCACGAAGAGAAGAATCAGACCTGGGAGTAAATAGAAAATACCATTTAGTTCTAAGTCGCCGGCAATCTCTTAACCAAGAAAATCAGACAGAGACAGCGAGAGAGCGACTGCTTTGTAGCCGGCGTTTCCTCTGAAAGTGGCTTAAAACCTAAGGTTTCTTGCCGAAAGAATAACCAGCTTACGCACCTAACTTTAACATTTTCCTATTTTACGGTTGCGCTTTAACACGCCGCTTATATTCTATAGGAAAATAAAATAAATAGCTCAAAAAGCACCGCCTGTCCCTCGATATTTTATACACGTCAGCGACCGAGCAGACTTTCGATATTTTTCTAGTTAAACAAACATCGATTGCTGAACGGAAAATTATCGATGTTATTTGCTAGTGTTGTCGCACGCTAGCTATAACAGAGCACTGTTAGTTGAACCGTTAAAACGTTCATAGTAAAATAAGCATTAAAATAATACAATTTTAAACAAGCTTACAAAGTGTAGTGTAGAGTATAAATGCTTGAAAATGGTAATTACACTCAATCTTTATTAATCATAAATAATATTTTAAAACACGCATTAAAAGTGAAAGATTTAAGTGCAATAATTTTTTGTGGAGCGCCTAATATAAAAAGCCATAATTTTGGGGCATTCATTTACACTGCTCTCTCTAAAGAGCAAACTTTTCAGTACACTCATTAATAGGTCTGGTAATAGAATATTTTCTCTTAAAAGTCTTGGTGACATCCCCATCATGATTCCATAAGGTAACGGCAGCGGTACAGTACAGTGGATACTTGTTAATCAGAACTTCTTCAGTTTCCTCATTCTTTGGAGGCACATCCTTGCAGAATTGGTCATAATACTCTGTGCGGTCCTCACCCAAGTCCACTTTAATTGAAGCTTGTCGATTGTATTCCGCAAAGAGCTCCTGCCATAGAAACTGCTCCATTCGATTTTCCCTAGTGGCTAGAGAACCATAACAGTTAGTAACAAAAAATATCTATCATCATTCTAAATTTAGCTTACGGAGCACTTTCTTAATTTTGGGTGCAGCGAAGCTGACTTGAGACTCTGTAAGTTCCGTAGAACATGGCCCAAATGGGAGTACAGCATTATTGCCACGATCAACCATTTCAAAATTAGACTTAAAATATTTTTGTACGATCTTAAAACTGAGGTAAATAATTTATTCGTTTTTCAGTGACAGACTGAAGACTTACAAAGCTACTTCGATATAACAAACTAAAATGGATATTGCTAAGCAACACCTTGTTCCTCTGGCTCCGCCGGACTATCGTCCTCCACTATGAGTGCTACTTCTTTAGGTCGGAGAATACAGTAGTAAACGATTAAGGTGGCCAGAAAGAGGATTCCGCTGTACACAATCCACTCCCAGATAAAGCCAAACCACCAGGACTCGTAGTCCTCGTTAGCGTACCAAATCGAGGATATTGTAATATTCTCGAGCAGAGTGAGCACCAGGTAACCACCATACCACAATCGAATGCTCTTGAAGCACACCCGAAATTCCATTAACACAAATATGTAAATATAAGCGAGGAGCAAGAGGAACAGCTTCCGGCTCCAGCTACCTCGACAACGAGTTTCCAACGCCAGACAACACAACATCAGGCCATAATGTACTCCAACCAGGATAAAGAATGCTTTCGGATAAAAGACGCAGAAGGTGGACAAGGCTAGCATCCTCATGGTAATGAAGGCAATCCAACCGAAGAACGACACCGTTCTGCCCGCAAAATCATCCTGCAGTATACCGTTCACTATTTTTGTGGGCCGTGGAAAATAAAAGTCCACCACGTCCTTGGGCGTCAATGGAGATGGTTTGGGTGACTGTGGAATCAGTGTACTACGCTCTTCGGGATCCTCATCTTTCAACCTGCTGATCAGTAATTTAGGTGGATGTGGGACATTCTCTTTTATATAGAGCTGAGCATTAACCAGCAACATATCCTTGAAGGTTTCCAACTGGGATAGAGGTCTTGTTACTCGACGGCTCTTTCTATGCTCAGTATCCGACATGGTACGTCGCAAATCAGGAGTCGGTGGATCCTCTTCGGTGGGTTTAAGAATAGGTAACTCTGGCGGCGCGGTTTTTGGAGGAGGAGGTGGTGCTGGTGTCTCGGGAATGCTGTCCAATACTTCGATGGTGTTCACATCTCCCAGATCCTCGTATCGTACTTTTAATTTAGGCCTTGTTCCTTGTATCTTCTCCTCATCCGTGGCATTATCCCTCGGAGAGTGCAGCAATGCTTGAGTTTCTAGCTGCTCCAAAGCATCATTGTCCACCTCATCTTCTCCTTGAAAGTGCAACTCATGTGTGGCTTCGCCAGAATTAAGCAATGATTTTCGGGCTCTAAAGTTCTCCATTATCTTGTCTGATTCCGGAAAACTGGTGATGGTGCGCTCCGATTCACGCTTCTTTCGTTCAACTTCGCAGCAGAGGCGTTCATTCTGCTCTAGCTGACAACGATGAGCGTCCACCTGTTTGGACGTGGCCCAAGGGTAATGGCGACCCACCCTCCGCTGACTTTCAATCCTGTGGTAGCTAGTGGTGATGGCAGCCAGGTCAATGGCGGAAAACACTAGGGATAACGCCTGGACAGCAGCTGCAAAACACAGATTATAGTGGTGTAATTTTAGGACCAAGTTTAGGATAAATCTTACATGTCTCATAGTTCCGAAACATATCCTGGGCGAGCATGTAGTACAACTGCAGGATAATTTGTGGAGCAGCCTGTGCATAAGATTGGATCAACAGATACAATTCAATGCTGGAGGTTTCCGTGGCCTTGGTCAAACACATCATACGCTCCACATCGTCGTCGTCGTGAAAGAGTCCATCGATGGCCCAAAACAAACGCGTACAAAACCTTATCGGTTAGAGTTAATAAACCTGACAGTGACCCACATTTCGACCAAACGACTCACCTGTAAATCACAAAGAATGGGAACAGGAAAAGCTTAAGCAATCCAATGCCAAGGGCAGTGCATTTGTTCCGCTCTGAGCAAGCGCAATCTCGCTGCTCCTTAGATACCGCCACTAAGAGGAAGGTGACCAATGGGGGGAGAATCACCAGGACCAGGGTGCCAGCTCCGTAGCCCGGCTCTTTTTGGCTGAAGAACTGGATACTTAATGCCACATCCGAGGAGGTTTGGACAATGTAAACTAAGACTCCCAGACAAGTGGGCACTATATAGGAAACCCAAATACGCGTGCGACTACGGATTGTGTAACCGAGTATATGAGGCGGAGGACTGGCGGCATGGACTTCCGTGTCTGCCATGGTTCTACTTCCTACGGGAGTTTCCCCTTTAGATTCAGTTTTTATAAAAGCGTTCTTTACATCTGCAACTTGCGAAATCCACGATGATACTGACCCACTATGAGTAACCACTCTCTTTTAACCACTATCAACTGAACGGCAAGATAAGATTAAATTCAGCCAAACATTTTCGAGGTGAGAAGTCAACTATTTGTTTACGTTTTTCCGTCATGAATGAGAGAGATACTATTCTAGGGAGTGTCATATAATTATTCTTAAATATAACTTCATTAAAAATTAAAACACTATTAAAAAAGAAGAAGCTTGACTAGGCAATGGTTTTTACTTGCAAAACTAAAATTTGCTTTAAGTTGATTTTTATTCTTTTACAATAGACAGATTTAAAATAGAACAATAAATTTTAGGTGCCATTGCGTTGGATCTAGGAGTCGTACCAAGTCTTCTTCATCCAGTTGGAAGGCTTGCAGGGCTCATCGAGCACCACGAATGCTCCGGGTTGCGTCTGATTTCCGGCTGGCTGTTTGGCCCGACGACATCCCACGGCGTATTTGGGATTTCCCTCGATGATCGATGAGTTCTCGCGACAGCTGGCTGCGTTCTGGAGGACAGATGCTCGCCGGCCGTATCTGGCTGGCTTTTTGGCCGCATTGCCACCCACATCGTCGAACCTGGTGGCCATTGGCTGCTCTGGCTCTTTGGCCTGCCGCTGACGAGAGGTCCTCCGTTTGTGAGGAATCTGCATTTGCGGCTGTCTGGCCTCCAATGAGGAATCGGAGCTCTTGCGTATATTTCCTGGGACCCCAGTTGGCACTCCTTCCAGATCCCTGGGACGCTCCCTCAATTGATAGTTGTACTGAGCCCGGCGATATTCCGGTGTGGCTGTTACCTCTGATGGAGGAACTGTTACCAGGGCAGGAGTTTCCAGAACCTCATCCGGCTGATGATGGACAGAGGGGTCGTGGTTGACACCCGAGGTGGGCAGCCGGAAGCATGATGTGGGCTTTTGGACCACAGGTCGGGAACGCGGAAAATCCTGATAGTTATTCCTGTACTCCGGATTAAACTCAATCTTTCCGCGAAGGCGGAGGAAAGGCTCCCGGGGTTTTCCTCGCTCCGGCATTTCGGTGATGTGGGGGTCTCGGAAGCTCTCGTGGTATTCGGGAATCTCTTTGGTAAACTCCCCGCGCGGACGCAGGTGATCGTCCGTCTTAAGGGACTTCTCTTTGGCCACATGCTTTGGTGGGTCGATGAATTTGTCGCGGTACTCCGGCACCTCGGCATTAGGAGCACAGGTTGCCTCCGAGCCGGATACGCGCAGGTTGTCATCCTTCTTGATGGGGGCGCTCTTTGAGTAGTTGGCATACATCCGGAAACTGTCTCTGTACTCCGGTACGGCTACAAATTCACCCTGGATCTTAATGCTGCTCATCTGGGGGATGGAGTGTGCCTTTTCGGGAAACTGCTGCACAAATTGACGGCGGTATTCGGAGGGTTCCGGAACTTGGCCCTCTTGCTCCCGGTCCACAGCCTGAGCCCTCATCTGCAGGTGGCAGCGTTGCTGCTCCTGGGCAGCCACATCCCGTCTGAACTTATCTGCGGCCACCTTGCTATTGGGTTGATTCCTAGCCGCCAACTCCGACTCATCGAGGAACACCTCGCGTGGCAGTATCTTGGTGCTGGGATCCAGCATGAGGTACGAGGAATTCTTCATGCCATCGGTGGCACTGCTTCCCTCTCCTAACTGCAGGTTCTCCGGATTACGAACGGGAAATGTGCGGGAGCTGTGGAGGGGAAATCGATGTATTTTTGATTAGTCCTTATTCAATTACCGTTTCTATTACTCAGCAAATTGCTGCTGAGATTAAAGGTTATTGATTTCCTACTTTTACTTTCAATAATTTGTGACCTAATCCATGAACCCTCCATACACCCGGCAAAGGGTCTAGTCTGCTTTAAGGGTAAGGATATACTGAACCAATACCTTGTTCTTGGACTTTATATTATTTGCATTTTGGTGTCTGCATTCTCAATAAATATTTAATTTTTAATTTGTTATATTACTATTAAGTAATTATTTACTCACAATCGCAGGTCCTCGGGCGTGTACCAGTGGTATTTCTCCTGGTGCTCCGACAGTAGCTGCATGAATCCCTCCAATCGCAGCGATGTGGCGCGCCGCAGCAAGGATCTGGGACGGGATTGGTTGCCGTGGCCACGGAAGTGCTTACGGTACTCAGACTTCAGGGAGCCGAAGCTGGGCACTGGCTCATCGCCGCTGTAAAGGCACACGTTGCTCTGGGTATGAAGGTGGACAGGTTGGCGGCGGCGGAAGTACTTGAGGTCATCGACGGCTATGTACTCGTGCGGATGCTTGATGGCAAACCGACTGAGATCACCCTGCTTCTGGTTGGCTGTAAGATCCGGCTCGGAGAAGGATCGATTCCAGCCAAAGTCGGCATCAAAGCTGCAGGATAATAAAAATCTGTTTAGGATCGCTTAAACGTATAAGGAACATCCGATTCGTCTTGTCTTTGGCAGTCAACTGAGCGTATAAGTTACGGGTATCGCTGGTGGTCGCCACCACAACCAAATAACAGGTAGGTTCCTTAATAACGGGGGCAGCAAATTTTTCCATCTCCCTCCGTTCCCTTGCAATTGCAATGGAAAAGTCTGGTCTTGGCGGTATGGAGGTGGAGACGCCTTCAGGCTGCACCCGGTCTTGAAAAGGCTGCCAGTAAAGGCATTCCTCCACATCCACCTCCAATTCCATTTCTAGCCCATGGCGTGCTACTGCCATGTTGCTAGGCACACTCACAAACCTCTGTAAACAAACTAATGAATAGGAAAAGGGATAAAATTGCTGCAAATTAGAAAATTGTCTATTGGATTCGACGGGAGCAGACGGTGATCCAATACAGGGTCGATTCAGGGGTAATTTAATTCATTACAGGCCCTAATAACGGGGGCTCTCTAAATGATTTGTTATGGATTGGAAAAGTGGTTCTTAAAAAGGTTTAATTTAAATTGGTATTTTGTTTTTTTTGGTCAATTAAATTGATTTTCAAATGATTTTTAAACTTCAGACCAATTTTTCTGTAAACATTTTTAAAATATTTTTTTTGAAGTTTTTTCTCAAAACTGCTCCTGCTCATATGTGATACCTTCCTCACTCCAATCAATGCCAATCAATAGCTCATGAAATTCCCGACTTTTGTTAGTCCTGACAACGCCCCGACTGAGGTCCTTGGTAGTCCATATCCGGAAATGAGTTTTTTGTTGAGGCATTGCCAAGGACTCGTCGCCCAGCGAGCGAGCCATTAAAAATGCACAAGGATTGCCAGTCAAAGGTGAACCTGGGCGCATGCAAATTGCACTTTTTTTATGGCTCATGAGACCGGGCTAAATGTGACCACAAACACCTGTTGCCGGCTTACCTGTTCGGCACTCACATCGGAATTTAAAGTTTTCACCATGTGTAAAAGTTCTAACGTGTGGGAAATTGTGCCAGCCTAATGGTTATAATTGATGGCTGTCAAAATGTTGTATTATGTGTACGTAATCCAAAAATTTCTTTGCATGATGCGGGGGAGTGTGCGTGATTCAGTAGCTGATTTAGAAACGGAAACAGACAGGAACATAAAAGGTCTGCACGTAACTAGGCCTCAAAAGTCTGACCCAATTTTCCGTGCCAGCTTTCGCTCTATAGAGCAGTCAAGCACTCAAGTCTTCGTAATGAAAGTCCAACGAACGACTAATCTTGACAATGCCAAATGACCTTTGGCTATTTTTAAGAACGTAGCCAGCGTAACGCAACCCATTTAAATATGCTAATCAGCTTGGCCACTCCGATACCTAGACACACATAATTACAGTTGCAGATTTATGACGATTTAATTGCTGTTACACGGCCTAGTCACGCCACAGGGCGTATACGTAATGCAATAAACAAGAATGCACCATTATGTTAACAGCAATAAAAAAAGAACCTAGACAAGGTCAGCCGCTACCGGGATTTCGATTAGGTCTAACATCACTCACTTTAAATCAGTTTAAAAACAAACAGGTCATTTTCTAGGCTAACTTTCTAGGTGGAAAGTGGCTGAAAGGAATGAGGAGCTTTACTATTTTAGCCAGTTTGGAATTTTATTAGGTCATTTAAAGGTGCTTTAAGGTGAACAAAACCTTCTTAAACTGAAGAATATATTATATTACTTTAAAAGTCTATTCCCATAGTTTATATCAACCAAAAAATTGGGTCAGCATAGTTCCTGGTAAAATATAGGATAAGGACTGAATACGAATAAAACCACTTTAGCTGCAAGTAAATAAGGTCAGTTTTATACTATCGTTTTAAAAATTGAACAAAAGTGCTTTAACTATTGGCTAATAGGGTCATTTAACTGGAATAGTGGGAAACTAGAATAAATCCTTACACATCGTTGGTCTTCCAGTCGTAGGCAATCGCCATAGTTGGTTTCTTGTATTTGGGGGCTGCACTTTAATTAAACATTTAATGAGTCTGCACTTTGCGGGAAAAACTTAGGGCACTCATGTTGGGCACACCCTTGGCCAGTGGCTGACCACTATCCCAGCTCCATCGTACCCTCCGAACCGCAAATGACGCCATTCAAGCGCAGCTCGCCGCACCACAACTTGACCGTTCAGATCGTAAATCCCAACTGAATGGTGGCAATGTGCGCCACCAAGAAGTTAGCCAGTTTTCGCACGCCAACTTTCCGACTTTTCCACCTAGCCACCTTGCCTCCCTTCGCCGCAACTCCTTTGCGCTTTTGCTTTTCCAACATTTTCCCACGACGGCGACTGACTTCAGGTGTCACTGGGGGTATTACAACAATGGAGGTCTAAAAGCGGAGATTTCATTTTTTGGGCTGAACTTTAAGTGCTGCTACATGCAATCGCGTAGTTTATGGCCTACTACTCCACCTTTTTTCCTTTAGAAATCAAAAGTTTGCCAGCTGCAGTTGATTTGAATATGAAATGGTGTTTTGAATCCGATTTTTGGCCACCCGCTGCAGCTGTCAGAGTTGAGTTCTTTAACCCAGTTCTCGGCGTTTTGACGCCTCGCTAATGAAACCATGCTTATGAGGCTCCAACGAGCACATTTGCCTGATTTACTCGCCTCTTAACGATTTCATTTCGCGACGCGGTCTACATCATGATAATAATTTCCTTTTCGCCTGGCACGCAACTCCGGAGTACATGGCTTTCAATTGTCATGAGCAGCGGTGGCTTCCGGGCTGCGGATGCGGGTCAAGGCCAAATCAATTCGCCTGCGGCGTCGGAAATGCTGCCTGACAGAGTGTTGTTGGAAACGGATTGAGTTGGATTGGCGTCTACTTTATTGCGTCTATAGCTATGTTATGTTAACTAATGTGTGCACTTTGTGTGTGTGTGTGGGTGGGTGAAGGCGATTAGACCTTAGAAAGGCCCTCCCACCGATCCGGAACTGTGAGGAAATAGCGATCCATTGCGTCGATAAAGCGTTGCTTATAGCGCTCTGGATTGACCACAGTGGGATCCTTGCCCTTGCCGCCCAAGATGCCTGATCCCTTAATAATGGATTCTACTCTTTTGTCCAGGGTGAATGTGCGGATGTAATCTATAATATAGAAACATTAAGATATGGGAGGAAACAGTTAACTTCTTCTTAAGACTTACCTATGATTCCCAACACCAGGACATTGTTTTTCTTGTCCAAGCCGACCAACAAAGAGTAATCCATGACAAGATTTCTCTCCAGAAAAGAGGAATCCCGCTGGATGGCATCCCTAAGAATTGTTTTACTGTGAGACAGCACATACAAAGGCTTTGACCAGGACACTGTAAAAAATAATATAATGTTAGAAAGTTATAAACATTAGTTAAGAAAAATAACGTACTTTGTACCAGATTTTCATCTAGCAGGACAATTTCGCCTTGCTGGTTGCTGGGATCCACCAAGCGGTTTCTCTCCGAGCCCTTAAGATCAAATTTATTTTCAATTTCGCAGCCGTAAAACAGGTTCTCCATGACCATTACCGAACGCTCCACAGAAGAACTGAAGTTTTTAAAATAATTTTAGATCAGTAATATAATTACGGAAAATAATTATCAAAACCTACTCCTTTTTCTTCACGCTGACTTTGAAGACGCCAAAGATCTTGGCCAGCAATGTTGGCAGTTGCTGCTGCTGGCACCTGTCAATGTACTCAAAATATTTCGGAGCAAATGGCTCAAAGATGGTCATGTCTTTTGAGTTCATTTCCTTGAGCACAAATCGATCGTCTGGTAATATTTAAAGTTCATAAATATTGGAATTTCTTTAATTATATTTATAAGGAGACTTACCAAGCGTTTTGCAAAAGCGGGATCCTGATTTACCGCCTCTGGCCTCCCATTGAATACTTTTGCAAAGACTTCGCGCTAAGGCGATTCTGGCGTCCTCTTCCAGATTGGAATCCTCTTCAATATTTCGAGGACCTCCAACGTCGCTGGGTTTGCGCACCAGCTCCATTTCGGATCCAGTACGACTCTGTGAGATTCTAAGCTCCTCGCGCATCTTACTCTTCTCCAACCGGCGGTATAGAGATTTGTCCTGCTTCGGAGGCTTTAAGCTTTTTGACCGCATTGCATCAAATTCCCGGGCGAAGTATATCTTACACTGGAAGTGGCAGCTGTGGTCCTGGAACGCAAGTGTGATATGAGGACTCGGTGGTTGCTTTGTGCGCTCCTTGGCCTTCTCCTCAGACTCGGATGCCGCGGCTACTGGGGGAGGAACTGTCACACTGGGAGCGGCACTGGTATTGCTTGAAGTGCGCGAAAGGCTGGGACTGTCTTCGGCATCGCTAGTGCTCTCCGCCAATGGTATCTTTCGCTTTAACTGCGGACTTGAATGAGCAGCAGAGGCAGAGGCCGTATTAATGTTGGCCTCCGCCTCATCAATCGCTTTTTGATAATCCGCAGAGGTCAAACTATAAGCAATTACTGAACTTAAATCAGTTTCTCTTACGTGAATGGGAATACTGCCCATCGGAAGCGTCAGATGATCCTGCGCGGGAAAAGGTGACTGTAACGGGTTAACTTGGTTTGCCGAGGGCAGCAGCTGGGTAAGAATCTTCCTTATGGACTTCTTATCCGAGTAAACGTTTACCGTAGAGGCTAGTAACTGGTCAATAGAGAATTTCTTCTCCAATACTGTTTGACTTGTCGATGTATTAACTTCTGTATCCTCGCTTGGACACTCCAAGGGATCACTATCTTTTGGCAAATTGGAACTAGTAGCTTTTAAGGAATCAACAGGCTGAACCTGTTCCGGCCTTAATTCCTCTGTGCAGATGGTTCCAGAGTCAATGTGATGGGCTTGCTTCGCGGTCAACTTCTCAATCTCTTGCAAGCGAGGACCCCACAACTCAATGCTTTCTGCCAGAGCTCTTCTCGCCATGGCCAGGGCATCACCGGTGTCAAAAGCAGTTGCTCTGCTGTCTGTGAGCAGCGTGTGTACGATTTCAATCTTTTGCTTAAAGATAAATTGGTCGTTAGTGAGCATGGTTTTCAGTTGCTGCACCAGTGGCGAGTTCTCCTCCTCGGTGGCAAGGTCAGCAATACGCTCATGAATTCTGTTGTACACCTCATGACCCCGCACCGAGAAGTTCTTGATCTCCTCCTGGGCTTGGGAGCTTGGAAACGGTGGTGGCAGATCCAGTTGTAAAGTCAATGATGGAAGATCCGTTTCCCAAACCTCAACAGGCGTATACTGGAACTTGGCACCCACTCCCCGGAAACTGAAGTGGTGTACATAATCCCGATGTAAAGAGTGCTCGCATGGACTGGCATTCTGTTCTGCGTCCGCCGGAGGAGTTCGCCGCTTGTAGGCATGGCCATGGAATCGCATCTCCAGGTACTTGGCCAACGAAAGGCACTTAGCGGAATCGGCGAGTGGAATCGTGGGTGTCGTAGCATTACATATACTGCACCATGAGGTGAAGTATATACGCTTCGGGTCGGAACGTGTTAAGTCCTCAGTCAAGTAGACATGGACACATCCCAGCGAGTGGACATAACGACGTACATGACCCAGCATTGGTAGATTACAGGACGGACACATCGAGTTAAAAAGGCAGCAGTAACGCTGAAGAAACTGTTCCAGCATGATGTCATATTGGCCGTAAAACTTCATGTCCAGCATCATGGGTAACTTGCAGAAAGACGAAACGCCCTTGGGATTGTAGTGGAAGCTGCAGAAGAGCACCGGTAGGCGCTGATGGTTTTGGGGATCCAGGGCATCCTTATACAGCTGTTCCTCACTGACCTTTTGCGGTCGCTGAATGACTTCCGCGTTCTTTTTCTTTGGCCTGAGCACTGTGGGATAAATGAGTGGCAATGATAAGGATTTATAGATGGATAGAATGTGTTGCTTACTAGGACCTTTGACCTTGGGTAAGCGACCGCCAAAAGAGCGGAATTCAGCCAACTTTGATTGAATATCGCGACTGCTAGCAGGTGCCGTCATCTTCATCTGCACAAAATCATGAGCTGGAAGTAACTGCATTTGCTGGTTCTCTTTGTTTCCTGGCTCCGATTTGGTAGATTCGCTGTCTCCCATGCTATCTGGCCTCTCCAATCCCGTACGTGACCATTGCTTGGAGAAGTACAGCTCGGCGGGAAAGAGCTTGCGCAGCTTGCATTTCCTTCCCTGCTCAGTTTCCAAATAAGGAAGTGGGAATGTCAAGAAGGGACTGACAGAGAGCAGCGTGGAACTTAGTGCTGTGCGGAATCTGTTGTCGTATCGCGGTTCCACAGCAAGTGCCACAACCACGGGAGGAGCACAAGGCGAGGTGGATAGGGCTTCGGTTTGTGTCGCACGCAATGGATCCGTAAAATCAGACACATTCTCGCTGATAATCGTGGTGATTTTATCCTCAGATTTGCGTTCCACAATAACTGGTCGCTTAGCCCGAAGCTCTGCCTCCGTTTCCGTTTTAGGGCTCGTTTCCTTGGAGTCGAATATCGAAGGCTTTGGACTAAGCGGTTGGGCGAACTCGTTCAGCAGGAAAGACATCTCCAAGCGCCAATTATAACGAGCAAAAAGTAGTGCCGATGCCACTCTCTTGACCCTGGTGAGTTCTGCATTGCTGCCTCCCCTTAGGAGACATGTGTATCCGCGTGGATTGGTTAGCTTCTCAAAGAACATCAGAGTTTTTCCATTATAGTTTTTTATGTAAAAATCATTACACTGGCCAAGTTTGGGCATGGTTATATTCGACTCAATAGAACTGACAATGTCGCACTGTAAAGTACGTGACAGACGCTCCATCACTGAAAGTTTCACATCCAAGACTAGGGTTACTCCATAGGATCTCAGAAGATCTTGGGCAATGCCTGCCACATTTTTATGAACAAGCACAATGTTGGGCGTGAAGCTCATGATGCGAGCACAGACGTTGCGGAGGTACTCTTTCTCCTGCAACAAAACTGTCTCGATTGTCACAAACTTGCCCTCTATACGCTCATAAACAATGGGGCACTGTAGCAAGAGGATACGGGGAAAGGGCACATGAGTGGCCATATCTTTGTGTGCGACATTCTTTGAGAAAGCCACTCCATGCACAATTTTAGAGTCCTTGCGTCTGCCACCCGGCACCTTTTTAAAGTTCACATAGTTGCGGATATCCATTAGATCATTACTGCAGTGCTCCGGCTTGAAGTGGTTTGCTGCCGTGGAACAAAGCATCTGGAGTACCTTGTCCCATTCCTGGTCTAAGTTATTGGCGCTCAACATTTGTGCCAGCAGCTGCTCTTCGTGCTCGCAGTAGGATGCCAGAAGTTTAGAAGTGGCTGTGGTAAAGCAGCGATCATTTTCAAGTTCGTTTTCTAGCTCCTTTTCCTTCTCTTCTGCTGATTGATCCATCGACTTGGGCGGCTGTGGTTCTGCATGAGGAGCTGCTTCAAACTGGGGGCTCATTGTGCGGGACGTATCGGAACTGGTGCTCTTTGAAAATTTGTAGTGTAGCGTTGGGTCGAACTCCATCTGCTCGGGATCGGGTACGATTGGTTCAAGGAAACCAGCAGCCAGCATTGCATTCAGAATGGCTACCGCCTGCACCTCGTTTGCTGATTTATTATTGCTGTTAAGGAATTCGATCAAACTCTGACCACAGTTCTGAGCAGGGAGCTCCCGCTGCATTTCCTCGTGCAGGGTGATCAAAGAGTTTGACTGCTGCAGAATGTTCTTGCGATCGTCTATGGAAAGGGTGGTATAAGTTGGATGTGAGCTGAATCTCTCCTCCTGGTATCCAACAGATGTCTTTCGCGAAAGTGGTGGTCTCTGCAGCTGGGGATTCTGTGCATGCGGTGTGCCACTGTCTTGGACCTCAAGTTTGTTGCTCAAGTGCTGTTGCAGTGCTTGCAGGTCCTGTCCCATATCAGAGCTGGAGGACTTCAGGAAAGTGAGCACTATCTTTGAGCAGTAATTGCACACCTTGAGATCGCCATCACAGCGGATGATCATGCCTGGAACCACCTGATTGCAGCACTTGGAACAGAATATCTGGCCGCACAGCCTGCAGTGGTGTTTTCTACGGAACGTGGAAAACTTCTGGGAGCAGTCGTAGCATTCCTTGGCCTTCGAATCGGGCATCCAAAAGCGCTGCAGCTCTGTGTCCTTATAGTTACGCAGATCCTGAAATAAATTAATGAATTAAAATATTTTTATTAATAATATCATGCACTCTTCCAAAAATAATTAAATTAATGGAAAAGATAAAACAATTTTTGGACTTTTTTAAAATATATTTCGAAAGCTATTTTAAGCCACTTTGAATATGGAATTCGTAAATAGAAACATTTGATAATAGGATTGTGGGCCGTGTTGTGAATCATTGTTTAGGTTTTTTTGCTTGAAAGCGATAATGGGTTATAAATTGTACTCACATTATTGTTTTTTGTTGCCACAATATTGCTGATATGCTTTAGCACGTTAGAAACTGTGCGCCCCTGATTCGCTTCGCTGATTGGCACTGGCAGCGCCTCGACACGTTCACTGGCCTCGGAATCCTCGGCGGCTGTGTTGCTGGAAGTGCCTGTGCTTTGCGACTCACTATTGGTCCTTAGGCTGAGAGTGGTGGGTGGCTGTGGACGACCCGAGCTCACGCTAGAGGTTTCCACATCGGTACCGACCTCAACGTTCGGTGTCTGGTTTTCACTGAAAAACTGTGACTTTCCCACCACTTGAACGGTCTGCGAGGAGGCATTGCTGCTGCTCCCGCTGGATATATCATTGACGGTATTGTAGCTCTGGTTGTACACATTCTGGATCTTGTTTACAACTCGTCCGAAGAGCGACTCCGGCTTGTCTTCGAAGTTACGAGCAAATTCGGTTAACTTAGATGGAGAGTGCAGGTGCTGATGATTTAAGCTGTTGCTTTGATTGTTGCTAGTCATGTTGTCGGGGTGTTAGAAGTTGAGCCTGAGGCGCCAACAGGCTGGTGGGCGAGGCGGTGGCGCTCGCCTGTGGACTCGCCGTCCTTGGTTAGATAGAGGTGATGTTGAGCTGATCGATGAGGGCTGCGTCCGGTGCCAGGGAACCCAGCGCCAAATCAGTCCACTTTTGCTCCTATCGGAAGCCATACCATATAAACAAAAATAGACCATATAAGCCCAAGGATTTCTTACCTGCTCGCTGACCGTCAGGTGTGAATCACCGCCGTCTGCCTCTGGATCAGGTAGCTTTTCGCGTGGCACTAGAATCTGGTCGAAAGGCAGAACTTCCATGCGCCAAGCATTGTCTACAATGTCCAGCAGCAGATCATCGATCGGTGCCTGTGGCAAGATATAAAACACAGGGTATAATCTTGGCAAAACCAGTGAATCAAGACAACGCCCCCGCAGCGCAATTACGTCACTCTGCGGTAGTGCCCGAAATACTGGAGACGCGGTATTGCTAGCGTATTTAGATTTATCACAATGGGCGCCTTGATAAGTACGACTAATTGCTGTGAAGCGATAATTTTGCCACAGCCACAGGCTACGTAGTAGTACTTACTATCTTTCGGCCGGTCATTCAACGACTTGCTAGTGCGCGTGGGCAATGAATTTGAACTTACCTGGCTATCCATAACTTATGGAACAGTTTAATCTAAGATTGAGCAGCCCTCAACTGCTTGCCGATTGTTTGTTTAGCCTCTTTTCGAGTGATTTTGTAAACAATTAGCAAACAATTGTGTTTTGTTAAAAAAACAGCTGTTCGGGGATGGACTTCGTGCGATATATGTTATCGATAATATCGGTATGCATTTTCTAGCTGTCTATCAAAAAGCAATCGTTTTTATCGCCTTTTGAATTATTGTTTGTTTTTTAAACAAATAAATAGCTGAAAAGTCAACAAAAGATCAAAACAACTAATTTGTACTTAAAGATGCAGTATTTATTGACAATTAGCGTAATTGGGAGAAGATTTCATAATTCAGGGAAATAAATTTGTAGATATTTTGCAGTAATGTTCGTTATCGAATTAGTAATTTCGTTCCTGATTTAAAGTCGACAGATCCATAAGTAAGCTTTTATTTTAAATAAGCATGCTAATTTGAAAAATAAGTTTTTTCCAACATACTAGTATCCTGATTAGGCTGCTCAACCGATCGTATCTGAAATAAATTGGATTTTTTATGTTATACATTTTTGTTTATTTTTTGTGTTTTATCCATGATATTTGTCTTGGACCTACATCTGCAATGAATTAAATTGTAATGATTAAAGGATTTCAAAATTGGCATAAAACTATAGCACTTATACGACTATATGTAAATATACATAAATATTACAGTCCAATATATTTATACATTTTTAAAAACAACCAAAGTTTTCCAGCTCAGATATTCGATCTTGTTGACTGTTCCATTGAACAACTGACTAGATGCAGCATAGCGCTCTTTAAAATCGCTTTTCAACGTCAGCTATGCCGACATCTTGCCAATTTACCAATAGATTTTTGGGGTATACGATCGATCTGACATAACTCGAAAAACCAAGTTCGCACACAATTCACCAAAAAATTCTCACTGGGCACAAAATGATCTTCTATTACTCGCTTGTTGTCAATGGCTTTTATCAATGAAACGCTTGTTGTTTTGAAAAGCACTTAACAAGTTTTGTGTGCCTATGTTGTTGGAATGGTTAGTTGACTGGCTGTGGACTTCTGGTTTTCTGGCCCGCTGGATTGGATTGTTTTTGGGCTCCCGGACGATGGCAAACTGTAATCCGTCAGCGGTGGAGACTAATTGGCAACTGATTCCGATGCCGAGCAGCGAGCTCAGCACCACACCTCGGCAATTGAAGAAGTTTCAATTAGTTGGCATTTGACACTCACACATGGAAAAGAAACGGGGATTGCGGTCCGTTGCCAGCTCACGCACACCATCGCAGAGTGGGGGTGATATCTGTACAGGCTTACCTGTACACGGCGACAGGTAGCCAGTGGCAAGGAGAGAAGTGTTGTGAGGTGAGGCCAGGTGAGACGGCGCACCGCTTAAGCCGCTTTTTAGCGCAATGCCGTCTGCCCGGAATATTAATGAACTCCCTTTTGAGAAAAATATGAAATGAAATAAAATTTTGTTGCCAACAATAGCCATGTCCACGTCCGAGTCGTTGTCGTTGTCATTGTAGTTTCGGAATTGGAATTTGTCGTCCCGCATCGAGCCCCAAAAATGCATTGGCCATGGCCACCAATTCAGCGCCAAACACGGCGCATGCGCAGCGATAGCTACTTCCGCTCGAAAAGATATAGAAGATATTGAAGGAGTAAGGGCGTAGATCTTACCGGGACGATTACTTCGAAGCGACTATAGAACGTTGGTTCGTTCTTGGGGCTTCTGTGAACCATCTATAGGCATTACATTACAGATATTTATGCGCGATTATACAAAACAGTCACGTGCCGGTCTTTTCTATATACATATCAGTACAAATACTGGTCTGGGGACTTACACCTATATATATTTTGTATATATTCTCTGACTGCTATTTATATGTGGGAATATATATGCATACAGAAAGGCGGAGAATGTTACTCACGACCGATGTCAAGCTCCAGGCAGTAGTGAAGCCTCTTCTTCTCTCCCTGGATTATTGGTATCCGATCCTTTCCATTTGTCACTTTTGGAAACTCATATTTTGATGATCGTTATTATTATTCATATGCACACTTCTCACGTTTCAAATGGCTATAAAGTCGGCAAAGCGTGCACGTATTAAGTAAACCCATTGACCACGATGGTCGAAACTGAAATTCCAAAACCCCCGAGACATAACCACATTCCGACTGAAAGTACAAATATAGGTGTATATCTGAGGATACCGGCTAAGTCTACTCCTACCTTTCCTACAATTTCTCCCACTTCCGTCTTTGGTTTATCCGCATCAATAAAGTTAAATTTAATTAAATATTAGTATGCACAATCGAAGCACTAACGGATGATAACCAATTGTTTCGTAACCAGGTAGTTTAAAGGCCCCTTATCTGTCGCCTGCTCTACGCTTTCTAAAAACTATCCATAGAACCGAAGAAATTAATTTTAATAAGCCATTTGGTATTTCAAGCACACGTTTCCACCATCAGATTTCTACGGGAAATACTTTGACGATGATCCGCTGAAAAGGAAGTTATTTTTCTTAAGGAAGAAATGCTAACAAAAGTACAACGGGACCTCCGGATTTCTTTGTTAGTTTAGTAGGTGAGGTTTCTTTAAAACGAAGATCGAACTTTAAACTAAACTTCAAAGAGGTCTGAATTTAAAATTATCTTAGAGGTAAATATATTTTGGCTATCCTGTAAAGTAAAATGTACAGTTTCCTAGGAATAATTAATCCAATTTGATAACCTATTCATAATATTCCAGCGTCCGTATTCTTATTCCAAAATTTTAAAGACTCTAAGTTAAACAGTAAACATTGTTTTAATATTAGCTATCTAGTTATTTTACTCACCTTAAGCTCTTATATGTTTATATATGCAAAAACATTGAATTTACATTCGAAATGCGATCGGTGTAGAATCTTATAAACAAATTGTTCAAAACTAATTCAAATTTGATACCTCAATCGATAGCATTCGCGGTTTTCGGTTAGCATCGATAATAATATTGGCGATGGATCGCGTTCAGCTTTGTCCACCTCTATTGGGTCCGGAGATCGTATTGTTTTTGCATTTACAATTTAAATTACGCCGGAATGAGTTTTCATGCTCCTTTGCAAGGAAAGCCACACCCAATGGTTAGTTAAAAATAAGGCCTATTTCCTAAGCTAAACACAATCTCTTATTCAGGCGGACTACCAATCCATCAGGCATTCTGAATTGGAACAGCTATTTGAAAAGAAGTTCCACTATCAGAAGCCAAGGGGAAATAAGTCCTGGCAGTTGCCACCTCAGGATCAGGCTCTATTTAGCGAGTTTTACCAGTTCGACGCGCTACAGGGACTACGGGAGCAACTGAATACTGTCAAAAGCAAACTGAATGACTATGGTGTGCAGGAATGGAGTGCTCATACCAACCGCCGGGATCCTTCTGGCGAAGTGTCCTGGCGCCTCAAGAACGATACCAAAGCCGAGTTTGTAACGGTGGCCTGGTGCAAAATCTTCGAATGCCTACATCGTTATCCATTGGTTAAGAGTTCAGAAGTCAACACTCTTCATCTGTGCGAAGCTCCTGGAGCCTTCATTACATCTTTAAATCACTACCTGCACAGCAAATACTCCAAAGATGAGGTTATTTAACAAGAAATCTTTAAGAGAAACAATAAATAAGTTATTGTTTCAGATTAAATGGCGTTGGCGGTCCACAACTTTGAATCCATATTACGAAGGCAACCCTTTAAACCAGATGATCACCGATGACAGGTTCATTTTTCACACGCTGGATAATTGGTTGTTTCACAGGGATCTCACTGGCAATCTATTGGATGTTGCCAATATAGACCACTTGGCGGAACGGTGCGCAGATGACTTGCAGGGTCAAGTCGATCTAGTCACCGCAGATGGCTCTATCGATTGTGCTGCACAGCCGGATTGCCAAGAAGAAATCGTCGTTCGTCTGTTTTTCGCCGAAGTTCTCAGCGCTCTCAAGATTCTCTCAAAGGGAGGCAACTTCCTGGTGAAGATGTTTACCCTATTTGAGGCATGCAGTGTATCACTTCTTTACACACTCAACTGCATCTTTGAGCAGGTGCACATCTTTAAACCGGCTACATCTAAGCGAGGAAACTCTGAGGTTTATGTAATATGCCTGAACTATCAGAAAGACACTACCGGCCTACCTCGATTGCTTGAGGAGATAAAAGCCAAGCTTTCTCAGCCAAATGACACTATGGTGATGCCACTGTTCGCCAGGTCACAGATCCCTCAAGACTTTCTTATGCAGCACGAGATTGCCTGCCGTCTGTATATGAAGCTACAGACAGATGCTATCGAGGGAAGTATCTATGCTTACGAATCCAATGATCGTCATTATCTAAGGCACCTCCATCACCTGAGAGGGCTCGTCTCCGACACATACTACAGTCGCTATAAAGTGAAACCTTTGGAGGATAGTCTGTGCATCGTGGACAAGGAGGCGACTCGCAAGGCCCTTGGCTTCTCAGTGCCGGTCTACGGCGGATCCTACACAGAAAGGGAAAACTTGAAACACGGTGATCTGCTTAAACAGATTTACTGCTTGCGCCGGGAATTCAACCAACTGGAGAAGTGCCCCAGCAGCAGAACATCATACTCGTATGTTAAGAAGAGAGTGGAACCATTGAATCTTCATATTTCCAGAGGGGCACCTGTTCACAGTCTACAAAGCAGTATGTTTGCCTCGGAGCCTATACTCCTTATGCGTCTTCGCATTCTGGATACTTTTGATCTCGATCCTGTTTGGCAGTCTGCGCCCAAATGCCTTTTGGAAAGCAAGACGCTTGACTACCACCAACCAACGGAAAATGAAAGCTTTCACATCGCCCAGCGACGCTTTTTTGTAGATCTCCTTGAAGCAGTAAAGGAAATGAAACCGCAGAGCATTGTCTTCCATAAGTTCCTGTTCCTCACCCACTATGCCGCTTCGCTGCTCCTGTTCCTCATGGAAGTCATATATAAGGAGTGCAGTTTTGATAGCAATGACTTGCAAACCCTTACGTTAAGTAAGCTTGAAGACACGGACAATAAGGAGCTGGAAAAAGTGCTGGAACTCTTAAAAGATGAACAGGCGGGGGCCATTCACAGCCTGCTTGACATTAAGGAGCTCCAGAAGAACCGGTTTAGCAACGCCCTCATCCAACACAACAATAACGTGTTGTTAACCTGCTTCCGTGGTATGCTGGGCGAGGAATCGTTTCCCATGCCTGTGGTTCTAGCCCCCAACTCGGAGGTCCCTGCGATCCAAGAGACGGCTGCTGTGTTTTAACATAACGAACATGTATTTCTCACTTGCATAAAATTACAGTGCTACTTTTACAAAACTAGGTACTCTGCCGGGGTAATCTGCTTAAATGTTTTTTTGAGGGTTCGAAAAATGAAAATTAAATAACTAACTGAAAAATCACAAGACTAAGGGGGACGAGGGTATACATGGGCTGTGGGGTGGTCCACCTTCTTCTCTGCCATTCCGCTAATCCGCTGGACGCTTTTCGCTGTGCTTCTTGGTATAGTCCTCGGCATTCTTTACGAACTTCTTCCGATCCTTGAGGAACTCCTCGGCCAGCTCCGCCCGCAGTGGATGCTCTGGTTCGGGGTCATTGATCAGGTCCACCAGTGCCTGCACCACTTGATCGGTTCGGGTGGCCGGTTTCCAGTTTTCCGTGCTGATGATGGGCAGACACACCTGACCCTTTTCGTCGATGTTCGGATGATAGATCCGTGTCTTGAAGTTAATCTTGGGCGGTTTGAAAGGATACTCCGCCGGAAAGTTGATCTCGATACGGAAGGCACCCTTGTTGTAAGGGGGATTGTCCGGCACAATCAATCCCGTCCAGCGTAGCAGGTTGTCATCGTCCGCCTTGATGTCCCGGAAAGCCTTCAGTGTGTTGTCCTGCAAATCGCTTAATTCTTTTCTCAGGCGTCTCGGCGCAGTCATCGTGACGTCTCTGTGTGTGTGAGTGGGATTTCTTTTTTGGGGTTTGTTTGTGTGTGTGCTTGTGGGAGACGAGGGATGGGGGCTGCTCTGGTTGTATGTGCGTGAGCACTTTTGTTTGCCCTTGTGTGAGCTGCAAATCGATGGTTTCGCCTTCCGGATGAGTAATACCGTCGTTGGGGTGCCGGCGTTTCGTTGTCGCTGGATTCACAGTGCTCCAATTACCGTGTGTCACCTTTAATTTCCGCACTGGCCCCCACAAAATCCGCACGTAAGTCTGCGAATTCCACTGAAAAATGGTTCGTGCAAGAATCTTCCGATTGGCGTTAGGGTATTTTTGGACATGCTCACAATGGCGTTGAAATTGGATTACACTAATCAACTCAGTCTGAACTTAGTAATGATTTGTTTTTATTATTATATTGTATTATTTTTATTCGTTAATGCAAATATATTTTTATACAATTTAATCTGCTAATTTTTAATTTTTCCCAATATAGACCTTACACAAATATAATTTTAAAAAACGATGAAATCTCTAGATGTTGGCTAGCTCTAGCTATTTTTGAAATCGATAGTCGATATAAGTGGCGGCATCAAATCGATAATCTAACGTTTTATTCACCTCCCATCGCTATCGCTGACTGCAACACGTGCGCCGCGTTAGTTTTGTTTTTCCCTCAAAATGACCAAGAAAGTAGCACTTAAACGCAGGGGAAAGGATTCTGAGCCCACAAATGAAGTGGCTGCCAGTTCGGAGGCATCCGAAAACGAGGAGGAGGAGGTAAGACCAACTGATAACCGAATCAAAAGTCAGTTCCAAATCACCTGCATGTGTTTTTGGTTTTTAAGGACCTTCTGCAAGCTGTTAAAGATCCCGGAGAAGATTCCACAGATGACGAGGGTATAGACCAGGAGTATCACTCGGATTCCAGTGAAGAACTAGAGTTTGAAAGCGACGAGGAGGGAAACTACTTGGGCAGAAAGCAGTCCTCATCAGCCGAAGAAGATGAGGAAAGCAGTGGTGAAGAGGGTGGGGAAGAAGAGGAGGAGGAGGAAGATGATGATGACGACTCTGAGGATGAAAAGGAGGAAGAACCTACCAGCACATCCAAGCAAAACAAATCCGACGATAAGCCGAGCAGCAGCGGTGCCGCTACTAAGAATGTTCCCACAAATGAGCTGCCCAAAAAGGATTCCACGAAGCCGGAGTACGAGGATTCAGACACATCCGACGAGGAAGATATACGAAACACTGTTGGCAACATACCCATGCATTGGTATGATGAGTACAAGCATATAGGCTACGATTGGGATGCCAAGAAGATCATAAAACCACCGCAGGGTGATCAAATTGATGAGTTCCTGCGCAAGATCGAAGACCCTGACTTTTGGCGCACTGTGAAAGATCCATTAACCGGTCAGGATGTGCGTCTAACAGATGAGGATATTGCCCTTATCAAACGCATCGTTTCGGGTCGCATTCCTAACAAGGATCACCAGGAATACGAACCCTGGATCGAGTGGTTCACATCAGAGGTGGAGAAAATGCCCATCAAAAACGTACCCGATCACAAACGCTCCTTCCTACCCTCAGTGTCCGAGAAAAAGCGCGTCTCGCGCATGGTGCACGCCCTGAAGATGGGCTGGATGAAGACCGCCGAGGAGGTGCAACGCGAAAAGCAAGCCAAACGGGGCCCCAAGTTCTACATGCTTTGGGAGACTGACACCAGTCGGGAGCAAATGCGCCGCATCCACGATCCCGTCTCTGCACCCAAACGTGACCTGCCTGGTCACGCCGAGTCCTACAATCCACCGCCAGAGTACCTGTTCGATGCCAAGGAGACCAAGGAGTGGCTGAAACTCAAGGATGAGCCACACAAGCGTAAGCTGCACTTCATGCCTCAGAAGTTCAAGTCACTGAGAGAGGTGCCCGCATACTCCAGATATCTTCGCGAGCGCTTCCTCCGCTGCCTAGATCTTTACCTGTGCCCTCGTGCCAAGCGTGTCAAGCTGAACATCGATGCAGAGTACCTGATCCCAAAGCTGCCCTCGCCGCGTGACCTGCAGCCATTCCCCACGGTGGAAAGTATGGTTTATCGAGGCCATACGGATCTGGTGCGGTCTGTTAGCGTCGAACCGAAAGGAGAGTATCTCGTCTCTGGCTCCGATGATAAAACAGTCAAGAGTGAGTGTTTTATATAATAATCTAAGTTTCTCTTTTAATTTAAAACTTTTTGCTTCGTTTACAGTTTGGGAAATCGCCACAGGACGTTGCATTCGTACTATTGAGACCGACGAAGTGGTACGCTGTGTGGCTTGGTGCCCCAATCCCAAGCTCTCCATCATCGCGGTGGCCACTGGCAATCGACTGTTACTTGTTAATCCTAAAGTGGGCGATAAGGTGCTGGTGAAGAAGACCGACGATCTGTTGGCTGAGGCGCCCAGTCAAGATGTTATTGAAAGTGAGCGCATCAAGACGGCGGTACAGTGGTCAAATGCCGAAGCTGAAGAGCAGGAGAAGGGCGTTCGGGTGGTGATCACCCACTTCAAACCCATCCGCCAAGTTACCTGGCATGGACGCGGTGACTATTTGGCTACTGTAATGCCCGAGGGTGCTAACCGCTCAGCTTTGATTCATCAGCTGTCCAAGCGGCGTTCACAGATTCCATTCTCCAAGAGCAAGGGTCTCATTCAGTTTGTGCTTTTCCACCCGGTGAAACCATGCTTCTTTGTGGCGGTAAGTGTGACAGATAGTTTGATACTTGAATATCTATTCTTATATATATTTAACTTCTTGTTATATAGACTCAACACAACATTCGCATTTATGATTTGGTCAAACAAGAGCTGGTCAAGAAACTGTTGACCAACTCCAAGTGGATATCGGGCATGTCTATTCACCCCAAGGGTGACAATTTGCTTGTGTCCACTTATGACAAAAAGATGCTCTGGTTTGATTTGGATCTATCCACTAAGCCTTACCAAACCATGCGACTCCATCGCAATGCTGTTCGCAGTGTGGCCTTCCATCTCCGTTATCCGCTCTTCGCTTCTGGCAGCGATGACCAGGCTGTGATCGTCTCCCACGGCATGGTCTATAAGTAAGTCACTTATACTAAATTATTAGTTTCGAATATACTGATTTTTATATTTAATTTCAGTGACCTGTTGCAAAACCCTCTGATTTTTCCCCTTAAGAAGTTGCAAACACACGAGAAGCGCGAAGAGTTCGGTGTGTTGGATGTCAATTGGCATCCCATACAGCCATGGGTCTTCTCTACAGGCGCTGACTGCACCATCCGACTATACACGTAAATAAAGTCCATAAAACTTAAGGTAGTTTTTTGGTTCTCCACAGTTTTATGAAATTTCTATAGTAAATAAATACATATATTAATTTTTAATGAAAGGACACATTTTATTTAAATTTGTCTTTAAACCATTTAAAATTTCATGATTTAAGAAAGTTATTTCTTGGCATTGTTTTTCTTTGAGGTCTAGAATATGAAATTTTGTTATGTCCCGGGCTTTAACGGGATCCAAATATCAAATTATAAATGCAACCCTGTAAAAAGTTTTGAAGTTCTAGCCCCAAAAAGCTTTTTTGGGGGGAAATTCCAGTGGAGCGAAGAGTCCCAAGCTTTGTTCTCTTTGTCGAACTCGCGCGCACATGTCTTTCTGTGGACTCTCTCTCTGTCCCTCTCTCCTGTGTGTACCAGGAATTCTAACTGTATAGTTATGCCAGGGAGCTTTTCGCTCAGTCCACCTTTGGAGGCCCCCCGCGCACATTCCACTTACCGTTTATCTTGGCTTCTCGGGAGGAGCGCGCGCATTGGAAAATCAAGAGCTGGCGAAACGGCACTGCTTGGAAATCAGTCGCCTGCCTTTGCCCGAGCGGAGAGAATCTCGAAACGCTCGAATCCGACCTGTCGAGGATTTTGGCTTCTGGGTGCTGCTGCTGAGCAGCCAAAAATCGCAGAGCGCAGAAATCGAATGGGAAAAAGCGCTGCCATAGCGGGGGCATCAAGAACGAAAGGAATATAATAAAATATGGCCGAGGGCGAGATGTGAAAATGTGAAAATGCCAGTCCAGGCCATCGAGTAACCACGAAAATTGCACTTTTTCCCCAAAAAAAAATTCGTTTCCACACTAAAACCAAAAAAGAAAAACAACCAAAAAAATCAAAGCACAAGCAAAACAATTTCGGGGCGAGAAAAAAAACATATATACAAATATACACATTTCGATTCCAATTCTAGTGGCAAAAAAATTCGTATGTACTCGTCGTCGTTGCTCCTCAAAAAACATACATACATACATACAAACGCGTCCCCCTTTTCCCGCCCACCCAATCGCCCCGAAATCCTCAACGAAAATACGTATGGTGTCTGTGTGTGTGTGTGGTTCGAGTGAAAATATTAACAGTTGCGCTAATGAAAAAATACAACAAAAAATTAATAATAATATGAAAATATAAATAGCTAGATTATGGCAATGGTCAACAAAGGAACCGAATCAGCTGATTTGTGATAAGTGCAACGACCAACAGGAATCACAATCGCTTCGGGTTACAAGTGCAATTAGCTGCCTACATGTTGCAGCTGTTGCAGCAACATCAGTACAAGTGGAGAAAATCACGCATACGCCCCATCCGCCCAACGGGCCAAACAATGCGCTCCACTTAGCCAAGTTGCGTGTCAATGTGGTGGTACTCCAGTCCACCACCTTCCTTCGCACTGCTTACAAACACACACACACATGTACATATGTACATTAATATATGTATATATATATATATTTGTATATATCGGTGTAATGACTAGCCCAAGAAATAAATAAAGGCCAGAGAACAACAACTACGGGGGCAGCTCCAGCTGCTCATAAATTTCGTAACGCTTGTGAAATGTGCCCCTTGGTGCACGGGGCCATTGAATCGCTAGATTTTCGCCCGTAAATCCAGAGCGGAATATGTAAATGCCGTAGGCGCCACCACCCGCGCACCGTAGATTCGATTAACCAAAATAAAATAAAAAAACCAACGTCCATACCCCAGGAGAGACCACGCGAAATCAGGACCTAAGATAAGGATAACTATTACTCGAAAGGTTATCTGAAAAATCAAAAAGAATTTCTGGAATTTTTCGGGCATGTAAAATCCCCTCAAGGAAAAGCTGAGAAAGCAAAAAAAAAACATTAAACAAAACGAAAACTAAAATCAAGAGCAGCAGCTGCACAAAGAGCAAGAACAAGCTAGAGAGCAAGTACCAGAGAGGGATAGAGAGAGAAGGAAGAGCGCTATAGAGTGGAAACTTTCGATAAAAAATTATTAGCAAAAACATAAATACGTAACGGAATCGGGAGAACCCGTGCCTTCTGCCCGTACCAAGGAAATCGAGAAAGAGAATAACCGAAAGCGAATCGAAGAAAAGAGCACCCGAGCGAAGCGGGTGAGTGGGTAGGTCAGTGGCAGTGGGCGGTCCGCCAGCTGGGGCAGCACCACCATCACCACCCATCACCACCTCAATCACCACCTCCATCTCCAGCTCCATCAGCACCGCCAGCGTCAACCTCAACTTTCAAAGGGCAGGTAAGTGCACACGGAAAAAAGAACCAGATCGGAAGCCGTCTGACATTTAGGCGTAGAACACCTTCAGATTTTCACTTTTCACAAAAACTCGGTCGATTTTCATTAGCATAGACCTCGGATTGGGAAGGATTGTTATTTTTCCTTAGGGTTTTATTGCTCTCTTTTGTGGTTCATAAAAGGTTAACTATAATATTGGAATACTGTTTTAATTACTAAAGAATTAATATTTTTATCAGACTTTAATGGTTTCAAAATGTCTAATATTTTTTTATGACATCATTGTAAAAGATTTACAAAAGATTTGTGGACTCAACTAAAAGATATAACCAATTTGATTTTTGTAAATGCCGACTTACCTTTCTTAAACTATGTTGACTTCATTTATCACAAAATTAGAATAATTGACAAAGTACTTGAGTTAAACTTACCATCTTAGTTTATTTAAGAAACATTTATTTAGATTTTTAAGTAATGTAAGTCATTTTCTTTGGTTCATAAAAGATTTCATATTAATTTTGGGAAATTGTCAACTATTTTTGAGTCCTAAAACTAAAAATATCAACTAATAACCAGGGTTAAGGCTTGTATATAAACTACAGCACCTTATCATCAAAACATTTACTAAAACATGCCAATTATCAATTAAATATCAAACTAGTTTATGTCAGATAAGAGTTTTTTTGGCATGACGAACATTCAACGGATGACGAATATTTGTGTTTTTTGTTTAAGTGCCTAGAACTTCCCCGCTTCAACCCCTAACCCCTCACCCATCACCTAGTTTATTAACGTTTCAATGTGTTCCTTTATTGCAGGTAGCGGCATGTCCTGCACCGTTTCGGAGCTGCCCAGTGGCTGTCGATTGCGCGGCATGACTGCATCCTCACAGCAAAGTGCCGCCAACAATAGTGGCAACAATGGCAATGGCAACGGCGGCGGAGGCGGTGGCGTTGGAGGCGTCGTCGGTGGTGGCGGCAGCTTGGGCGGTGTATCACCCACAGTGGGCGGCAGCGTGGGAGTCGGCTCTACGTCCAACGTTCTACAGGAGTCCAATGTGGCCACGTTGCAGCGACCACAATCACAGAAACCATGCTGCTTCTGTTGGTGCTGTTGCTGCTCCTGCTCCTGGTGAGTTTTAGCCCACAACGAGTGGCCTATATGTTCACCGTTCAAATTCTCTGACACGAAATCAATTTCTTTCTCGTTACCGCGCTGCCTTGACTCAACGTTTGGCCATAATAACAACTACCTATACCAATACCAATACCAATACAACAAACCACAACCGTGACAACAGGGCCAAATGGTAAGTACCCTCCTTAAACACTCGTACTTTCTTACACAGGGAGAAAACTTACTTAATACTGAAAATCAGATACTCAAATACAATAAAAATAATCATTTTAAATAGCTAATATTAATTTTTAAAAGCTAATGTTTAAGCTAAGTGTGATAAGAACTATCATCAGTAACAAGGGATTTCATTTTTACCGTTAGTTCTTTGCATTAATACTAGTATTTTCTCTCAGTGCTGTCATGGATATGGCCACGGTTACAGCTATGGTTATTGCTTTGGCTTTAACTATTGCTTTGGCTTTGGCTATGGCTATGGCTATAACCACTGACATGGGCATGGACAGGGAAGTTTAAATGAAAGTGGACACGGGCAAGGTGGCCTTCCTTCTGACAGCTGGCAACGCTGTTTATTTTCTAAAAAGCTCTCTCTTTGCCTCTCTCTCCTGTATGGATTATGAACTTTCTCCTTTCGCTCTTTCGAAACACTCTTTAGCATGCTAGCTCTTGCATTCTCGTTCATTCACAATTCCGAATTCCGGGAGCAAGTTGTCGGGCAGCGAAAAGCTCTCTGGAGGGCACTTTTCAAATCAAATATAAATAAGTATGTGGCGGCTCCTCCGCGGACTCCTCCAAGTGTTGCATGTTTTCGTGAATGAAATCGAAAGTCTTTTTTCGACCCCCACACAAAACCCAACTGTAACCCCCTTCCGCACCTTTGTGTGCCTAACTGGGTCCCAAGAACCCCCCGAAAAACCCAGCGCGCACACAGACCCCAAACCCCCCCTGGACACATATAATTTGATTCATATATAGGAGAAAAATACATATATATATATACGTAGAGCTGTGTGACTTTGATTAGGTATTGGGCCAGCGAGTCGCTCTGATAACTGTTGGCCAGATAAGAGAGCTTTGTCAAGTTCGAGTACTCCGGTGTTCTGTCTCCGGGCTTCCAAACCCAAAACCGATATGACATTAGCCTATCTACAGTGGTCATTCGAAGAATTATATCTTTATAACAGCTTTACTTATAGGGTTTTGGTGCTACATAACCTTCGATAACTTTTAATAAGTACTCTTAAGTTTACTTTATTAAGTAAGTCCTTAATATCTAATATTCCATATTGTTCAGTTTTAACCTCATTTATAATCATTAGAAAAATAAAATGAATAAAAGCTTTGATCTATTACCGTTATATTAAAGTTCATACAATGAAAGTTACTTCATAACTTGTTATACTGTAACCTCCGCTATCTGAAAGTTCTAGTTATCGAGCGAGCACTGTATTTACATATTTATGCTATTTAGTGCCAGTTAAAAATGAGTCAGGCTGAGCGGCAATCCAGCGATGAATAAAATTGTAGTCTACTTTAAAGGGTGATTGATGAGTTGTAAACTCAAAAAATAATCGACATTTAACAAGATTTTCTCTTTTCTTTTTTATCTTTACAGTCTGGCCATCAAGAATGCCGATGAAAATGCCCCCACGAAGCGAGATCTCGTAAATGCCGAATTCTTAGATGGCGAGCAGTGAGTTTATGCAAAGAAAATACTTGAAAAGAAAAACAGGAAAAACTTATGTAAATTCATTGTAAATTACAGACCCACACTGGAGGAAATCCGCAGCTGGGGCAAAAGCTTCGACAAGCTGATGAAGAGCACAGGTGAGCGCCAGTGAAAAATTGCTTTCCTAATCCATATTGATGTTTATGTACGTTCCCAGCTGGTCGAAAGGTGTTCCAGAATTTCCTGCGCAGCGAATTCAGCGAGGAGAACATCCTGTTCTGGCTAGCCTGCGAGGACCTCAAAAAGGAGAGTAGCGCAGAACTGGTGGAGGAGAAGGCGCGCCTCATCTATGAGGACTATATATCGATCCTGTCGCCCAGGGAAGTGTCGCTGGACTCGCGAGTCCGCGAGATCGTCAACCGGAACATGATCGAGCCCACGACGCACACCTTCGACGAAGCTCAAATCCAGATCTATACACTGATGCACAGAGACTCATATCCGAGGTAAGGGTTGAGATATTAGCTCTTAAAATATTTTTCTTAAATGCTTTACTTTCTTTTCTAACAGATTCCTAAACTCGCAAAAGTTCAAGACACTCGCTCAACTGCAAGACAACTCGAATGCCGGCTCGAAGGCAGATAGTCCTACTTAGAGAGGATCCTTTGGGGGACTACCGGATCCGTCTTTGACCTCGGTACAGTTGCGCTGTGTTGACTTCCGCTGTTGCTCTCCAAATTGGTATTTCCCTGATTTTCCAACCCCGCCACCGCCGCCGACGCCGCCTCTGCTGCTGCTGCTGCTGCAATCGACTAAGCAATATGTATCCATTAGTAGAACCATTTAAAAAAAAAAGTATTGCGCGCAGCCCCGAATAGTTCCGGAGCCTGGAAGAGGGGCGGGGGAATCGGACGACATGCATTCTACGTAAAACGGATTCCTTCTCTACCTACGTTCTAGTCGTTAACTAACCAAAGAGTTAAGCACTACAAGAAAATTGTTTACACTAAGGAGCTGGTTCGACCACAGAAAGCATTTTCCAAACAGAAACAGAAACAAAAAGAAAGAAAAACAAACAAAAATAGCCAGCAAGCTAATACGAAACGAGCGACACAAATAGCATCTATTGTAATACTAGTGATCTAAGAGACGTATTAATCAAATTGCAACAAAGATTACGGAACCCGCTAACCGATAAGTAAATTTAAACGTAATCATAAACCGCAACGTAACAGAAATACTTTTTCCAACAAACAAAAATTACAAACCAAAAAAAAAATCCCAAAAAAAAAAAAATGAAAGAAAACCAAAAAATCTTTTTAAACGTATTGCATACATAACTTTATAAACTTATATATATATACACAAACAGGATATATACATATATATATATTCGGATATATAGAGACATTTAACTTGACTAGTTTTGAAATCGTTTTAGGTCATACGAGTAATGACATCGAAGCATTTTGTAAATACAACAGCAGACGGCAAACACTTTCTACTTTCTTATGAGAACCCGATCGAGGAGCATCCTCCTTTCTTAAGCAAATCTTACAAGGCCCCATCTTGAGCTGTACTTTGAGCCAGACCAGAACCGAACCGAACAGACCATATACATACACATATGTTATATATATATATATATATATATATATAAATATATATCAGCCCTATAAAGTCTTAGCCGAAACCGATATCTGATAACCGGAACAAATGCATAACAAACTAACTAACGTGTACTATATTATTTCGATGTCGAGCTGATTTCCAAGTCGAAAGAAGAACGTTTCGCAATATCACTGCCAACAAATAAATCAGAACTTCGCAAGAGATATATATATATTCGTATATACCCTCTTATATTGTATTATGCAATTGTTTTTCTAGACAAGCGGAAGTTCCAAGAGTTTCCCCTTAAATTTACCCCCTTTTCTGCTTTAAAAACCAAAGAAATAAATATGGAAAACAGTATTATAAATAAAAAAAAAAAGAAAAACAAAAAGGGAGACACACAAAGTTACATTTAAATTTTAGCAAAAAAGTTGTCGAATTGAAAACTAAAAACATATAAAAAGGAAGAGAGAAAATTCAAATAAAAAAAAAAAAAAAGAAAGTTTATAAGTAACGAAGAAGAAGGAGGAGAGGAGGAAACACAGAACAGGAGGACTTTCCCTGGCGAAAAAAGTTAACAAATGTAATTTCGATCTTAAGTTGGTTTCCTTTAACCTTAGGTTGTCTGTGTGTGTTCGAAAGGCACAACAAATATTTTAAAGTACAAGATTCATGTGTGTACCTTTGTTGCGGGGAGCAGGGAACGTATTTTCGTAGCTAGTTGGTGTGCCTAGTTTTAATGCATCTATCGGTTAGCAAACCAAATCACCAAACCATTCACATGGACATTAAACCGAAACAGAAACAGTAACACAATTTATTAACTTAACTAGCATTTAAGCATCTTCCAGTTCCCCTTAAAGAATTTGTTTCTCTGAGATCCTTTATCTTAAATCCTTTATCACTGAAAACTCATTTGATCTATATACTAACTTAAAACAAAAGTATAAATCACTTTTTTCTAGAGCTTTCCCAACCACACATAAGTTCCTATATTTTTATAACATTTCTGATCCGCTTTCCTTACCCATACATAAGCACTGCTCCGCCTCAAGCTTCCGCTCTAGTCCTTAAAGAACTTGACTCTTGACGCGTCACTCAGGCTGCTACTTGGAATTGAGAATTCGACAACCGCTTTTGCATTACAAAGAGAGAAAGATTAAGAGAGATGGTGAGAAAGAGTTTCCCCAATGGTTTGTTAAATTAATTTTAGGCAATCAGGTTAGAGAGACAGTATGTCCTGGCTAAACAAGGACGCGCGGAGGGAAGGAATGTTTGTTTGTGAATGTTTCTCTTCGGTTTCTTACTTTGCAGAACGGACAGATATATAAGACTTTTTGAACAAAAAAACAAAATTTATATTAGTACATTTAATACGATTGTTGTTTGTTTAGTTTTATACACCGCCAAACACTCGCACACACTCACAAAACACACACCGATACATGCATATATATATATATATATACTACTTAGCGGTATATGTACAAAAAAAAAAAAAACAAAAAAAAAAAACCAAAAAACGTAATCAAGCATTAGTGAAAAGTTTCGACCAGTTAAAAACCATTAAAATTAAATTTATTACAAAACCAAAAAAGAAATCAACTAACGTGTAAACGCAAAAACGGCAAAATCAATAAATACAAAATGGATTAAACTAAGCCTAAATTTAGTTTTAAACATTTAATATATTGCAACAATAAACCGAAATGAAAATAAAACTCAAATTCAAACTTGAAGAAAAAAGTGTTTTTTAATTATAAATTAAGATAAACATTTTTATGATATGTAAACTAAATTCGGTTTTTCAAGAAAGTTTATTTACTTGATTATCTACATTTCGTATAATTTTACATTTTACTGTAAAATCCTACATATTTTACAAATGCATTTTACACCATGTAGGTAACCAATGTAGACCAGTTGGCTTGCGCAGCTTCAAGCCGTTCTAAGCCGCAGTTCCACGCGTGCGCAGCGCCAAAGACAAACAGAGACGGCCAGAGCGAGCAAGAGAGAGGAAGCGATGTAAGGGGAGCGGGGGGTTAGTCACCCTTTACCGTGGCGGAAAGCACACACAAGCTCCGTCCGTCCGTTCGTCGGTCCGTCTGCCGATCCACACGACACAACGCTGATTGCCGCCGCCTGTCGAGGTGAGGTTGTAGGAGCTGAACTGAGGTTAACCGAAAGCCAGGTCCAAGGAGCGACTGCGAGCAAGAGGGGGGAAGCAGAGAGCGGTGGCGGGACAGAGAACGGCGGAGGCTGTGCGGCAGCTACTTGGCGTATTCGATTGTGGTACATGCACAACTATTTTACGTATGCCACACGGAGAGAAATCAACTTACTTTCTGAATGCTAATGGGCTTACATTACATTTCTGTTTAATTGTGGTTTGTTTTTAGTGAGGAGAAAGTAGTGAAATGAAAGGAATAAATGAAAGTATTTGAATTTAACTTAAATTTTTGTTTTATAAAATGTCCAAAATAGCATAATAAAGATATTTTATAACGAATAAACATTTGTAACCCTCTTTTTCGCAGTGCATTCTCTTGGCATGCGGCGATCTCTCTGTGCCTGTCTCTCCACCTCTCTCTCACTCTCTTACCGTTGTGTGTGTTTGTTTCTCTACCTGATGCCCGATTGCACTACCACTTTCACGCGGTTTACAAGCCGAAAGACAACAACAACAAAAACAGAACAACAAGGCGGCGAGTTCGAAAGCGAACAGCGAATTCGAATTTTCGATGATGAATGCAATGCCATAGAAATGAACGTGAAGTTGGGAGATACGAAAAACGCAGGAGCGGTTTATCCGTAACGAGGGTGGCTCTCTCTTCTTCTGCTCGCTTTTTTCCCTACTTCCCCATCTCCCTCTCCCATGATCGCAAGTGCATGCTTAAGTGGAAGGTTCGTTGCCTAAGTCTTTTGTACCTGCCTGCGTTTTGGCCTCTGCAGGTGCACCCACACACACATACACATACGGACACTGGGCTACCTGTGTTTTAGTTTTCTGTATGCGTATACGGGAGTGTAGAGACAACATCATCGATTCGAATGAATTTGAGTGGCGCTGCCGCTGCCGGCGTCGCTGCCGCATTCGCTCAATATCAGTTACGAAAGAGATGAAACCATAAAAAGCAATAATAATCGAGCGCTCTCTCACCTGCGCTGTCTTATACATGGATAGCACCTTGCCACCAATACAATGATACAGCGACGACGTCGACAGAGGTGGCAGCAGCAGCAGCAGCAGCGGCGGCAGCAGCAGCACATTCAACAGTTGAACAATCTCCAATTGACTCTTTGGGCATTATAGCCGAGAGCCGAGATCCAGCGACAGCGACGACAAGTTTTCCGCGCACACGGAAAGTCAGCAAGTTAATACACCAATAATATATATATATATATATATAAATCTATATATTTAAATCTGACTTATCGGTTTTACCAAAAATACAAAATAGTGAATACGCGTGTGTGTGTCTCAATTGAATAGCGAAAAATCCAACAAATTATACACCAAACAAACAGCAAAAAGTCGCGCTTAAACTTTTTCGAAATTAAATAAAACACGCACACACACGAATTTAAGCCACGAAGAGGAAGAGAAGGCTGAAAAAGCGAAAAAACCTCGTGTGTGTAAGTGAGTATCGGTGTGTATGTGTGCATGTCTCTCGGAGAGCGTGAGCTTTATGTGTGCGTTGTGTACCTGTGTGCGTGTGCGCGAGCTGGAATGAGACGCCATCAAAAGCTGAGCTGAGCGAATAATAAAATGCAAAATAAAAATAGTGATTAATAACAGCAGTAAGAAACAGCAGCAACAACAAATGCTAGTGCGGAAAAGCGCGTGAAAAAAAGTGGAAATACTCAAAAAAAAAAATTATACATAGTTCGAAAAGCAAATGCCTGGCGAAACGCCCCGTAACGACCCGTCCTCTGACCCCTTAACTTTACGCCCTTCAGTGTTCAGCAGCAACATGAGTAAAAGCAGCAGCAGCAGCAGCAACATTAAATGTTAGGCCAAAATGCACAAACCGCCAGCAACAAAGGCAGCAGCAACAGCAACAAAAACAATCAAACGGATTCGAAACAACAACAACAATAGCAACAGCAGCAGCTCCACATACCACAAAGAGTGGCACATTAGAAGCGGCCAAAAGCAGCCAGCCAAGAGCATTGTGTAAGCCAAAAGACCCAGAGAGCCAGGCCAAAAGCCCCCAGACGCACAACAACAACAACAACTACTACTACAACAACAACAGTAACAGCACAAAGAGTGGCGAAAGGTGCACCCACCAGAAAAATAAAACAACAACAAAACAGCAACAACATTTCAGTTCAAGCTCCAGACTCCGCAACACACTCAGACTCCAAAGTTAAGATCCAGCTCCAGTTCCATCGATCGATCCACTGTTCCAGCGTGCTCGAGTGCCATAGATCCTCACCAAGTGCCAAAATCCGCATCCTGATCCCGAGAGCTCAAGGCACCCGGCCCAAAAGTGAGTACTAGTATTAGCCTACCGAGAAGTAATTATAAACGCATCAGGCTTTCCAGCCCTGGTTCACGTAGGGATTACACTGACAGAAATAGCACCTCCCCTAGGCTCATTAGCATTTCGGCTTATACAGCTCTGCTTACGGTAGAATCCGAAACAATAGCTGAGTTTCCACAAAAGAGAGCCATAAAAATGGGTATCTTTCGGGGCTCAGATAATGATAGAAGATATTTTATTGGTCGGTTATAAATCGAATCTTTATTTACTTTTGTATTTCATTATTGAGAAAAGATTTGAAAATCTTTAGAAAATTTATGTTTTTTTAAATTTTGGTTTTATTAAGTTAAATAAAAATAAATAAATTTAAATAGTTTATTAAAACTGCAGCAGTTCTAGAACATACCATATATATCACGAAATCTCTTTACTCCAGAAAAATCGATTAACTTTGAATCGTCTTAAGGTAGTCAGACTGCATATGGGATTAATATCAAACTTTAGAAATATGTTTTTGGTATCAAAAGCTCTCCTTAATAAGTTGGAATATAAATACCATATTGGAAAATGAACTTTAACAATAGTTCAGAAGAAATTTTTAGTTAAATTTCATAAACTTTCCTACTTTTTGTCCTAAAAGGTCATAAAAAATATAAAGTAATCATTATATTAAAATAGAACATAGATTTTTGTAACATAATCTAAATTAAAAACACTAAACACTTTTAATCAAAACTGAAATACTTTTAATAACATGTTGTATAGTGTTCTTTTGAAAGGCATTGTCTACCATGGACACCCTGTATGTTGTGCAGACGTAGCCTAAGTCTCTTGGTCCCAGCCTCAATCCATGTTGTTGTTTTTGTTACCTTTGCTGTTGCCGTGTTGTTGGCCGTATCTTTCGCGCACACATTCCTCTTTGTTTGGTTTTATTTTGTATTTTTCGTCTTTCGAAGTGGCCGCTGCGCAGCAGCAGCAATAGCAGCAGCGGCAGGTAAGGCGCACAGGTATTGGTGTTGCCTGTTGGTTGTTGTTATATTGCCAACAATGCCGTGCTAGAGCGGGAGAGTTGGCCATAAAGAGCGGGAGCGAGAAGGGATCAAGACGCCTCTGTTGCTCTATCCATGCCGCTGCCTCAGCCGTCGTTAACTGTGACAGCGACTGCGCAGCTTTCTTGTTCGAAAATCGATGATGTTGCCCAGTGTTTGTGATTACGTTTTCCCCTGGACTTTTGTGCTGCTGCTGCCTTTTGGTCTTCTGTTCTCGGCTTCTTTTTATTATGATTTTTATTTTTATTAGTTTTTTTTTTGTACCTTTCCTGATGATGGTGATCAATTTGGGGCTGCGATTATGGTACAGTAAAATGAACATCTACGCAGCACTCACACCAACACAGATACAGAGGCATAACTATACACACAGATATACATTCAGCCGTGAGATACACAGACACACAGACACACACAAACACACAGACAGACGTATACAGCGGCACATGTAACCCACACACAAAAAAAGGGGGAACTTCGTGAGAGAGTTATTTTATTTTCGTGTTCGTGTTAACGTTTATTGTTTTTCTTTTCTTTAGCCTTTCTTCGTTTCTTCGGGCCTTCTTGACTCCGTCTTGCAGCCGTTCCCCCACCCCTCCCACTCCTTGCACGCCTTTATTCCCCTTAACATTACCATTCCCATCTACACGGGAAGAAAAAGGTGAAGTGAAATAATGGGATTTATAGTTTAAAAATTTAAACAAATTTTTTATTAATATCAATCATTTGCTATTTAATTTGTTTCTAACGTTTAATGATAAATTAAAATTTAATTTAAAATCAAATCACATATGTAAGAAATTCTTTTCAGTGTACCATCTACCAACTCCCAGTCTCGGCTCAGTCTTTGGCTTTGGTTATTGATGCCCAACAACTCTGACCGTTGATGTCTTAGGGTTACGTTGCGCATTTCTTCTCTTGTCTTTTCTCCACTTCCCTACCCTTCTCCGCTCTTCTCCTCCTCTATTCCCCATCATTCTCCCTACGTAAAGGTGGAGAGACGTAAAATCCAAATTTCAAATTATGTCAAATCTTAATGGGATTTGAAATGGAATTGCTTTTGGTATTCACTGTGTATCTAAAACCGAGGGTATTATAAGGGGGAAAAGGTGATCGGGGTAGGAGGGGGAGGGATACATAATAAAGAACACATACCCATAGATCTTGTTGTAGGCGTTGTCTGCATGCAAAGGTTAGATCTGAGGTTTATGTTCGCATGTGGTCATTCCCAGTCGATATAATCGAAGAAAATTAGTAATGATTGTCTTGGGAGAGAGGGTTCATTTACCAGATATTTCCCACTTGCCTACCTTTTCCTTCTCCCCGAAAACCCAGGAAGCCTTTGTAGGTGGACAGTTCATGTGGCAGCATCAAAATATTGTTACTACAAAGTGTTTTAAACATTTCCATTCTAGAACTCAATAATTATATATCATTGCCTAGGCAGCTTCAAGGAAAACTGAGTGTAAATTTGAATTTATCAAGGTGGAAAAGCTATGAATATGCAAATAGCTTTCGCTGCGAAAGATTTCCTTATAGTTACTTAGTTGTAAGCTAAACTGAAATAGGTTTTCGATTTAGTTTTGAACTTGATTTACGATTTATTGTTTAGCCAATCAATACACTAATTGCCTGTTAGTTTCCTTCTCTCCTACACTTGTTTAAATGATCGAATAGCTGCAAATCTTACGCAATAAAGAGGGATATTAAATGATTTTCTTATGAGAACTTCTAAGAAAGTTAATGAAAGGGAATATATAGTTACACGGTTTTTGGTTTTAAAGGTTTAAGAACTTACCTCATATGCCACCCATCAATCATTTTTAAAATGAATTATAAAAAATATCACAAAAAGATGTATCTTTGTCAAAGTCTTAAACTTTAATCCACCTTCGCCTAGAAAGATCTCATTTAATTAGATGTTCCTGTTGTTTGTCAGAATTAGGTGATCTCTAATAAATGGCACCCCCGGGCTTAAGAAAGTTCCTATAAAAAGTTCCCCACAAATCTCTTCTATAAGATTAATTGGGATTATTGTCGTCTCCACATCGCTTCCCTTTTGCGGGCATACCTGGCCATATACCAGCAGCCACTTCTCATGTTGCTGATTTCTTTTGCACCCACCGGTATGAGTGATGGGTCTTGGCCAGAATCCATCTATCTGCCAGCTTCGTTGCCATTCTCCGATCGCCACCATTCAAGCGGCAAGTTGGAAAGTTTTTTCATCCGGGCAACGTTGCCCCGAGGGTCTGCGAATGGTCATATATAGTATAGCTGACCCAGTTCGATGGATGCGATGGGATGGGATCACTTGCTGGGGTGTTGATGTTTGTTTAATTGTTTCCTAATTGCCTTTCTCAACTTTCTTTCGGGGTAATTGTTTTCGTGTGTGTCCGTGTTTGTTGTGCCAAAAAAACTAGTCTATAAGCAGGCAGACAACGCCGACAACGCCGCATGACACTGACCTCACCTACTAACGGAACCCACAGACCGGGCCCGAGGAGCCACCGAGATAGTCGTGAACTCACCGGCATGGGCTGACAAAAACGGGTTTATCCACATCCACATCCCAGCAGTGAACTCTGCGGCAGCATCAGCAGCAGCAGCAGCAGCAGCAGTCATTTTTTGGCTTTATCATCAAACAACAATATTGGGGGGAGACTGGACCTGGGACCTGTACCTGGACCTGGACCTGAATCTGAACCTGGACCTGAACCTGGGCAAGCTTTAGCAAAGGCGTGGTGGAACCAGAAAGTCAGCCTTCTGGATTAGGTCAAGGATTGAGACGCTGCTGCTGTTGCTGTTGCTGCTGCTGCTACCGGTGTGGCTGTTTCAGTTTTGGAGTGTGTCGAGTGTGGAGTGTGGAGAGTAGTACCTGTTCTCAACTTGTTGTCTGCTGTCGATGGTGGCGCGATGTTGTTGTTTTTGTTGTTTTGTTCAGTTTCGGTTCAGTTCAGTTCAGTTTCAGTTTCGGTTTCGGTTTCAAAATCCCTCATAAACATGTTTTGCTAACTCGCAGATTCTGGACTATTAACAGCTGATGGACTGACTGGTTTGTTTTTTTTCTCGTTTTTGAGCCGTGCAGCGGTAGTACGTAGCACTCTGTGTGTTTAATTTCACACAAAGCCCCGTTGTAAACAAAACACAAATATGGCTGAGAAGTTGGCGTCTCAGTTGACGTTGGCAGAGACGTGAGCAGCGGCGACGCTTCTTCCACCTGTTTGACTGTTGTTTTGTTGTTGCTTTTGTTATTTCTGCCGATGTGATGAACCGCGCTGAGTTATGCAGTTACACGTTTGACATTTGCGAAGGAGTCAAACTAGTTCGACGGGCACGTGTGTGCAGGCCAACTTGGCTTATTTATTTTTTTCCGTTTTTCCGACTTTTTTTTTGTTTTTTGTTTTGTTTTGTTTTGTTTTGTGTTTGCCCCTTTTTGTTTGTTTGTTTGTTGGCTGACTGGCTGACTGACTGGCTGGCTGTCTGGCAGTCTGGTCTGTTTTGTGTGTGCTTGCAAATCGCTCATCGTTTGAACCCGTTCCGCTGGCTCTTCCGTTTATGTTTGCCTTCTTGTTGTTGCTGTTGGGGGTGTGTGACTGCATCTGCCGGTCTGCTTGTGGGCCAGTTGTCAGGGCGGAGGAGAAGGCGGGGGTTGGTCCAACAACAGGGGGAAACCGGGGGCGCCAAGCAGACTGCCGCCAGACACACACTGCCACTTTTATTGTTGCTTTTGCGGCCTTTTTACGGCCACAACAGTGGGTAGAAGGGAGGGATTGATGTGGTAGGGAAACAACACCTTATGCTATCTATATATGCCCATGATTCACACACGATTTGCAGGGCTTAAGTGATGAGCTGGGCCATTGAGCAAACCTTTTGATTGTTTTTGAGGAAACTAAAGGTTATAAAATGACTTCTCTATTACTTTTGCTAAGTAAAAAAACTAAATTATAGATATAAGCAAACTTTTTTATTGCTTAGCTGAGGTCAGACCTTAGAAACATACAAAAAAAAGTTAGTTTAAAATACTTGAAATATAAATTTTTAATAATTAAAGATATGAAAAAGTCCTAAAAACTAATTAGAAGGCAGTAAATTAAGTATAAGTGCGAAATTTTTTACATTTTACATTTCATTTTTATAGTTTTTGTGAAATTTAATAACTTTTTTATATAAAAGAAGAACTTAATTTAAACTTTTTACAGAAAAAGTTCAGAATTAGAACAGCTTACACCTTTCTTTTCCTTCTCTGACATAGTTAAGATACCCCCAGTTAGTTAAGATTCCTCACCAACAACCAGAGTAGGCTAAATCTTTATCTTACTTTCTCACCTGTTATACTAATTACCACCATTGTCTTTTCCCCTTACCAATTACAGCTGAGCTGAGAACTAAACGAAGGAAGTTCCTTAGTGCCATAGAATGCAGTAATTGAAACAACGAGAACGACCAAGACGAAGTGCAACCAACCAGCCGGAACCGGAGCCTAAAAAAAAAATCGAGAAACCGAAGAGAACCACAAAGTGCCTTCCATCAAAACGTTGATAAGTGATATTTATTATGTTTATACTTGCCAGCAGCCGGAGCAGCAGCAACAACAGCAACAACAACAACAACAACAACAACAACAGCAATAGCAACAATAGCAACTATATCGATGATCAGACCACGACCAAGTCCTAGTGCAATCCGGAATCCAGTTCAAATTAGTTCAGTAAGCCGTAACTAGCACGTATAATGTCCACATCCACCGCCACAACGAGCGTAATCACGTCCAACGAGCTCTCCCTGTCCGTTCATTCCCACGGCCACGCCCACGGTCACGGACACGCCCACCAATTGCATCAGCACACCCACAGTCGCCTTGGTGTAGGCGTAGGTGTGGGTATCCTTAGTGACGCCTCTCTGTCGCCAATACAACAAGGAAGCGGCGGCGGCGGCGGCGGAGGAGGAGGAGGAGGTGGTGGTAATAACAATAGTTCACCTTTGGCTCCCAACGGAGTGCCACTTCTAACCACAATGCATCGATCCCCGGACTCACCACAGCCGGAATTGGCCACCATGACGAATGTCAATGTCCTGGACCTGCACACGGATAACTCCAAGCTGTACGACAAGGAGGCCGTCTTTATCTATGAAACACCCAAGGTAGTGATGCCAGCGGATGGAGGAGGTGGCAATAATTCCGATGAAGGCCATGCCATCGATGCTCGGATTGCGGCCCAAATGGGCAACCAAGCCCAACAGCAGCAACAGCAACAGCAGACGGAACACCAGCCGCTGGCCAAGATCGAGTTCGATGAGAATCAGATAATCCGTGTGGTGGGACCCAATGGCGAGCAGCAGCAGATCATCTCGCGGGAGATCATCAACGGAGAGCATCATATCCTGTCGCGTAACGAGGCTGGTGAGCACATACTCACCCGGATTGTCAGTGATCCCTCCAAACTGATGCCCAATGACAATGCCGTGGCCACGGCCATGTACAACCAGGCCCAGAAGATGAACAATGATCATGGACAGGCTGTGTATCAGACGTCACCCTTGCCACTGGATGCCTCTGTCCTACACTATAGCAGCGGCAATGATTCGAATGTGATTAAGACGGAGGCTGATATCTACGAGGACCATAAGAAACATGCGGCTGCCGCAGCAGCAGCTGGTGGCTCCATCATCTACACCACCTCGGATCCGAATGGCGTTAATGTGAATGTTAAGCAATTGCCCCATCTGGCCGTGCCCCAAAAACTTGATCCCGACCTCTATCAAGCCGATAAGCATATAGATTTGATCTACAACGATGGCAGCAAGACAGTGATTTACTCGACCACGGATCAAAAGTCATTGGAAATATATTCAGGCGGCGATATTGGCAGTCTTGTGTCCGATGGCCAAGTAGTCGTCCAGGCAGGACTTCCATATGCCACTACCACCGGTGCCGGCGGACAGCCTGTGTATATTGTGTCCGACGGTGCCTTGCCAGCGGGAGTCGAGGAGCATCTGCAGAGGTGAGTGAATTGCCCGCAAAGGGCGTTTTAGCTTTAATGAAGGGTTAGGCTATGGGAAAGGGTTGGTCCACTGCCAAGTGGTTCGTCATTGTACTTAGGAAACTTCCATTGAGCTGTGATCCTCAATTAGTGGCCAAGTTGGGAGGGTAAAGGGTCAGATTTGGGAAAAGGTTGTTTTCGAAGGGTTGAGTATATTTTTATACATCAATAAACTTTCATTAGCAGATTGGGAAATTGTATTTACAAACTTTATTGTTTTTGATCAGTGATAGATGCTTATTGGAAGTTGTAAAGGGAATATAACTTTGTATAAATGTTTCTTTATAAAGCTTAAAATATATTTTTAAACATTTAACTTCCTTATTCTATTTAGTTTTATCAGGAAAAGAGTTTTAACTATATCTTTTAGCAGCCAGGAAGTATTCTTTGGTTTTTAAAACCTTTTGAGTTTGCATATTGATTGCCTTTATAAGCCCCGATATCTGAAATACTTTCAGCTACTAGTTCTTAGTATTTATACTAAGTAAAGAAGTGATAATTCGTTTGTAATTTAACAGAAAAAGGTTTTAAACTTCGTTCAGTTATGGCTAATTAGGCAAATATTTCTTCACTTTGGTTTTTGTTTTGCATTCTACAAACTAATATACTTCCCAAAACTTAAACTTAATATAAAAAAAAACAACTTAAGATTCTCTCTCAACTACAAACTAAGATCTTATACCAACTACATAGCCTATGTTTCGGTTAATATCCTTAACCCAGTCCAGCCCACTCAGCTATTCATTGAACGCTGTTCTATCGGCAACATAAATCTCGACTAATTGCCTTCGTCATGGCGGCCAGTTGCAGCTGGAGATTTGATTTGTTGTTGTTAGTTGTTGCTGCTGCTGTTGCTGCTGCTGCTGTTGCTTACCACATCAACATCTTAATTGGGGACAGCGAAGTTTTAGTTTCGATTCGGTTTGAATACCCCTCGAGTCGTGGTCCTTTCAAATCAATGTTTGTCATTTGCATTTCTCATGCATTTGAATTAACCGCTCTTTGCCGCATGCATTTTACTGTTAATTATTGCGATAGGCCAACCGGCAACGGCAGCAACATTGCTGCAACAGCAGCTACAGCAGCAACAGCAGCAACGGCAACGCCAGCGCATTCTGGCTTCTTTCCCCCCCTTCCATTATCCAAACATTGAGTTCAGGCCGAAGTCCTCCATCCATGCTCATTCCCCAATCCCCATGCTGCAAACTTCAAACTCCATGCACCATCCTCCATCCTCCAGCCTTCATTCCCCCAGTGGAATGACAGCTTCCGTTGTAACTGTTTCTTCTATACGTTATTGCTGCCCCTGCAACAACAGCAACAACAGCAACTTTGGCATTCTGGCGTGCATCGAATGTGCAAGTAGGCGAGCTAATAACACCCAGATCCAGCACCAGGCTCTGGCAAATGGAAACCCTCATCTCCACCATCCTCAACCGATCCGCTTGGCAATTCATTTTAGAGCAGTCGACGTCCACCGGTGGTATGCGCTGGTAATAAAAATTTGAATATAAATTAATCTAATAGAGAACCGTTAGCGAGGTGAGATGCAAGCGCAGCCTCCTTGAGCAAGGTGCCGCCTCGGAGCTTGGCAACTAAGTCATCGTCATCTGCATGGATCGCCACTCGGACATCTGCAACGCCATCGCCATCGCCATTGCCATTGCCATCGCCATCGCCATCGCCATCGCCATCGCATCTGCAGCCGCATCAGACTCCTCCTCAGCCTCCTTCTATGTTCTTACACAGAGAGAAATTATTAGTAAAGAAACATTTTTGGGCTTGGGCAGATAAGACGAGACTCCTTCAAAATAAAATTCTTCTCAAGACCAAGAATTTTATTCAAGAATTCAGGATTCTTTCGCAGTGCATTCTTCTAATGCCAACGTCCCATCCTGTTATAGCGGAGGATGCTGCTGCGTCGGTTGTAGCAGCAGCAGCCGCATCGCATCTGCAACAGCAACATCAACGGACACAGCAGCAACAACGCTGGTTCGTTTGGCCGGCGTGCATGTTGCATGCGCGGCAAGGTCCATAAATAACGACAAAATTGCGTTTCCGCATATGGACCGAGCTAACGTCGTCTTCGATTCGGACTTTGGTTTGGTTTTGGCCTGGCTTTTTGTTCGAAAACTTCGACTCTGAGACTTTGGCATGCCGTTGAAGACGCTGCCGCTGCCGCTGCCGTTGGACCTTGCGTGTTGCTCTTGGCTGTGGCCTCGCACTCTCGGGTCTCTCGGCCTCGGTGGTTGATGTACAGTTTGTTTTGTTTCGCTGGCCCCCATGATAAGCAGCTGAGGACATGTCCATGGCAACAGCTAAGGCTAAGAGCCAAGAGCCACATCCATGTCCATGTAAAATGTCTGCATCCCAAAAGTGTTCGACTTGCCACGTTTTCATTAAAGTCAAATTAAAGCGGCGACAGAGACAGATCGGACTGGGGATGGCAGTCCCTCTACCTCTCTCTCTCTCTCTCTCTAGATATATGTGCTTAAGGCCAGTTGACCTTTGTTTTGAGCCATCCTTTCCATTGTGTCTGTCTGTCACCGCATAACATATCCCTTGCAGCATCTTAATTTACACTTGCCAACAGGGTTTAGGTTTTGTTTGATGAAAATATATTAAAGAACTAATAAAAGTTTAAAGAAATTACTTAAAATTAACTAAAAACTTAATAAATTTCATTTTTCAAAGACATTTGAAAACTACACTATACAACAGGGTTCGGGAAAACTAAGCTTAAAGCTTCATTGAACAAATGACAATGCAAAAGCTTTAGCAATTGCATTGGCAAATTGCAGGCTGCCTTTAGAGTGGCTTATAAAGTTTTTACGATCCCCCGAATTAGCCAGATTATTCGGTTGAGTTGAGTGCAAAGCAATGTACTAGCCACGATTTTATTACTCCCCCCATTTGGCCATAAAATTGTTTTATTGTTTATGCATTTTCCATTATTTAACCGCACGAGGACTTATGCAAGCGGCATAAATCCGTATAATTTCATCAATTGCTAATTTAAATGTTTTACTCGAAAAAGGAAAGTCAAATCTTTAGAGGTCTCCTTCCTTAGTAAAGGTTCTTAAGCTTAATTTATTTAGTTTTAATTTTTCTTATATTTTCTTTATCTACCAAAAGAACTTCTAAGCCATAATTTAAATCGGAGTCTTGTTATTATTAATAAGCTAAACAAAGGCTGATGGCTAATCCATAAAATATCTCGGACGTCATTTGCATTTCCTTTCTCATACAGACTTACCCTTTGACATTTAATAAAGTTATAAGAGTTTTAAAAATAGAATCTGCTACGTAAATTGGAAATCGAATTTGTATTCAAGCGAAGCTTAAAGTGCAATAATATTTGATGGCCGTGAAATAAATTAATAATAATTAATGACGAAATCGTTTCGTTCCGAAATTCAACTTTGACATTAGCATAGCTTAAAAAAGTTCCCCCCCACGACACGAACCCAACCTATCTTTTGTGAATGGAAGTAGCTTATATTCTGATCTCTTAATAACAGATTTATGTAGCTTAGTGCAGGGAGCTTTTCCTTATTGCAATGCGGAAACCCCACAAAAATGAATGCAGTTTGTGAAATTTCCATACGCAAGGATAACCTTCGGGTTTTGGCCTTCTGATCGGGCCAGACCGTTCGCGGTCAATGCGCATGTCACACACGCACTCACACACACCCCAGCTTAAGATATATGTATACCCACTCGCCGTATATATCTTATATAGCTCTGCTTACTTTCACTTTACCCGATCATATTAAGTTTCTGAGCTGTAAAACATATTTTATCTCGTTTTTTTTTTCCTTTTGGTTTTTGGTTTTTTCCCCTCTTTAAAGCTACTCCTTTTTTTTAAGTTTATTTTAATTTCTTTTTTGTTTCGTTTTATTTGCTGTACTGTGCGTTTCGGCGGCATAGCGACACTTTTAGTGTCTCTTATCGGGCAGATAGAACGCGTCTGTCTCTGTCGCTCAACTCCTCTCCTTCTCCCCCCCTGTTGGTAGATCTCTCCTTCACTCGCCGTGCTTTTCCCCTTGATTGACAATATTTCAATATTTTTACTGTTGTCGCCGTTTCACAGCATCTGGGAAGGGGTGCAGAGGAAGGGGCGGGACAGCGACACAGACCCCAAGTCACTGTCACGCATGCGCTTGCAAATGGAGCACTTCGATACCCTTCCTTGGGGGTAGGGTAGTAATGAAGTGCTAAGAAGTTTGTTAAGTAATGAAAAATAAGGAAATTTTTTTCTAAGTAAATATTTTAAGGAAAGGGAGAAACTTTGAAGGTTTTTTAAGGTTATTTCTCGGAAATTTATTTTTATAATTTTTTAATAATTAAATACATTTTTCTGCATCCTTTTGGCAATCATTAAAGATGAAGGGGAGTATAATAATATTGTTGATATAATATCACGATTTTTAGCTTGAAAGATCACTTAAGCACTCTTTGAAAAACAGTTTTTACTATTTTTGATAAAAAAAAATGATTTAATTTTTATAAAAACAAACTTAAAAGAGGGTTTTCTTATAAAACTAAAATCCAACTAAGTAACCAAACGAGAAAAACCCATCCTAAAATACTTTTTCTACTTCGAAGCTTTATTTACCTCAAACTTTGATAAGTATCTTTACGATACTCCATTAACCTCCCAATGAGATCACTTTAAGATATTATATCTCAAAAAAAGGGTATCCCAAAGTCTTCAAGCTAATCAAGCTAACTTTCCAAGTTGTTGTTATTGCCTTTTTGTTTCTTGCTTCTCATTTTATTATTATTAATATTAAAAGGTGCAACAGCGTTTGGACATTTTGATACAAAAACAAACCTGTTCACCTGCGCAGTCTACCTGCAGCAGCAACAACAACAACAACAGCGACTAGAGTGAAATGGCTGCAAAGTGAAAGAAAGAGAGAGCCATATAGATAGTGAGCAAGAGAGAGCAAGAGAGG